TCACCATAGCTGCAGTGATTATTCAAGTCCGTATGCCCAAAGCATTCATAGTATCTGGCAAAGTCGCCATGTCCAGATCTGGCTGCTAGAAGTCTATATAAAGTACTCCTCTTAAAAGATATAAGGTCTCTTTTAGTTACTGCATGTGAGTATACTTCTTGATATCTAGGTTCTAATTGGTCTTTTTATCATTAATTGAACTCTTTCTTGCCCTTTTTTTTGAGATCTCTCTTAATCAATAAGATTGTGGGAAGGTTTGTTGTGTCTGATTCTAGCATGGCACCCTCTTTTGCTAGTGTGTCGGCAGCTTCGTTACCATCAATATTTCTGTGTCCAGGAATCCACTTGACGGTCACTCCAGGAGTGTGTGCCGTGGCAAGTTCTTGGAATCATAGAAAAATATTCTGTGATGTCTCAAGTGGAGTCCCATTGAGCCCATCTACCACTGTTGTGTTGTCCAGGCAGACATATAGCTGTTTTCCATGTCTAATTGCCCTGATTGCTACAAGCCCTTAGAGAGCGCTATGGACTTCAGTATCTATTATTTCTGTTTGGAGAAGTCTGCCCTTTCTTCGGTATACTTCTTGTGTAGTGTTGCCTTTTCTGATGGTATAGCCCCATCCAGTGCGGGTTGTGCCTTTGTTGTCCAATTATGATCCATCTAAGTAGATGACAAGGTCAGTGTTCATATTTCTTTCTTATAACCATTCCTTAAAGAGCTCTGTCTTTTTGTCTTTATCCTTTCAGATTGGGGGCTTTTGTGACGGCCTGCACAGACCTTTCCACATAACAAGTGGATACTTCCTAATAGGGGAAGGATCTGACCAGAGGATCCCCTTAAAGGGGCAACCTCCCACTGTACCTATCTCTCTCTCTCTTCCTTTCCTCTCTAGTCTTGATATTCTCGTCAATAGAGTAATGGAGCTCCTCAGTACGCTCGCCGTGACAGCTTTTTCCATGATGGCTTGGTGAGTATTGGTCTCTGGAAGTCAGGGACTAGCTGGAAGTTCTTTTGTAGCCTTGTTGGTTCTTTGTGAGCTTGTAATTGGAGCCTGCCAACAAGAGGGTGTCTTTAGTCTAAATGTCTGAGTCGTAGACCGTGACGTCGTCTTATTGACTCTGCAAGAACTCCTGCTGGGGGAATCTGCGATTCAAAGTGTAGGATATGTCCAGGGTGTGTTTTCCAGACTGGCAGGATAGCCCTGATCGCTATTGGTAGTACAGCATCTATTGTTCCAAGAAGCCCCTTAATGCGACATGCTGATGTCCCACCTAAGCTCCCAACTTTCTCGATTCCTGGGTACCAGGCCTCCAAGCCATGTGTAAGAATAGGAATAACACAAGCTTTCACAGCCCTCCTGGTTGACTTTACTGGGAGTCCTTTGACTGTGTTGTATAGTCCTCAAAGGTGATTTGCTACCTTACTAGCTTTCTTGGCCCAGTGAGAAACATGATCTTTGAAGTTTAGTTTCTATCTAGAAGGACACCTAGCCATGGCATGGAAACCTTGGCTGTTTTGTTCATTGTCACGTACAGCTATCAGGTCAGTGGCAGAGCGCTTTGGTAGAGCTCCAAAATGTTGTGGAGCTAGAATTCTAAGTTTGACAACAAACCAGGTAATTCTTTTCGCGATGAGTCGTTCTAGGCCTTTGCCAAGATACGACAATAGCAATATTGGTCTGTAGGCCCTGGGATTGGAATAGTCTTTCTTTCCTGGTTTTGGGATCATCACTACCTCAGCTACTTTGAATGGTTTAGGGTGGTGTCTAATCTGTAGACAGGTCTGGAAAAGGGCTCTGATATGTTTCCCAATGAATAGCCAGCAAGCTTTCAGAATCCGTACTGTGAGGGTATCTATTCCTGGGGAGTTGCTCTTGGTCCTTAAAGTGCACCCTTCAGCCTCTTCCAGTCCGACATAGTATTTAAGGAGGATGTGTGGCTTGGGTTGTGTGATCTGAGCGGACCAGGGGTCGATGATATCGTTGTCTGAGGTACTTTGTTCAAGCGTGGCTGAGCGTAATGCATTTACCTTGCTCTCTTATGACTCAAATATTTGGTCTCTTATGATGATTGGAAGGGAACGCAATCCTGCTGACAGCTTGTGCCACAAAACGAATCTGTACAGATCTTTTGGCTCAGTCGCTGAATTAATTAGAGTCTGCCAGTACTCTTTCCTAGGTTTCCGAATCACGCGGCGAAAGTCCTGTCGGGCTGAATTCCGCCTTTCTTGGCTTGCGGTCTGTTTGGACGAGGCCCTATATGTCTGAACAACTGCTTTGTATTCATCGTTCCACCAAGCAGTGGGCCTAGATTATCGGGGCTTCTTGCCCACTGTTCTGGCACAGCCTTGAATTATGTTGATCAAGCTCTGCGTAAAGGCATCTACCTGGCCAGGGGATGCACCCAGCCAGGGGAGCTCATGAATTCTGTTTTGGACATTATCCACTAGCTCTTGTAGTTTATTGTCCGGGACTATCCACCGATCAGCCTTGGGGACCTGGTCCAGGGCTCCCTGAATTAGGACAATTATTTGTAATGTCTCATGATCTGAAGTGCACTAGAGTACATCATTCATTGAGACTTTGGCCATGGGGACATCTAAGAAAACCAGATCTAATACATTTCCGTTATCATGTGTCGGGACATCTGGTTTAGAAATCAGATCCAGTCCGTGGACTGCCATAGTCTGTGCAAGTATAACACCACCATGATATCCTAGATTGCTTGAATCCCAGGATGTATCGCTAGCATTGAAATCTCCGGCTATGACACAGCCAACGGGTGGAGTCTATACTTCCAGAATGTCATCCACTTCTTGTGGGTTATGGCATGGTTGGTAGACACTGGCAAATGTAATGCCTTGTACCTTAACCCAGGTGATGTCTTGTGTAGCATAGGGCCGAAATTGATCCACTTGAAGGTGTTTTCTCACATAGATAAGAGATCTGGGCCGTGTACTGTAGCTGTCTCAGGAATCCATTGGGGAGTATATATCGTAATTAGGGTGTGTCTTTACTCCCATTCTCCTGCCTGGTGGTATGCCAACCCAGGGCTCTTGCATCAGAATGATGTCTGCTTGTTCTCTTTTGTAGTCAGCCAGGTTGATAGCTAACTCTGTAGGGCCTGCACTCTATTGTCCTCCTGCTGTATTCACAGAATGGATGACTAGATGCCCGTGTCAATGTGTTTTGTTTGATGTACCTAACATTGACTGACAATAATGGTATCGGCATCTCTGGGATGAGTTGTATCTGTTGTGTCGATTTGTATTGTGATGTTTTTGTTATCATTGCTGGGTGTTGACCCAGCTTGGTTTCTGCCTGCTTCATTAAAGGCCTTGGATCTGGCTCTTTCTCCAGCCAGCCTTATTTCCTGGATTTTCTCCCATGTGTGCTTGTGGATGATGCCTTTCACAACCTTGGGGCGTGTAGGGCATTTGTCGAAATTGGCAGCATGAGGTCCTTTGCAGTTGACACACTTTGGGATTGGTTTTTCGCACCCCCCCTGGTGTACTGTACTGACACAACGTGCACATACTTGCTTTTCACATCGGTAGTTCTTACCATGGTATCTGAAGCAGCTCGCACACTGGTGAACCTTGGGGGAGTATTGAATGTGCCTTGAGGTCATTGAGTGAGCAAAAAGCGTGAATGGTTTCTTTGCTGCACGGGACAGAGAGATCACCCATGTGGTCTCCGGATCAGAATCAATTGTGTTCCTTGAGAATATACACCTTAAAGGTCTGTCACCTGTTTAGGCTTCAATTTTATTAGTAATAATAATGTCAGTAATATTGATTGTCAATCCTTCCGCACTGATGACCTTTCTTGGGCATCCATCGACCTTATAGTGATGCCAGACCGTGTGGGTCTCAATCTTTTCTGCCTTAAGAATATCGGTGATTTTTTCTTGGAAGGCCAGGAGCTTAGCCTGATTTGGCTTATCCCTTGGGTGTAAGGTAAATCCGGAGGGGCACCGGGTCACTTCTTTAAGCTCTTAAGGGTGGAATTTAAGTCTTTTGTTCAGTATAGACTTTATTCCGTAAGGCTTTAAGTGGCTATTATCCATGCGGACAAAGACCCGGAGATCATCCTGTTTCTTCTTCAGTTGGTTGGCAGTGATGCGGGCGCCAGGCTGTATTTTCTTTATAGTAATGTTGACTGTCCGTGGATGCTGTCATTGGCTAGAGGAGACAGCTTGGGCAAAGGTCATGGTGGGCTTTACCATCCCTATCCCCCCAGGGATGGTCTTCCTTTTGGACAGATCTCGGGTTTCCAGCCACTTGTTCAGACATTTAGAGAAGAAAGCACTGAACTCCTTGGCATTAGAGTATAGTTCGGTTCTAGCTTTCTTAAATGTCTTATCAACCGTTGCAGCACACTCTCGAAACATTATTATCCTGGCTTCATAAAGGTACTTGTCTTTAGCCAGTATTCTAGCAACTTGGTCCTGGCACTCTGAGGAGGAGGTTTTATTCCCTATATCGCATGTAATGGCTTGGTCTGTCGAGATTTCGTTTAATTGAGGTCGTTTTATTCTAGTGGTGCTGTTATCATTAATATTTCAGGATTTTCCTTTCAGAGGGGAAATAACGGTGAAGTCAGCCTCAGAGACCTGTGACGGGCTGCTGCTGATGTCGTCAAGCAGCGCCTGGTGGAGCCTGCTCGGAGTTGCTGGGCCGTATGTCTTTCTAGGGGCCGGGGATTTGTGCATGCCGCCAGTGGTCGTCTTTGGGACGGCCACGGGCGTGTTTGGGGCCCGTCGTGGAAGGGTGTCATCCGGCTTATGAGAAAAATTCTCTTGTGCCTTGGCAGAGATAGTTAATTACTGAGAGAAATGCCTGCTTTAATACAAATATCAAGGTTGCGCCCTAACAGCGGGGCGCCAAGAAAAATAGTTGTTTTTGTGAGGCTCGTGGATGAGAGAACTTCGAAAAGATACAACCAAAGCTGTACAAGGAGTTTGACGGCTTCGGTGCGTTCAACCCTTTAGGAAGGATCATGGACATGTATCAGTCAGCCATCTACAACGCCAAAGTAGCTGTCAGTAAGTATTAACCAGACATTTTAATTCCTAATCCAGTCCTTAGCACTGGGAACCTACTCACTGCTCCGTCATGAGTGGAGGTACCTGCCAGACAGGAGCTTGTTGACCAAAACGACTGTGACGTTTTAACAACTCTTTACTCATCGATGACTGCAGCTTTCGATGCGATCACCCAGAACAATAAGTTCGGATCTAACAGGTGGATTTGGGCCGATTGTGGCGTAATCATTGTGAAGGAAGAAAAAGCTGCGCCTGGGACCGCTTGGGGAGAAGTCCTCAGCCATTTTTTTGACGACGACAAGTTTGAGCGGTCCATCCGCCTCACCGGAGATTCCGGCTTGGTGTTGCAGGAATATGGTGTAGGTGATCGCCCGAGGGGTATAAATATCGACAGTATCACATTGGACGGATGGACCAACCCTCGCCGGGCGTGGAAGACGTTTCGTTATCTAGCGATGGTCTGGGCAGGGAGCTCCCTTGGAATGCTGGAGTTCGCGGTAAAGTTTAGTAAGTAACTCGCCGATTCTTGTCTGCCCCTATGAGCAGATGCCTCATGTCCGATGCCATTGATGGCCCTCGGGCACACTTAAAACGAATAGTCGAACATGAAGAGGAAGACACTGATTTCGGATATCTCGGTGCAAACATTCGACAACATGGACGCAAACGGTTTCTACGATGGTCGCGAGGAAGTGGTCATTGGATACCTCCCCCTGCGGTATCCGAACACCGTCTTTAGTATCCCTTATTATGAATCAAACACGCCGTTGCAGCTGGGATTCCCAGGGAGGAGCTACCCGGCGAGAACGGCCTGGTCGGCATACGGTGGCCGGGCTACCGCACCGCCTATCAATGACCCCATGTCGACTGTCTACTGTCCCGGCGGGATGTATCAACCTCGACAGCCAAACTGTAAGTAGCACCAAGTGATTTTCATTCACCTCCCCGGAGGAAGGAATAGCTTTCCTGTCACACAGCAAAAGAAACGCTCGCTGACTCTTGATACGCAGTGAAACTGGGGGAATGGTAGGCGACCTCTAGCTAGGGAGTGGTTCCAAAAGGTGTAGGTAGCGGTGCTCGACAGTAGGGCCCGGCTACCAATCGCGTGTACTTTTAGCTTCGACTTAGGTTGTAGACAGTGACAATGCATACATAAGGGTTTGATTTCCGTGCATTATTGCCTCGTTTCAGCAAATGAAGAATGATATCCGCCAATAACTTGCCCAGATTTCCCAGCCTTGGGGAGCACGTGGTAGGTGCACCCCATTCTCTGTTAGCTCAGAGAAGGCGGGACATCTAATCGCTGTCTATATTTCCTATGATCTTCGGGTTGGTGTCCCTTCTAGAGACTGCGATCCATTTCTCTCTTGGTCGTTGTCGTGACTGCAATGATGGACATTGTGCGTGTTTTGTTCCCGGCCCAACCTCCACAGTAGTCGCCTTGAGCCAAAAAGCCAGACAGCCAACCAAGATGATCATCCCTTGGTCAGGGACGTCACTTCAGTGACTGGCAATGCAACCGATAGGATGATATGGAATGGGATCAGGATGGAGGCTTGGACCGAGAAGGATGAACTGTGCCATGATTACTCCTAGGCATAATCAATAGCGTGTAGTCGTGTCATCATTTGCCCACTCGATGTCATGGGAACTCGATCCATAAGCATACAAGGGAGGGGTACGTTGTGCCCTCCTCTGTACACGTTATCCGTATGGCTTTAGGCGACCATGACCAGCAACACCAGAATACCTGCTGACTGATGGAAGGTAACAAGCCTGGCTCTGCTCGGATCTACCATCGGGTAAATGGACCGCCTGAGTGCCCTAGTTGTTTGGCTTTGGGGAATCACGCGAGCCAGAATATGAACTGCCACACCAGAATGCCATTCGACCCAGGATCCCACGGTACACACTCAAGATTACTGAATCAACGGGCAACTCATCATCGCGGAATCTAGGATCCAAGGATGACTGCCGACGACTGCCAGAAGTGCAGGCCCTTTTCGTTTTCTTTTGCATGCTCCTTTCATGATCAGTCGGTGGGTTCGCGGCTAGTAGATGGTTTGCGTTTCGAGAAACTCCTCAAGGAAGGTTCAAACACAGAACAAGCTCTAAAGATAGCTGACCACAACGACTATCAATCATCGGACCACGGACTGACTATGCGGCTAACTATTCGGCTAACCTTCGAATGCCGGAGATCCAATTGCAGTGCCAGCATCCAGGTTTCACAGCAATCATGGCATGCGAAGCTCGCTTGGATTACCTTGTGCGACCGCGTCGCTACCTCGTGACTTGTAAACTGATTCAACTATTTCTGAGTGGTGGAAAATGTATGCCAAGCTGATCCTGCCGTAATGGCGCGCCTTCTCCTTCAGTAAGAGCCGGCTTTTACTGCTGGACCCTGGTAGAACGGATGTTGCCCCTGATTCAATGTGACCGCAGTCTCACTGACCCTCAGTCTCCTCCGCTGTAATGTAACATCCGCCCATCTTTTGGCGACGGAGTCAAAAATTAATCCATGGCTGGGAGCTCGGATGATTGATTTGTGGACTGACAACGACCGCGGCCCCGCCTTCAGGGGTGAATTCCCCTTTTGAAGCCGGGGCTCTAATATATCTCCGGCCGACATCGACCAGGGTAAGATTGCTACCGTTTCATCACGCCGGCACTCATTCACAGGCCCCGTCTGCATCATGAATACCGGCAGGTATATAACAACAATGAGGTCTGCCCGGGCTTGTTGAAGAGTGGCAGATGCTACTTCCTGTTAGAATATCGTTCAAGATGGCTTTCTTCACAGTCGCTTCGGTTCTTCTCGCGTGGATCGCGCCTGCTTTGTCTATCACGGTCACCGAGAACGACTCGTCGTATATCGTCGATACCGAAAGCAGCTATGGCTTCAAGACGACCATCAGCCGGTCTAGTTGCGATATCACCTCGTTGAACTACTACGGCACTGAATACCAATATTCGGGCACCGCCAGTCACATCGCCTCTGGTTTGGGATCAGCAACCGTGTCCTACTCTACCAGCGGTAAACACCTTATCAACAAGATGCTTGTGTTCCCCTCGCTAATGAGCGATTGCAGGTAACTACGTTATCGTCCAATGTGTCGCAAGCAGCAGTGACTTCGACCTCACGCACTACATGGTATTCGCCGATGCTGCGAATGACATCTACATGGGCACATACACCAACTCCGAACCTTCCATCGGAGAGTTGCGCTTCATATTCCGTCTCACGGGACTCGAAGACGCGTACCCCTTCGGAGACGTGTCCAACACGGAAGGCGGTACAGCTATCGAGGCTTCCGACGTCTTCCTCGTTGGCGACGAGACCCGCAGCAAGGTACGCAGTGTTGTACCTTTCAAGGCACACCGGCCTGCTAACATCCAGGCCAGTTCTACTCATCTGAACGATTCATCGATGATGATGTCTACTGTGCTACGGACTCCGGGGCCTCGGTCCATGCGTGCTGGGTACGGCCCAACATCCAAGCCACGGAAAAGAGCTCTGGCGGACCATTCCACCGTGACATCGACCTAAACTGGGGCGGTGATTACCACTCGGTCACTTACTACATGAATTCCGGCCACGTGCAGACGGAAGCTTACCGTCAGGGATTCCACGGTCCGTATGTCTTCTCGTTCGCCCGATCCGGCGTTCCCACCGCCAGTGCCTACGACGTGTCCTTCTTCGATGATCTAGGCCTGCTGGGCTATGTCCGCGCATCAGAGCGCGGTACAGTGACCGGCGAGGCAACGGGCGTGTCAAGCGAATTCCCCATTGTGCTGCACTGGTACAACGACGACTACCAGGCCTGGGTCTACGCATCATCCAACGGTGCCTTCACCTCACCCGCCATTCCCGCAGGGAGCTACACCATGGCGCTGTACCAGGACGAGCTACTGGCCGCGACCGCGACGGTCGCAGTCACGGCAGGCGGGTCAACCACCGCTAACATCGCAGCTACCAACGCGATTCTCACCGGAACTCGCACCACCGTGTTCCAACTCGGCGACTACGATGGCCAACCGGCCGGCTTCCTGAACGCGGACAAGCAGCTGCGAATGCACCCGTCCGACAGCCGCATGTCCAGCTGGAGCCCTGGTACCGTGGCGTCGACCGACGCCGCCTCGTTCCCCATGGCCATCTTCAAGAGTGTGAACAACGGCCAAGTCATCTCGTTCACGCTGTCCAGCGCTATCGGCAGCGCGGCGACGCTGCGTCTTGCGACCACGCTGGCCTTTGCTGGCGGACGGCCCCAGGCTACGGTCAACAGCTATGTGTGTAGTGCTCCCGCTGCGCCGACCAGCATCGACAGCCGCGGTGTCACTAGAGGCGCCTACCGTGGCTTTGGAGAGGTTTACGAGTGCGATATCCCGGCGGGCACTTTGACCAGCGGCGCCAACACTGTCACGATCAACATTATCTCTGGCAGCAGTGGTGATACTTTCTTGAGCCCCAATGTGGTAAGTGCATATCGTTGTTGACTGTCGTCCTACTTCGCTAATATCCACGCAGGTCTTCGACGCTGTGGAGCTCTTCTACTAGGCGTTCGTGTAGGACGGAGGGTGATGTCCTAGTGTACATATTCTATTCTTGATTGTAAATACTTGTTCGAACATGAGAACACATATGTAACTCACATTCTGTACGCATGCGTTCATGCCTGCCCCCGTCAGGCGGCTTTGTCGCCATGCATTGTTCTCAGAGCTACATGGGTCCTCCACAACATCATCTATACTCTGTCAGCCTAACCCTAGATGAGAGTAGCCATTCAAATTTGCCACAGCTTCCATAGCTCTGCCAGCGCTGACCTTCGTATGTCGAATGGACAGCGCCCTGCATATCGTTGCGCCCGCGACCGTAGAAGATGATCAGACACACTTCATCAACTCTGGAAGCGTGTAGTAGGTGCCCCGTCGTTCGACAGGTGTGACTCATCCGTAAGATGTGGGTGGACCGGGAGACGAGGTATCGAGTCATTCATTTGTCGCTTCACAAGATCTCGATGGTGTCGTCGTGGACTTGCTTGCTCTGGTCATGAAGACTGGCTCATGTCGAATTCCTTAGGAACTACAGCAACATAACTGTCAAAACTCTTGCTGCAGATTTGCGGAGAGATATGGTGGGTCGTTTGAGAGAATTATATTACATTGATGTACGAAAAATCTCCCCAAGGCCTCATACGTACTTTGGGGGTACAAGTTGACTCCCAGGGCATTGGGTCACCATGCATCCATTCATCGCTGTCTACTACAGATGACGACATCAAGCCGGGCATTGTCCGTGAGACGACTACATGCACAATCGCATGCATTTTGCCCCTCTCCAACTCCTCGTCGTTGGGTGGCAGTTGGGCACCCAGCAATGCCCATTTTGCACAGAACTGACTTCCTGCGGGCGCCGCCTAACCCTCTCCTCGAGTAACGAAGATGACCCTCCAAAGTAGGGAACCTGCAGCTTGGCAGGCCGCAAAACGAATGGGCGGCTCCCCAATCTGCATGCGCCCTATTCGGCCGTGCATTGCATCTCAGACACTCTCGCCAGTTGGCGCAGCTGACGATACGGATAGCAGCAGCGAACGAGTGAGATCCTAGATCACGCCGCGCGTATTGCACATAATCACCGGTTTGTTACTCGCTGCTTGCTGCTAGTCGTCCGCCTGTCTTCCTGCAATGCAATAGCAATGCAGCAGCTCTTTGGGTCCCCGCCCAAGCGAGCGCACCGCATGTGCCGGGCTATGCATCAATCGCCACGGCCTAGCATCCCTCCCAAAGACTCAGACGAATGAGGCGATCGAGCAAGCGACGTGATGCAGCGCGGTGCAGTCCAGAGTGATTGATAAGTCGCTCAGTTCGCTTAATAGCATCGCTGACGGTCCACTTGTCCACTTCCGTTTTCTCCTTTTCATTTTTGCTTCCTACTGCACTTCGTCATCTGCGCCCGATGTGTTCCCGAGATCGCTATTGTGATTCCCCAGATATACACTACCTTTACATTCTTGCTTTGTCTACTTACATAACTACATTACTACGGGACACACACGACTCCGCTTGCGTCCACTGTTTGGCTTGGATGTATATACCCCAGATAAACCTTCCACATCCCAGCTCCCTCGAGCATCCGGGTGAAAGACTCGGAGCGGGGCAAACATCCTCCTCCGAGCTCACCTCCTGTCGCAACAATGTCGGATCCCCCGCCAGCTCGGTCTCCTCTCCACTACATCATTTACTCGCGCGCGGACTCAACGCCTTTGAGACCATTCCCCGCCATGTATACGAGGGCCTTCGGAAGCGCACAGCGGTAGAAAACATGAACACCACCATTGGCATCGTCGTCGGCGTGCTATTAGCGGTCTTCCTGCTGGCCACAATCTGGTTTCTCTACGTCTACCGGTTCTCGATCCGCTTCAAGCCCAAGAGGCGGCGCCACCGCAAGTCGAGCGGCTCCAAGAGCTCCCGGAGTTCAAAGAGCTCTGCCGGTGCCGGGAGTGGGGGCGGCGGTGCGGAGGCGGCACCGCCTGCGGGATGAGATGATGGCCATTGGGGATGAGATGTCGTGTCGTTTCGTACTTGGTATGTACGATGGTCCCGCTTGGGGGCATTGGTGTCACAAATAGGAGACATGTGAATTTTCTAGGGGTATCAGGTCTGGCAGGGAGTAGGGTGCACGATGGCCATGGCTACTTAGCGGTGAACCGCTGGCGTTACAGGTTCTTGGATGTACTACGGGTGTTGGCATAGGTTGTACGATGTGTCTCCGAGGTTGTTCAACAGCATTGGCGGAGTTTGGGCTCAGGGTCTTATATGGGTGACGCAGTGACGGCGTGACGCCGTTCCATCTCTTCACGATGCTGTCTTGACGAATTGACGTTTTACGGAATATATTATACCGAGCTGTCTGGTTACAATACCAAGATGTCTCGAGCCCCTCGGCTCCAAACGCCGATATCAGAAACCCGGGGTCTCCAACTGCGAGTCGTTCGCCAACGCCTCACTTTTTCTATTTCCCCACACTTCGCTGGCCTGCGTCGCTGCCCAACGAACGATCTCGCTGCAACTGACTGCAGATCAACGACGATGACTGGCTGTCCCATGCTGCAGTGCCAGCTCAGCCCTCCCTTTCTCGGTGCAATGGGCCGTTTGAAGCATTTCGAGTGCTCTGGCCGGGTGATGCCGATGCCGGCTTGCCTGGGATTGGGCTGCCTAGACTAGACGTGAAGCAGGCTACTAGACTTCATATTTGGAATCGAACGGTAGCATTTCGATTGCACCAATGCCGCCCCTGAAATGAATCTGAAGACAGGATGTAAGTCCTGCCCAAGTGATTGATCACATCACATCCAAGCAGCCCGTCTCACCCCGACCTGCGGAGCGCCGCTCAGCAGGCCACAGGAGTACACAGGTAGGTAACTTATGCTTAATCGACTAACTATCGGCTGTAATATCAGTATGAAGATCTCCCGGCTGTGCCTATCGGGCGTACTGCTTCATAAGTAAGATCGTGCCAAGCAGTCCCGAATTATGCAGGTGTTCTGCCCTTACGAGGCACAGTGGTCTCCGACTGCACGGGTCACAAACGGCCCGTTCTCAGGGGTAGTAGGCCAGGCCAGAGAGCTGGCGGCTCAGAAGCACAAGGGTCTCAATCTACTATCTCGCTACCTCTTTCCCTCTGGCTACCAACCCCCAACCGTATCTCTACTACCAACCGCACGGCTGCCGCAATTCATCTACATGCTGTCATAAGCCTGATCCTCGTTGCCAACCCGAGTCCAACTCCCAGTCTCCGCAGTGCCGTCGGTAGATCCAGAAGGCGTGCCATACTTGCTACCACGAGATCTGCGGCTACCAATGGACCCAGAGCGCGGCATCTGCAGAGGGGCGCTGTCCGCACCACCGGCCTCTGATTTGACTTCCGAAAAACACGTTCCCGGAACGGAGCCCGTGCCGCTCTGAGCAGGCGCAGTAAAGCCGGCTTGATCTGAGAGGAAAGCTCGTTCTCGGGCGTCATTGATGATGCGCAAGCGATCAAGGTCCGCACTGATAGCCTCCTCGAGGCCGTAGGTCAACTGCCGCACGGCGTCGCGGACAATCTCGATGGGTGCGGTGTCAGCTGTCTCGCGGAGGTAGCGCAGGCGGTCGCGCGTCATGTTCAGCTCCATTTCCAGGAGGAAGAACGAGGCGCTAGGCTCATTGACGATACTTGCAGCGAAATCGGTACATGCCTCCGACGTGCTGGACTGTTCCTTCTTCTTGCCATCATCGTCGACGCTGTTGCGCTCATGTTGGCTCAACGCAGGCCATTCTTCTGTGTCCCGTGGGTCGGACACGAACGGCTTCTTGTGGTGCCAGGGGTAGATGGCGTGGGGAAACGGCGGCAGGTTGGACAGGACACGATCGCATGGGCCTCCGGGGGACTCCGAGCGTTGAGTGACGCTCTGGTTCTCGCAAATGGTGTACTGCTCGCAGGAGCAAGCGGAAGCGGGAGCGGTGGTCTCTTTGCGGTTCGGCACGTCAGCTCCGATGGCTCTGTCGGCCAAGAACTCGAGAGTGTCGGCGATCTTATCGAGGCGCTTGAGGACGGCTTCGTTGCCTTCCTGCTGGATTCTGTTCTGCTCTTGGTGGTGGTGACGGCGAGCTCTGGCGCGGCGGCGTCCATATCGTCGACCGCGTGGTTGCGGAACGGATGGCGAAGCCTGACGCGAAGGGGTCGGTTCCAGCGCCGGCGAGAGCAAGCCGGTCATGTCGGTGTAGGTGGGAAAGAAGGGGAAGTTCTCCATGATGTTCCGAGTGCTGGTGTTGAGGTATTCTGGACAATAGTGTCTTAGAGAGGGTTTGTGCTAAGAGCCAGTGGTCGCGTGGTTTTATAGGCGGCATCTCGTGAGTCAAGGCGGCTCAGAAGATTCACTTGGTGTCAGCTGAGCTACAATGATTGACCATACCCGGACTTATGACTTGCACAAGGTGTGTCCTTCAATGAGAGCCTCCCCTTGCGAGTCTTCCACTCACTAGCTGACTGTTGTGAATCGTAGTATTCACCTCAGTTATGCCTTCGATATAGTGGAACTCCATAATAAACAATAAGCAGTGGCGAGCACCCATAGCGTTGCACCGGACGCTGCATTACGAGCACCACGACTTTTTTCTTGCCTCTCAGCATCCTTCAGCCAGTCCAGCAATGCGGTGTTTAGCCCGTCAGTATGCCATGCCGGCGCGGATGTGAAGGCATAGCATCCATTCGTTTTTCAAGTTAATACGTAATGTCTCCCGGCCTCGTTAGGGCCCATGCTTACGTTCATTTACTTGGCTCATTCGATGATGGCACTCCTGCACGGAACAGTGCCAGCAGACTTGGGTAGAATCTGACTTCCCCGCCCCCTCGTCTCTCCCCAGGGCCCTCGTCGTCCTGCCGCTTCCAGTGGCTGCCCTCCTAGTCCTTGCTAATCTTCAGCACACTCCACAGCGCTCGCTCTAGGAAAATCCGAATTGCTATATATTGTTGTACGGTATATGGTGCGAGATGGTGCTGTAAGACATACTATTGCGGCTGATATAAAACGCTAAGACAGAGCCGCGAGTGACACCTCGGACCACAAGAGACAGTCTTCTTCACAGTACGGTGCGGTCAAAATCATATCCATGACGTCTCTGGCGATCTTGTCGACGGGTGGAGAGGCAGCTGCTTAGAGCCCAACGTCCTCAGGTCTGTGGGAATGAATTCACTTCGCGGATCAAATTCAGGGATTAAATGAAGTTTGGTCCCTGGGTGAGCACAGCTAGACCATCTCGGGACACATGAAGGCCAAAGCCATTCGGCAGAAGGTAGGGGTCACAGTGTATTAACCTCATCCAGCCCACCGTGTAGTCCATTGACGTAGCCTAGCCGTGTTGACTCCTGGGGAACCCTGACGGCTCCGTGCCTTGCTTCCCAAGTACTGGTTCTATACCCAAACGCCGCCCACTGACAGCTCATGTCAGTGGCCCATCACGGTGTGGCCTCACGCCATCGGCTGGTGCGTTATGCCGGAGTTGACTTTGAGCTTCGAGTTGACGTGGATGACGAGCCGGCTACCGGCAAAGGCTGCTGTGGTGGAAGGAGGCGCGCGTCTCACTGTGTGTTTCTCCGAAGAGATGATCGCACATGGGTGACTGTGCCTTGCGTTGGAGTACGGGTTAGAGCAGCGCTACCGGCATGGTCTTGCGCGGCTGATACCGGGTTTCTCAGGCACAGAAGTTCGAAAGCTCGCGCAGATTCTTCATCGTCAAGGCCTTGACCGATGTTAGCCCTAGGACGGAGTGTGAACCATGTGGTCTCCCGTGTACTAACCTCGAGTCGGTCTGAGACGGGCTCGTCTTGCTTCATACCAGCTCAACGCCGAGAAGGTCAGTTGAGGAACGCAGAACAAAAGGGCCAAGATAGTGATCAGCATCTGAGTCGGAAAGGACGACGACATGGTGAGTATAACCGCCGACAGAAGCGCAACGACAGAAGCGCAATGGCTTGAATTCAATGACCGGCCAAGACTTATGGCGGGTGCAGACATGAATTATATACCTACCTACCTACGTTCAAGAATCGCCCTGCAAGTCTCGAGTCCCCAACACGGTGGTCATCTTAATTCATCGCGATCTATCGCAATCCATCGCAATGGGGTACCTAGGAGTTTCCGGAAAGAGCCTCGTCGCAATGTATCGCAATGGGTAGAGAGCTGCGACCGCAACGGGTAGAGAGCCTCGTCGCAAATGCGCAATGGGCAGAGAGTTGTGATCGCAACGAGTAGAGAGCCTCGTCGCAATGTGTCGCAATGTCTCGCAGAATTATGACGCAGCTCGCAGACGCACGTCGTCGCTGCGCCCGATGCCTCTTGCATTGCACTCAGGGATCAGACACCAGTATCTCCTGGTACACCGAGCGGCTGCCTCTCAACCAATATCATTCGTGACCGGGTCGCCGTGGTCCTAGTCACCCCTGGCTCTCTTCTGGATCTGTGTGCCAGTCGTGGGAGAACTGGCATATTTGCCGGGTCAGCAGGAGCAACGGCCATCGCAATGTCGTAATGAGATTCAGAACCTCTACAGTTCGCAGGCGGTGACCTGTTAGCCAATGGTGTGCTGTCGCAATGGTCGCAACCATGTTCAGATCCGCGCAGCCATGATTTCATGCATGTCAGATTCGCCATGTAGTACTTGGCAAGCAGTGCTACAGTCACCCCCCATAAGTCTCCGTCCGGCATCCCTCGATCAATCGTGGGTATCAATGCTGCATTCACATCAATGGAATAAGCGCCCTGTAATAAGAAGCTTTACCTCTAAAAGCCAGTTTTGATGCTTATTACGGAATGTTTATTCCATTATAATAACTATACTCCACGCTTGCTGAACAGGGGGTGACGGAGACTTTTTGGAGGTTCAGTGTACCACACCCCCATGGCCAACTGTCGCAATTGTCGCATTTGAGGCGCAGCGGCTGTTGGTGCGCCGCCCGGCCCTCAAATTCTGTCGCATTTGTCGCAATACAAAGGGGTCGGTTCCCCCTTCCTCCAGTCGCAAGTGTCGCTTTTGCCGTCACTTGTGTCAGACCAACACTCAACAATCCCACGGACTACCCAGCATGGACCACAGAGGTTGGTCTCACAATGCAAGCGAAGTCATGAACGAAATGCCAAGATTGACTTTCCAGCCGACAATCTTTACACCGATCGACCAAAGTAGGTCTAGCTCTTCGCGGCCAACTAACATCTTGCGGGGCCGACCTGACTTGTAGCTTTTTATACCGAACGATCCAAGCAGATCCAGCTCCCCGGAGCCAACTAACAGGACGACCTACCCGTTGACCGGGCACACCTTTTTTGCCGGGCGCTCAGGGGCGATTACCGACACATCCACTATGGATACGACACATGATATGCCCCTAAGTGAGGGGCCCTCGTCCACAAGGCCTCGAGACAAGGACACTAGTGGACTGAGTCCCAAGAGGCAGCGGCCTCGGTACTCCTACCTGAAGTGCGTGCGCTGTAGGAGGGATAAGAAAAAGGTATGTCTTCAACGAGTGGAATCATCGCCAGTCTAGTCACTAAAGATGTCAGTGTGAGCCAACAGGTCGACGTGCCGGCGAGAAATGCCTTCGTTGCTCGGAAAAAGGCTTTGACTGCTCGGAAAGCCAGAAGTCAGCATCGGGCAAGGCACCCAAGACACGACTACCCATCCAGGTTGATCTTCAGACTGGCGATGAGAAATCTCTCGTCACTCATTGGTAAGTCTCAGATTCTTAGTCGAATCCGTTTGCGATGCTGATATCTCAAAGCTGCAAAGGGCTCGCCTGGTTAAGGATGCTCCGACTTGTTGAGTCCGCTGCGTTTCGCATTGACGAGTCTCTGCAACTACGAAGACGTCATATATCACTCAAACAGGGTGCTGTAAATTCGAAAGTACTCTACGAGCTCGCAGAAGCTAGGGAAATAGTCGAAGCTCTCGTTCTAAAGAAACTTCAGTCAATGAAGCGTCCATTTTCAAGCGACACTCAAATCACTTTGTTCCGAGCGGCTACCCAAGCAATGCAGAGAAATTCACGAGCAACCTCACCGCTGGTCAGAGACTTTGAGCGATCGCTGTTTCGCGACCTCAGAGAGCCTTCACTTGAAGACGTCTTACTTGACCCAGGAAACCTGCCCTCCGCAATCGAAGCTCAACTGGCGCTATTGGAAGGTTAATCTGAGGATACGGGACTGCCCGAGGTCGATAAGTACGTTGCTATGTTAAACCTCTTGTGGCGCAACATTGTCGAGTTCTGCGAACAGGAATCTGAAAGGGACACCATATCCATATCGCCGAGCCTCAGAAAACCATTCCTGCATGATATCCGGCACTTGAAGTATGGGAAATGGTTACGGTTGGAAAACAACCGGCGATTGATCTCTGGGCCAGACAGCCTCGGTAGAAGTCCACTACACGTTGCGATAGCGATCACACACTGGGAGCATTCCTTGTGGGACATGTTACGAAGTCCCAACGTTGACCTCAATGCGCGAGACCTATTTGGTCGCACTGCGCTGCATGTTGCCTGCGACTCGCGGGAAGCGCAGATTCCTTCCGTGCAAAACCGTGCGGTCAGGCAGCTACTGGACTTTGACCTTGTGGATATCTTCGCAGAAGACTTGGACGGGTTCCTCCCAATCGACTATGCGATTCAGGACCGGCGACTTGATATCTTGGAAACGTTCCAAGACAGCTTGCGTGTCAAACAAGACAGCCCTATGGCTGATCTCATCGTTGCTGCCATCTTTAATCTCGAAGCTTGTGATTTGTCTATGAAGTCGCATCGCATCATCTATGAGGAGCGGAGGCGGGCATTTGGCGTCAGAGAACCCTCTGTTTCCTCTGAAAGTGCTATCTCCTCTAGTGATTAGAGAACCTTAGGTTTGTTGATGGAGAGCCGTGGAGGGTAGGCAAATCGGAATAAGCACAGTGGAATAACTATTAGACGTGGCGTAACTAACCACGACTGCTTATTCCACTATGCTCATTCTATTATTTCCAAATTTCTACGTGTCATGTGGAATCCTCCTAACATGGCGCGCATGGGGACTTATGAGGGCTGAGTGTACCCAGACCGTAGCAGCTCAAGGAAACCTGAAGCTCATACCGCAATGAATGCAACTCAATTACACCTCGCATAATAATCACGTACTTCCGCTGCTTCGCTGCTTCGGCTCCGTCACTTCGTCTCGTCGTTGGTGTATAACCCCAGACCTTACTTTTCCCAAACTGTTCTTCTACTAAAGCTATGTGCCTACCAGTCCGAGTTAACACCGACTCTAGTCTCATACAATTCGAGCGCCATCTATATCCCTTTTTTATCTTCCTCTGTGCTCACTTTCTATCAGCTGGCCTGAACCCACTGTCTCCACACCGCCATGTTCTAGCCGTTCAAGTCTGATCGTCTTGGACCGTAATCTCGAATAGCTGCAGCCAGAGGCATCGATGAGCGCCATCATAAAGGGTGCTAAGAGGCGACACTTGTCTTCTTCCCAATGTATAAATCATAAAGCCATATCAAGAGTGTTTACACTGAATCCTCATAAGTCTCCGTGCTTCACCCATTTCAGCAAATAACGTTAAATTTATCGGAATGGAATAAGCATACTGGAGTAAGCACTGAAAGCAGGGTATCAAACCAAAGCTGCTTATTCCCGTATTTTTATTCGAGTATTTCCATATTTCCACGTGTGATCAGGAATCTCACCAACATGACCGTACGGGGACTTGTGGGGCTGGTATTCTCGACTGCTGCGCCATAGAGAACATATCGGCTAAGTTTTAAACAACACTACAAGTTTCGTTTACCACCGCATCCCTCGATTGTGTTCCGGCACCTCCCGGTGATCATAAAACCCGTAGACCTGATTCCGAGAAAGAGGATGGCGCCCCTGCGCCAAGCTCCTCGTATTCCGGCACGTATAACATGGGCAATTCGGCGTGGAATCATCCGTGACATTAAGTCTCCTGTCGATATCAGGGGTCCCCCGTGGGCCTTGTCGATCTTGCCCCCAGCTCTGGACCACGTCCTGCGTTACGTGGTGATGGCCATGATCTGGTGCCTCGGGCGGGGCATCTCGGGGCCGGTCCCGCTGAGAGCGGTGAGGTCGTCTCGGGTTTCTCTGGTATCTCTGGTTCATGTATTGTGTGCCTCTTGGACCTGGCGTGATAGGCTCCTCCTGTAGCATTGCAACCTGGCTCCCAGGTTGGCTGGCTTGGGGATTGTATCTCTGCTGTCCTGGCACGAAGTTATATGAGTATCGGGACAGTCGCGAGCTTTGCCTGCCAAGATAGGGGAGAGCTTCAGCACCTTGTACTTGCGTGGGCCCTGGCACGAACGTGATCGTGCTATTCGGAACCCGGGTGCGGTTGCTTGAAGCTCTTGAGGCTCTTGGAGCTGGTGCGTGAGCCGATACGTAGTTGGGCGATTGGCGTACCGCTGAGGCTGGGAACGCCGGGGCGTTGCCCGATGCAGGGGGAGGCACAAAAGTTCCGAATTGCGGCATGATGTCTGTTTCTGTGGGTTCTTAGTGCAACCAGGTTTACCGAGTGCGAGCTCTCGTGCTGGTCACTCTGGTGATCAAAATGGTGATATCGAGTATGCTTTTGCAGCCTGTGTACTAAGCACTAGGTGACATTTGAAAGAAGAGGAACAAGAAAGTTTATGTAGATTAGAGAAGTTGAATTCATTGCTGGTTTCCTTTGTAGACAACTGCGAATCTGATGCCGGTACTATTCACAGTGTCGAATCACTAGCGTGGATCACACATCGAACAGGAAGGAGGCGGTCAATGACCAGAGGAAAGGAAAGGGACAGTGACGGTCTGCATTTTCATGTTTTCGCACTATGACATATACGACCGCCGCATCTACTAGAAATGGGGTTAACGGTGATTGACTGTTGAGCGGGCCGACCTCCAACACCTGTTGTGACCTCGAGTTCCTATTTGAGACGGTGCCTTTCGAATATTGAATACATGTAGGTAGGCACACATCCCCACACCTGCGAATTATCCTATAGTAGCGCGGCGCTATGAGAACGGAGCATCATAGGGGGGAGCGGCTCGCCAGGGGGCAGCCAGGGGTCAAGCCCAGGGTCAGCCGAGGTCGCATCCTATTTGACGTTATTTCCGGGGTCCGCGTACAACATGGACGGCCCCGATGGCGCGACCTCACCGACACCGGCATTTCTACCTCGATCCCATAACCAGATTGCTGATACATTTTCAGCACTCAACCAATCTGGACTGCAGTTCAACCTCGACAAAGTCATGTCTGCCGTGCTACAACCCCTCCAGTGGTTCTACCGTGAATTCGGCCTTGCCTCTATCCACGCCACCGGCCGCGATGCCTACTTTATCATACTGGCCCGGACGTGCCGCATGTTTGCCTATGGCACGAACGCCCTGATATTAGGTATGCGACCAGTGATTAGCTTGTGTAACCTCCCTGCCGCTGACATCAGCTATCTGCAGCCATATTCTTCTCTGCTTTGGGGGTGTCCGATCACCAGATCGGGCTGTTTATGTCTCTCACGCTCGTCGGCGATGTATTTCTAGGGACCTTTCTGTCGCTCATCGCAGACCGCGTCGGTAGACGCAGGGTCCTGATCGGCGGATCAGTTCTCATGATCTTCAGCGGCACCATTTTCGCCGTGTTTGAGAACTTTTGGATCTTGTTGTTTGGTGCCATCGTTGGTGTTATCAGCATCACTGGGGGTGACTTTGGCCCCTTCAGAAGCATAGAAGAGTGCGCGTGACTAGGTCTTACTGGCACAATGATAGCTGACGGAAATACAGATCTATGTTGTCTCAGCTCACGACGCCTGCGACAAGGGCAGATGTCTTGTCCTGGCACGTCAGTACACCACTCTTGGGCTCCTCAATTGGAAGTGAAGTATCCGGACGGGTACTTCGTTATCTTCAGAGTAAGGATGGATGGTCAGAGATTGATGCATACCATGCCCTCTTCTGGATATACGCAGCCATGGGCTTGGTGAACCTAGCACTGGTGCTGCCTTTGACAGATGCCTGTGAGCTCCAACCGTCAAAGGAAGCTTACACACAGGTTCCGCAAGACGACACGGCCAATCTTGATGTCGATGAACCGGCGGACCTGTCCGAACAGATCACCGCGCCCCAGCCAGACTCGAGCCGGTTCATGCGGGCTCTGTCGTGGCTCTACAGTCGCCTGGCTCAGATATCGGCCCCAACCCGATCTGTCATGTATAAGCTGTGGTTTCTGCTAGCAGTCGACTCACTTGCCGATGGAATGGTCCCATGGTCCCTCACGAACTACTACTTGGATGTCAAATTTCATCCGGCCAAATCAACACTTGGCGACATAACGTCTGTCTGTTATCTTCTGGGTGCAGCGGCAGCTACGTTTGCAGGACCCCTTGCGCGGAAGATTGGGTTGATCAACACCATGGTCTTCACGCACATCCCATCTTCAGCAGCCGTGCTGGTCTTCCCCTTTCCTCCATATCTATGGATGGCAGCAACGCTGCTGCTGATCAGGTCTGGTCTTAATAACATGGACCAAGCGCCCCGTGCGGCGTTCATTGCCGCTGTGGTTAAACCCGAGGAACGAACGGCCGTGATGGGCATCACCAGCACGGTTAGGACCCTTGCAGCCATGATGGGCCCTACGGTCACCGGCCTTCTTGCCGCGAGCGAACGCTTCTGGATCGCGTTCGTCGTGGCGGGTATATGCCGTTTGTGCTATGACTTCGGCTTGTACGCTCTCTTCGTGAACATGAAGCTCCACGAACACGAGAGCACGACCGTTGATCAGCCGGATACTGGCAGTGAAAGACGTCCAGCCGACGAGGAGATGGAACTGCAGAGTATAGCTGAATCCGACAGCTCTGGTGCAGGCAGTAAGGCTGTCGAGCCGCCCATTGTCGCAGCATCGAACGGAAGCCTCAAACTTCCCGAGGGCAACTCAAGAGTTCGCAGTAGAAGTCCACGTCGCACGACTGACTTTGATGAATAACAGGGAGTCAGAGGCTCTCGCGTCCGAGTCTTTGCTGGCATACTACGGTAGCTGGACCACCGTATTGGTGCATACCTGTTGCAGCTCTCCAAGAGTGCAAATAGAACTGCGATATCATGTCTACAGTAAAGTCGAATACGAGATACCTATTTGAACGCTTTGCGTCGGCTCACTCGGTCACTCACACCTCTGACCTGGCATGCCTGGGTGGCTGGCCATGATCTGATCTTCACAGCCGCAAGTGCTATGTAAGGAGGTAGGCAGACAGAACCAGCACCTGCATGCACAGCCCGGCATCCCCATCCATCCCCATCCCTCCCCACCCCTCTTTCCATTTCAGTTTTCCTGTTCCCTTCCTTGAACAGAACCGAAACAGAGAACTTCAATTAGATTCCATTGCTAGCACCCGTGATCGGCCCCGGAATTGTCAAGTCAGCATCTGCCCACATTCACACCTACGGCCAGAACATCCCCTGTGACCTTCGTGCCTGCTGCCGGTGTCTCGACGGGTGCCTGTGTGCCTGTGTGCCTGTCTAGCAACGCAACATGTCGTCCGACTCAAGTGACCTGAGCGACACGGATGCTGTCTTCAGAGTTCGTCCATGGTGATTAGTGCCGGGGCGGCATTCGGTTTGGCGCATTGGGTGGCGAATACTCCCTAATGTAGCTTGTGTGCGGTGCTCGGGTTGAGATGCCGTTGTACTTGACCCGTAGCTATAACCCCACTCATGACATGATTTGTGTATGCCGTAGTTATAACCCCACTCTCTGACATGATTTGTATATGTCGCAGGACCTGCGCATTGATAACACTGGAATCATTTGTTCTTCACTTGCTTATCTTGGTAGTCAAAAGAGCTTCTAAAGAGTATTGACGGCCTCAGCTGGGACCGTCATGGCTTGTCACACCGGGCGATTTGAGGACAGGGAGACTGGAGATAGGTAAGATATGATAGGGAGGAACGATACCATTGCACCGCCTAATCGTAATATAGTTCCCCCTATCCCGTACCTCTGGCCATCAGCCTCGCCAGGGCTAAGCCGCCGTTCGACCTGGATCGACCAAGTTTGAATATATATACACCCGAGAAGCACGTGCAATGAGCCGCCCTGATCATGTAACCGTTCTTACGGCTCGGTGTTGACCGTCCAAACTCCCTTTGCAAGGCCGGTGGAAAGCCACAACCCGATATGCCCGTCTATAATGACCCATCTAGCTCAATAACTCCTTGATGTCTTCGATTTTCTGGAGTCTCTTTTCCTCATCTGACATCATGCCTAACGAAGTTGCACTATAGGCACACGTTAGAGACGGGGTGGCAGTCGGGGACTTCTTGAAGGGATTCACATGAATTTCTTCCGGTCTTGCACCCTCAGCATGCGCTCCTCAACACTATCCTTCGTGATGAAGCGATAGACCTTGACCTCGTCATCCTGACCCATGCGATGGACACGGTCAATTGCCTGCGCCTCGACTGCGAAACTCCACCACGGATCCATCATGAAGACGCGCTTCGCCTGCGTGAGGTTCAGTCCGACTCCGCCGGCTCGTAAGCTAATCAGGAAGATGGTGAACTTATCAGACTCGCTGAATTCCTTCAAGACGGCAGCACGGGCCTTCTGGGTGATTGAACCATCGAGACGGACGAAGTGCATGTTGGCTTTGGCGAGCGCCGGCTCAATCAGTGACATGAAGGACGTGAACTGACTGAAAACAACAGACTTCATTCGAGGGTGCTCCTTGCGGAGGGCGCGCAGGTGATTCATCAGTGAGACTACCTTGGACGAGGATTCGTTGACTCCGAGGCGCCGAAGGCTGATTTTCACGGAGCTATCGTCGTCGTGACGGACGACTTCGAAAAGGCCGCGGGTGTTGAGAGGTTCACGACAATTGAAGCATCGCGCAACCTCATGACGATCAGTGCTACGCTTTATGTAGTCCAGGAGACATTTCTTGCACGCCGAGTGCCAGCAACCGGTAACAGTCTGGTCAATCATGGGTTCTTCGGAGCAAATGGGACACTCATTGACTGCCTCGTCACGAATCTGCTCAAGAACATGGGCGCCGAAGGCATTAGCATCTTTCTCGTCCCCAGTGGTGGCAGTGAACTGTTCAATCAGAGACTGCAGGTCCATGTCATCGCTAAGCCCCGCTGCCGCATCGGCTTCGGCACCAGCGACTTCTTCGTCAGCCACGATGTCCTTGTTACGGACCAGGATCGGGTGGCAGCATGACTGCCTCAGACGGAGAATTTGGGCGAAGATTGTGGTGTACGCTTTCATCACGGTACCCTTGTCGATGTTCGCAGAAAAGGTGCTTCGTGCTCGTCGGAATATGTGATCGTAGACGTCACGTTCAACCTCGGAGAGCTCAACATCAACGACCTCAACTGACTTCGGCGGTAGTGGTACGAGACTAAACGATTGTGAGTGAGATGCTTCACCACATACGCGAAAGGTGCAGGGTATACTTACAACTGGCCGTCGGGGGTCTTCATGTCCTTCGTTCTCCTCATCACAAGAGGCTCTAACACCGTCTGCACTACGTCCAGTGCCCGCATGAAGTCCTTGGACTCAAACGGTACCGTGATGAATGTTCGCCAGAAGGAGAAGTTGTTCCAAGGCTCCACCCTAAGGAACCTGACCAGACTGAACAGATCCTCCAAGCGATTGACGATAGGTGTGCCTGTCAGCACCCAGCGGTGCTCAGCCGATAGCTCGTAGCAAGCTTTGGCCGTCTTGGATTGACGGTTTTTAATCGTATGGCCTTCGTCAAGAATGATTCGGAAGAAGTTCAGAGAGAATAGACCGGTATGCTGATCCTTGCTGCCCTTTCGCGCAGTCATCTGGCTGAACTCGGACAGGACCACACCGTAACTCGTAATGATCACATCCGGAGCAGAAGATAGATTGGCTTCACAGCACAACGTTTGAAGGTCGCCAATCTTGTCGTTGCCGTAGTAGATTATTGACTTTAGCGTTCCATCTTTGGATGCGTTCTCGGCTTCGCTTTGCCACTGCGCGAGCAGTGACATCGGGGCTACGACGAGGGTGGTCTTGGGCGCGGATACGATGCCATGGGAATTTGATGGTAGTCTTGGAAGTCCGTTGACAGAATTGATAGAAGCGTCCGATTTCTGTGTGGCTATCTCCGATTTGTGGGAGTGGATGAGACTTAGCATCTGAATCGTCTTTCCCAGGCCCATCTCGTCGGCAAGAATACCACCCAGGCAGTGCTGCTCTTGGACGGGAAAATCTAGGGACATCTCCCCGGAGTATGGATTCACGTAGAAACTGTCTTGATTCTCGACCAGAGGTAGATCTTTGTCGTCGACGTCTTTCACTGGCCAAGAGTACTCTTCCCAGAGGGGGTGCATTGAAGCTTCCCGTGCTTCATTCTTCTGATCCTTCTCTTTGGCAAGCATCCAGTGGAGCGATTGCTTTTGATATGGACGGAGATCCATGGCGAATGTATCTGCAGGTTCGGCCTCGGGGGTATTGAAATCAAAGGACTGAGCTTTTCGATAAAGGGAGTCAAGCTGATCTTGTTCCAGCTCTTCGCCTTCCTCTGCATCGTCTGACGGTGGTGAAGATCCACGAGCCTCCCTGTATGTAGTCAGTACGGGTGTCGTATGCATCAGAATGGTGAAACGTACCGATTACTGGACTTGGAAGCATCTTTGCTTTTCTTTTCATCCATCTCGGCAGCAGACAGAAGCCCTTGACTGGAGTCCTTGGCCGCAGCTGCGTTGGCTCTCGTAGGTGCGAGGTTGATCTCCTGAAATAACCTGACAAGGGCCACCTGCCGCAGACGAAGATCGCGCTCCTCTGACGTCTCCTTTTCCTCGAAAAGGCCGGTCGAACGATTGTTGCTTGACAACTGAATCCTGTTCCCCTGGAATATGGACCTTTTCAGGAAACACCACAGCTGAATGAAGACGGTATCATTCGTCCTGATTCTTTCCGGCGCATACACACAACTGCCCTCAAAATTGCACACGCTCTGGTCCATGAGCGAAGAGATCCAGTTGGCAGCATCCTTGGCCAGTCTTCCAATCTCGGAGCCTCCTGCATCGGTAAATCGCACGATCACATCAACCCTTCTAGCTTCAGCCGGACTCATCCGAGGCGGCGCAGCTGAGACATCGATCTTGTTCTTCGATCTGGCGGCCGAAGGCTTGGGTTGGATCTTTTGTCGGTCGATCTTCACAGCATCCCCGTATTTGAGAGTCGCACCGCTCCGAGTAGCCCACCCCTCCACTCCAAATGCACCGATATAACGAGTCTCGGGCATCGATCGTGACAATGACGGCGGTAGCGAAGGCACATGGGCTCCATTAGAGGCAGCAGACTGAGGTTGGGATGGTCGTGAAGGAAACATTGGCGAGTTACTAATGGGCGTTGGTCGTTTTCGGAAGTTCTTCCATGTACCGTCAAAGTACATGTTGACGGCTCGCTCGAGGTTGTTCCCACAGTGGCTGCGAATGGTACTGAGTGCCTCCGGGTCAACCTTCTCGCCAATGAAGGCTTCAAAGGCTTCGTCAGCAAAGGTCACGGTATCAGCAGACGTAGAGGTTGGCTGTGGACGAGGAGCATTGGTTGGTCCATTGGCCGAAGATGGGTTCGAGCCATTCTGCGACTGCTTCACTGCCAAAGGCGACCGAGTCTGTAGAAATTCTGGTGCCGCGTCGTTTTTCGCTGGGCTGTCGTCAGAATCGGCAAAGAACCTTCGCTTCTTGGCCGGCGGCTCCTCCGAGCCCGCGAAACTCATGGTGACCTTGGATGTCGCAGCAGAGGAGAGACGAGAGACAACGACGAGTTAATGGAAGCCCGTGTCTTCATTGATTATGTGGCGTTAATGGAAGACTGGGGAAGAGTGTGTTGGCAGTGAGAGGTGGTGTCCACGAAAATGAAACGTACAAAGACATGAAGAGGAGACGCGCCTGCTGGACGTTTTAGTGAGGCGACGCGACTTCCTCGGCGCGGGTATCACCTGATCGCGTGTTGATTACAGCGGGCTTATCTGGACCCGCTACAGAACTACACCAGTTAAGTGCAACAACTGGAGTAGAAATGCATCAATCCGTCAATTGAAACCTCACTGATGTCATCCAATGGTTATTATAATGCCAGACTGGAGCTCTCAGCTTCAAGCACAATCAGCTTCCTGCCCTTGCGCAACCGCAGCCCGCACTTCAACGTTGTGAGGGATGGCTTGGTCCAGATCAACTTGTCTCATATAGCGGCTTCCGATGTATCGTGTGATTCGAGCGCGACCGGGCCTTCAATGGTCCAAAGCTCTCCAACAGTCGTCGCGACGATGTCTTGTGACTGATGCCGAGGTCGACAAAGCGAGGCAATACTGTGTCGCACAGTTACGGTACGACTGGTGGTCGCTCATGCCGCGCATGACTTGAGCTATGTTGTCTAACTGAACCAGACAGTCTGACTACGATTCCTACCTGATACGAAACTTTATACCCAAAGCGCGACAAGACGCCTACGATGCCTTTCGCGCCTTCAACCTCGAGCTGGTGCGACTTCCCGATCTCGTGTCGAACCCAGCAATCGGACAGCTGCGCATGCAGTTCTGGCGAGACGCTGTCAACAACACGTTTGCGGGAAAGCCCCCGAAAGAACCCATCATGATCCTACTACACAAAGTCTTGTCCCAGCTGGCCGAGACATCGCCCGGCCACAGCCCGAGCTCCATCAAGTTCTGGCTACTGCGGTTGATCAATACGCGCGAGAAGTACATGGACAACCGACCGTTCACCAGTCTAGAGTCGCTTGAAGAATACGCCGAGAATACCTATTCGACGTTGATGTATTCCACATTGGCTGCGCTGCCCATGCGCTCCATGCACATGGATCATCTCGCGAGCCATATAGGCAAGGCCTGCGGAATAACTGCTGTCCTGAGGGGTGTCCCAATCCTGGCTGCACCTTCACCCTCTGTCAAGTCGCCTGGCGGTGCCGATGTAGGGAGAGGGAGGAACCCGGTGCTACTCCTCCCGCTGGATGTTCTAGCAGAAACCGGGGTGAAGGAAGAGGACGTGTACAGGCACGGCCCTGAAGCTGAGGGCCTCCAAGACGCCATCTTCAAGGTCGCTACGCGAGCCAATGACCATATTATCACCGCAAGAGAAATGTTGAAGAATCTCCGTACCGGGGAGAACCCCGGACATGAGTACGAGCATCAGGGCGAGGAGCAGCACGATTACCAGGATGCCTCCTCTAGCGATGATGGGGTGCAGATGGACATACGGCGAGGTTTCAGTGTCCTCCTGGAGGTTATACCTGCCGCCGATTACCTGACGCGGCTAGAGGCCCAGGATTTCGACCCCTTCAAAGTTAAAAGCAGTTGGAAACTCCCGTGGAACTTGTGGCGAGCTCATAAAACACAACAAATATGACAACCATGTCTCCGCCTCCATGACATTGGCCTAATGGCGCTCACCTAGGCTCGAGCCATTGATGTAAGGCATGCCTGGTGGCGTTTAATGGGTGCCTCGCAAGCTGGATTGCTGACCAGTACACCAAACCCTCAAAAGTCTCCGTACACTCCTCATCCACCAAGCGAAAGGTGGCATCCGTAAAAATGCAATAAGCACGTTACGCATCGGAGCCGGTGTCGCTCGTAGCGAGTGCTCCTCGTGTGACAGTAGCAACAAGCCTGAGCAGATGCGTGAGGATCAGAGAGATGGCAAGGTCACCGACAGCAACTTCAAGTTTGGACCCATTTGGCTCGACATACTAGAGTGAAAGACGTGGAGGCATCGTTTCGTCATGTAAGCTCGTCGTGGTCTTGAGGATGTGGGTTGGTGAAGGGAAGTGTTTGTTGTCTGCTGCAGCTACATATGAGAATAGAGACGTAGTTCAAAATAGCCGTCGGCTTCCGCGTTGTTGGATGCAGCTCTCCCGACGCCGTACTGACGCATAACGTTGTGCGAGGGCGCCGAAGACTGGCCCGTAGGTATTTGAGCACCATGGTAGTTAAATGAGCCTTCGGGCTTCGGCTCACCTGACGGGAGCCGAAAAGCAATGCAACTTGGACATACTCGTTATTGGTGCGACCGGTTGCAGCCGTCTTCAGCCTTGTGTCACGTCGAAACAGAGCAGGAGTCACAGACTCACAGTCCAGCACGCGACAAGCGCGTGTGAGCCTGATGCCAATCTCCCTGCGCAAGGAACGGTCACGATAGTTTCCAACGGCCTCATCCAAACTGCCAAAGTCGGCGCTTCGATGGCCCACTTATTGCAAGCCGGCCTGTTTTGCACGAAGCTTCAAGAACTTTTCCATGGGTGGAGTCGCGGCAAGCTTCGGCTTCGGCTTCCACCAGCAAAAAATAGGACGGGTCACGGCTGGCCCGTGGAGTGCCTAGCTCACCGAAGGTGAAATTTTCCTTCTAGCGGGGGAGCTTGGAATGCCAGGAATGGAGTCCAATTCCCATAGGATCGGTGCAAGGTGAAAAAATAAGAATTGTCGTTTGACAGGTGACTCCCTGGTGCCCCGCCTTTGATGGAAGAGATGCATCCATGTCCTGTTCATGTGAGGCGTCGAATCTTCAGCCCCTCAGTCCCCTGGGGAACCTTGATGTCGAGAAGTTTGCCTGTGAGAACTCAGAGAATTTTATATACTCCTGAGCTCGGTGTCTTCCCTCATCAAAGTCGTCACCGAGTCTTCACCTTCTTTTCAACTCGAGTCTAATCTCTGATTAAGTAATCTTTAGTCCGGAGCAGGCGTCCAGACCTTTCTGACGAACCCACCGAGCCGGAGCCGAGTCGCATTTGGTCGCATTTGGCAATTGCATGCGTCGGCTGTGGATCTTATAGGGTAACGATCGAGTAACACGGCCCGCTAGTCGCTGGAGCCGATGGTCCCAAGAGGGTACGGCATCGTACGATCCGCTTTGTTCACGATGGCTTCATTCGAGTGGGGTCTCCCCGTGTTGCAAATTCTTCGTTGTCCTGACGCCGGGACCGTATGCAGGAGTCGGTTTGCATGTTTGCTCGACCTCCCTTGCGTCCACACCGTACCGACGGAGCTCCGCCCTGTGCTCGACTGCCTTGCGTTGGTTGTGGCATGTGCTGCAGCTGATGCGGTGTGAGCTGACGTTACCCAATGACAATATCTCGGCTGACGGCCTTCAACATCTGTGGGGTATCAGTCAGCACCCGTGTACACTGTATGGCACGGTAACAGCATGGTCGAAACCCGGAAATCCCCAGCTGTGTGATGTCCTCCTTGGCGATCTCATCGGGGATTCGCCTAGTCTGCCTAGCGAGTGAGTGCATAGGGCTGGCTGCGATCACGAACGAGACGCCATATATGATCTACACTTGATCCCGCCGTGGCCCTATTCGCAGATCTTCAATCAACCGGGTACACTATTCTGGACATGATGTCTCAGCAAGTTTTATAAGACCCTGGGACCTGCAACTCACCTCCGACTACTTGCACGGCTTATACTTCTTGAGTATTCGCATTGGGAGCATCTCAACGGGTACTCGCTCGGTTCTCTCCATGGACCTGCAGGTAGACGACCCCTATGTTCGTGGCGTTCCTATCGTGATGGTAGACATCCTTGCACGTGAAAACTTGGCAAATTCTTGTGACGATGGATGGATGCGTTGTGCCACATCCTGATGAGGTTGCGAGATGTCATAGACCAGCGAATCAGAGACGAGTCCGATGATGGCCGGCCAGTACTTCGAGCACGTTCTTCCACCCTTGTAAGCACTATTGGACCATGTGGATTGAAGAGGAGCTCGAGGGCCTCTTGACCGCTGGAACTCGAACAATGTAGGGCGCTGACTGGCCTGCAATTACAGCGCCTGAGAACCCCTAACAAGCGCCCTGACCGGCCGAAGGCGACAGGTTTAGTTCCACAGCAAGCAATGACACATAATTACCTGAGAAAAGGGCGGGTGAAGCATGATGTGCTCGAGACACCGAGCCACGATGCAATATAACAGGCTTGATCCTCGTCGGCATGACTATATGACTCCCCCTTGACCTGGATGATGCGCAGATGTTTTCTGTTGACAAAGACAACGCTTCTTATAACAAGTCCCTGAGGCCCAGACCCGGTGAAGCGGCAAGCTCTCGTACCTTTGTTTAGTAGACTCACCAGCACACCCACTTACACGGGCAGACCAACCCCTGAGAAATCCAACGACACATCCTGACGACCTACCATCCCCCTGCTTGGAATTGACGAGATTTTGAAGACGAGACTGAAAATCACAAGACGAACACTCAGCCGTCTCGCCGTCTCACCGTCACTGTTTTGCGGCGGCTTGCGACCCGACGACTTACACCGGGAACCTCACCAACCAGAAGCCAGGGCATCACCACTCCGCCACCCAAAGGGGACAGAGCTCTTTCGACCACATGCAGGTGCACTCGAGGTGGAATTACGACACATTGAAGGAACAGGATTTGCAGAGGAACATCCAATTCCACTTCCGCCTCGCTCCTCGCTCCTCGCTCCTCGCCCCTCGCCCTCACCGAACAAACAGTCGAGCATCATCGGAGGGCGGACAGGTGTCATCTTACGCCGGTCTCCAGCTCCTTTCCCCAGATTTCCGACACGGCGAATCAGCGACACCGCACCGGTTGTCCCGCCCTTGCAGCTGGGCTAGCGAAATCGCATCATCATTAGGTACACAATAACCTTATACATATAACTGAGGTCATCGCCCCTGCCTGCAGACCTGCCAAGATGCCACACCGCGTGGTAGACTTCTTCCGCTCGCCCAACGACCACATCAAGGCCTCGGTGCAGCGACGAAGCAGCCCGAACACATCCAGGCGCACGTCGAGAGAGCGACCCACCCGCAACCCGTCGTACGCCTCTTCTGTAGACGAGACTACTGCCGAGGACAACGTACTAAACAACACACCAGCGCAGACAGCGGCGCCGGCGGTCAAGATGCCGGACTCGGCCAAGGAGAAGCACCCCAAGGACCACAAGGACCACCACCGCCTGAGCTTCCCGACCCTGCACCTGGGCGGATCCAAGGCCTCCAAAGACCACTCGTACAACCAGAGTGCGTCGCTGGACTGGAAAATCGAGTCGCCACCAGCCGTCATGCACGGCGACACAGAGAACAGCACTGGCGCTCTGGTTTCGGGTCAAATGCTGCTATGTGTCAAGGAGCCGCTCGACGTACAGAGCTTCGATGCCCGACTGGAGATCCACGTCATCCAGAAGAAGCCCTTCAACTATCACTGCCATGGCTGTGCCCACCAGAAGACAGAGGTGAAGAAGTGGTCTTTCTTGACTGAGCCCACGGCTCTCAGCAAGCGTAAGTCAACAGCATATTCCTACTTGTAAACCCTATCATCAATTCATAACTTACTCACACGAGAAACAGGAACACACCAGTTTCCATTCTCGGTTTTACTGGACGGTCACTTGCCCGCATCGACGGACAACTCCGTTCTGTCCATTCAGTACGACTTCACAGCCGAAGTGAAGCCCAAGAGCGGCTGTGCCATCAAGCTCTACAAGAAGATTGATGTCAAACGCTCGCTCCCCGTACCCGAGATCCCGCACCACAGCGTGCGCATTTTCCCACCCACCAACATCACCGCCAGCGTGCACTACGACCAGGTCGTGCACCCCATGGGCGCCAACCAGTTCACGATCCGCTTCGACGGCATTACCAAGCGCAACGTCGAGGCCAAAAGCGTCGAGTACTGGAAACTGAAGCGGCTCTCGTGGAAGCTGGAGGAGAATTTGACCACCGTCGCCCCGGCCTGCGAGAAGCATTCCCCAAAGGACGCGGAGACGGGCCAGCCGGCCAAGAAGGGCGCCAAGCGCACCGAGTTGCGCACCCTCGCCCACGCCGACATGCACAACGGGTGGAAGGCCGACTACTCGCCTGACGGCAACATCGAGATGGAGGTCTCGTACCAGTGCCCGCCGACCGCCAAGGCCGTATGCGACATGCACAGCAGCGATGGCACCGAGGTCACGCACCAGCTCGTCGTCGAGATGGTCGTCGTGCAGGAGTACTCGCCGCTCAACCAGCCGCGCCATGCCACGCCCACCGGCGTCGCACGCATATTGCGCATGCATTTTGGAATCGTCATGACGGAGCGCGCCGGCCTGGGCGTCAGCTGGGACAACGAGGCGCCCCCCATCTACCAGGACGTGCCGCCCTCGCCGCCCGGGTACACGAACCCGATCTCCTACGACAGCATGGAGGGCTTGGTGCTTGAGAACTCGACGCCCAACCGTGGCAGCCAGGAGGTGGTGGGAGAGATGGAGCGGGGTGCAAGCCCCGCGTACGAGGCGCGGTCACCGTGAGGTTCGATCCCTACATCGACTTCGGCCTCGCGACCTCACCTCCACGATGACGATGATGCAGCAAAAGGAAACGGCGTTTATCGGACACGTGGGCTGGCTGGCTCTCTTGACTTGACATGATTTTCAACAATACCCCTTGCGCGATACATTTGCTGGTCTGGCGTTCTAGAGGCTGGAATTGGCGGGCGAGGACACACAAAAAGTAAGTCGGTTGCCTCTCATGGCTTGCATGGGAATGGAGTAGAACGGCATCCACCAGGGAAGAATGTTGTGCATTGTATACATATACCCGTGAAGCGCCACGGAGCTGGCATTCTGCTATAGATTTGTAATACACTGGAACTCTACACCATACATCTCTCTCTCATGCCTTATTACATCGGCGCCTGCGATTGACGTTGATAGTGACGCGTAGAATAAGTGAACCGTAGAAGTACCCAGGTAGACGAGGCGAACTTCCGAGTGCTTCTGTAATATGTCAGTGTGATCAGTCACATTGGGGACCTAGCATTTGTCCTAGTCGCCCCTCTGAATAGCCTTGACCACGTACACACAGAAGAAAAAGTAAACGGGTGAACGGACGGATGGGAGCTTCGAGCAAAGCAAGCGCTAACGCTGAGAGGATTTTGGACCTGTTCCCGTATATACGTGTTGTCGTGTGTGTCATCGTCATGTTTCCGCCAAACGATACTTTCCCCAAGCTGCCCGCTGGAGTCCCCCCTTGACGGTAATAGTGACTGGCCGACATGACCAAGAAGCCACAGGGTTAGAGCGACGCCATGAGACAAGTTAACACCATATCCTACGTACACATCATAAGGGCCATTAATCTAACTAAGACGCAGTGACCGCAATGATTGTTGAATGGACCTCAGAGCGAAGGAAAAGACAACGTGTAGTATTATACGTATCAGATCCCCCTGTGAGGACGGCCAGCCCTGAGGTTCTACTCTATCTTCTAAATAACCCGCACCCAAGCGCCCCTAATGTTTAAATGTTACTACACGATTCAGCCGCCATGAGATCTAGCCCATAAATTCGCCGTCAAATGTGAAAGAAAACCCCCCCTTACTCCAGACCCAGTAGCGCTCAACCCAGCTGAAGAGTCTAGCATCGAACCGAAATGCAGTAAGCGAAAAGCGATTTCAAGATAAAAAATGCATCAACAGTCCGGAACGCTGACGGGGATATGCAGCGGCACGCTCGTAGCCAAGCCACTCAGGCTAGTCTCCTTGAACTCGTTCCTCATGCCCTGGGCCGTGAGGCGCATAGCGCGGATCGCATCGTCGAGGCTGACCTTCTGGGTGCCGGCCTCGCTTGACAGAGCGAGATTGGCGCTCGAGATGGCCTTGATGGCGCCCAGGGCGTTGCGCTCGATGCAGGGGGCCTGCACCAGCCCGCCGATCGGGTCGCAGGTCAGCCCGAGGTTGTGCTCGATGCCGATCTCGGCCGCCTGTTCGATCGTCTCGGGGCGCGCTCCCATGCACGCCGCGAAGGCGCCGGCCGCCATGGAGCAGGCGACGCCTACTTCGGCCATGCACCCGCCTTCGGCTGCGGAGATGGTGGCGCCGCGCTTGTAGAGCATGCCGATGGCCGAGGCCGTGAGCAGGAAGGTGAGGATGTCGCGTTCCGGGTCGTCGCTGACGAACTCGATGGTGTACTTTAGAACGGCTGGGATGATGCCCGCTGCGCCGTTGGTAGGTGCTGTGACTATGCGTCCACCAGCAGCATTAGTCTCGTTGACTGCCATGGCGTATACGGTCAAGTAGTCCATCGCTGGGAACGTGGTGCGGCGCAGGGGCGAGGGCATGATGGGGTGATAGACAGAGCCATGCACCCGGGGAGGCCCTCGCTTGCTGGCACCGAATTTCCGACTGAGTGGCGTAGACGCCTTCGCAAGCTCGGCTACCCCTGTTCCCTTCGGTGTTGGCGTGGATGGGGTCTCGCCTTGCGCGATACTCGGAGAACTCAACTGACCCTGCTCACTTGCTGCTGCCGAAGCCTGTGTGGAGGAGGGATATAGACCTCTTGTCAGTTTCTTATATAGTGCCGGCGCACGTCGATGGAGCTGCAGGGAGCCGGGAAGCTTGCTGTCTAGTGGCGCTTGAACACCTTCCAGGATACTCTGATCCATGACTTCCCAGATGCGGTACAGCTTGCTGGTGATGTCTTCGTCCGAGTAGCCTTGGCTCTTTTCGTTCTCGTATACCAACTGTGCGATGGTGAGATTGTGCTTGTTGCAGAGAGCCAGGAGACTGTTTGCATCCCGGAACGGATAGCGAGGTTGCTGTGAGCTCGTGCCAGTCTCGGCGGTTGTGGTGTCTGCTGTGGCAGGCGAACGGTTTCCAGTGTCAACCAAACCCGTAGTCTCTTCGGTGGCTTCTTCAGCCGCCTTGATCTCGGGCCCGGTTCGACGATCACCCGCGGCATCTGCTCGTCGGATTTCTTTATAGAACATGTTCTCGGCCAAGTCAGCTGGGTGTCCCCCACTGCCGTCCGTCTGCAGCTCGGTATTGGCGGAAGCCCCGCCGGAAGATTGGCTCGCTGCAGCTGCTGTGGCGGCTGTTGATAGTGCACCATTAACGACAAAACCACCGCCCACGCTGAACAGGTCGTTGGTTGCCAACATGATGCCCTCCTCGTCAAACACGGTGAAGCGCATGCCATTGCTGTGCAGGGGGAGTTTCCTGCCCCATTCCCACTTGAAGTCGACGTCGTAGTCAAACGCAATCTCCTTGCCCTTGTCTTCTCCTAGTCCAAATCCCAGGAAGAGCTTCTTCTCGTTCTTGATATGCGTAAACCGAGACGGCACGTAGGACGTGTCCACCGTCTCCACGTCTGCACCCTCGAGGCCCAGCAGCAGGGCCGAGGGTGTCATGTGGCCCTCGCCTGTAAGTGCTAAACTGCCGTAGATCCAGATGCGTATCTTGTGCGCTTTGTGCAGCAGGCCGGCCTCTGCGAGATCTGCGACGAAGATGTTGCCGGCACGCATGGGCCCAACGGTGTGAGAGGACGAAGGGCCGATACCGATGGAGAAGAGATCAAAGGTCGAGATGACGGCGTGTTCATGATCTGCTTCGCTGTACGTGCCAGACTGTCCCTCTTCGCTGTTATCGGGGCTGGGTGTCACCGTGTTGAGATGTCGAACTTGTGGCGCGGATGGCCCATGCCTCGCGACGCGTCCCAGCCGATGAGCACCCGTTACGGGTATATTTGCTTGCCATCTGCTGCTGATGGTCCATTTGATGCCGCACACAGGACCGCGCAACAGCCGGAGCTGCTGCTGTACTGCTACGCGGTTCATCGTGAAGCTGACAGCAACGTCCGTTTGCTGACGTGGACGTGGCTGGTGGAGACAGGCGGTGAGCGGGTCGTGAGTTGAGGACCGGAGGTGGCGTCGAGCAGCACCTTGGGGATCTCAAGCTCACCCAGCCAGACAGGACAGCTCGAGAGGCAATATCGGCCAAGTTTTGACGGGTGTTGGAGCTTGGGAGTTGCAGATAGACTTATTGTGTGTTCTGTTGGATGCAATGGGAGTGCGATCCAATGAAGGCAGCGCGATTCCAAGATGACAGCTATTTTGGGATCTGCCATCGGGAGCTTGGATCCTGCAGGCAGCTGCAAGGTACGAGTGCCAAGAACGGCGCCTGACATAGCGTGGCAGATGAACCGAACAGCGGGGCGTGCTCTGCCCCCCTTTTTCCTTATCACATCATCAATGCCGGTATCACTCATTAGCAAGGGAAGCTAAGCAAGAATATAATCGCTAACTAATAGGCCTTAAAGCACACAGGTCTAGAGCTAGAATGCTCAAACGAATGGATAGAAGAGAAAGGTTCATAAACCACAATTCTGAAATGAAACTCAGGTACGCCAATGCCAGCCCATAAAATAACGCCATGAAACCATTTTGAAGTCAAAAGTGAAGGAAAGAACTCAGACACTTCCGACCCAAGGAAACTTCGAGGTGGTCCTTTTTCATACCGCACATCCGTATGAAACACTCATCCACCTGTCTACTCATCACACCGTGTCAGTCTCGTTAAGATATTGGATGATCACCCGTAGTATCTTAAGACATCGGATGACATGATCGTTGTCCTCTGTCTTGTGTGCGTGGTCTAGGGCCTCGTCCAAGTGCTCTGTTCCAAGTTCCGCCGAATGCTTCGAGATAATGCGTTCGACGACGGACAACATTCGATATTCGCACGCGCGATTCAAAGCAAGCGCCTTTCGTTTCTCCCCACTCTTGCCGTCGTTATTCCAGATGGAGACGCCCTGCTCGACAAGGTATAGGGCCATCTCCTCATTTCCTTCTGATCGGCAACATTCTCCTCAAATCCTTTCTTAAGGGCAGCATCCAAGGCGTTGGACCTGTGGAGCAGCCGCTCGGGAAGATTTCAAAATCCTTTGTTCGCGAAGTACCAACACACCAACTTCACCCACCAACCTCTGATATGAAACTACATCTGCCACGCGCTCTTGTCCCGAGTCTCGAACGACGCCAACAGCCTACACCAACACTATCAGCATTCCGGATCCGGCGCCTTTATTCTCACCAACATAACACGGATTGACGTTGGTGGCAAGGAGATGACGCATCACTGATTGTGAACGATGAGAGTGATCTCCGGCATCTTACCGATTGATATATCCAATACACCAACTCTCAATGGAAGGAAGTCAAGTGTCTGTGCGGCAGAAGGGTGCCAACACAAGCCAAGAACCATACTCGGCATACTCACCTCCTTTTCTAACATCTCAATCAGATGCGCACCTGAGCTAAGTAGGACGACTCTTAAATCTAACATTGAGCACTGGCTGATATTGGTTCGTGAGCCCCTGGCCATTCCAATGATACCGCGCGCGCCAGTGGTCACGGTCACGACACCTCCAAAATCAGTGACTAGATATTGCTGCTGGCAGGGCAGACACTAGTCCACGTTTTGGTCCCAGTTCATCGAAGTCTGTCGCTTTCGAGGTACCAATCACTGGTTCTACCGACGTCCTCGGAGCCGAAGGGATGTTCCGGCATGACTGGCAGACCCCAAGCACATTGGGGTCGTCCTCGCGATAGACACGGAACGCTGTGTCGTGAGGTATATGTGTGCTTTAACGACGACTATTACCGGATGATGGGGATCTGTGCCCTGTTAAAAGACCACGTCTCTCAAGCAAGCACTGAACTGCGCGCGTCAAGATATGAATACTCAAAATGCCAGGATTGGTGGACGATAACGGTCGACCTTGGAATGAGAGACCGCAAAAGCCAGACAAGATAGCAACATGTAGGAAAGTAGAAGGGAAGATCACGTGGACATGTAACCTATTTCTCGATGCGGACGAGATGAAAAGGGAAGCCATGGATGCTAGGTATACTAAACCCACGGAAGTCTTCGCACATAGACGCCTTTACCATGGTCCCAAATAGTACATGTGGGATGGATGGGAGGTCGAGAGAAAGCGAGCGTTAGCCGAATACTGGCAAAGGCAAGACAGCACGAGGCCGAGCGCGCACCACAAAGGATAAACGGTATGGTTAAGAAATAGGCATTGGAGTGGTTTTTTATCTATGGAATAATCGCAGTAGAATAAGCATTAAAGATAGCCGAATAGAACTGAATTGTTTATTTAAGGATGTTTATATCATAAATTAGCTAACTATTAAAAGGTAAAGTTATATTAATATTATTAAGATTTAAACTTAACATTATATACGAAATCCAGTGGTCAGAATGGGATGAATAATGGTCTGTGTCTTGCCTATGGATCCATAGGGAAGATTCCCACCTAAATACAGGTGTGACAGCCCTTTGATGCCCTGCTGCCTGACAGCGAACAACAAACCTGTCACTGGTCACCATAATGGACCTTTCACCCCCTTTAGGCCCCTTTCATCTCTTTCACCTGGCGGACAGCTGCAGCCCATACCTGACAGCACCACAATGCTCATATTATATATATAAACAACCTTTAAATCTTTATACGTTGGATAATAACGCGTTTGTTACGAAAAATAAGCCGTACCGCGGCTGTTTACTTATTAACTAACGTTATTTAATTTCTCTAAAAAATAAAACTTATTCCGGCTTATGATATTTTTCCGACGGCTCAGGTTTGAAACTTTAAAGCTTACATTAGCTATATATTTTTAAGCGATTAAACCGCTAAGCTAATGACCCTTATAAATTAAAAACTTATTAAAAAGTAAAGTTTTATTAACGCTGAGATTCGAACTTAATATTATATATATATATATATATACAACCTTTAAATCTTTACACGTTTAATAACAACGACTACTTTTAAAAGTCTAAATAACATACCTATCAAGTGCGCAGACAGAGGCTTATAAGGGCTGAGTGTGCCTATATGGATGAAGTGTTTAACGTAGACCAAAACGGGTGAATATTTAGTATAGGGATGTCGGCAACGAGACTACTGTAGCACGAATGTGTTGAATGGGAGCCAGAGATAGAGACCGGAAGATCTCTAGTGAGGCGGAGACGCACACGGCATCTTACCCACTAAGAAGACAGATAATCAATATCTGCACGCAGAGCAGAACAATCAATACCCGTGCTCCGCACCACTTTCCACCTTGCCAGGGCTCACCACGTAAAGTGGTGCTCACTACAATAGCACACCAACCACAATAACACACTAATATGAGGTTATTCAGCATTAAATTTATGTAGTAATTGCATCTTCTTGCCAGATTCATAGATATCAGCAGCAGGCAGTCTCTTAGTCATCCTCTAATGCCTGGCCAACTTTGCTGCCTCCTTAGTGAGGTTCTTTTGTGATTAGAGTTTCTTCTTTACCAGGGTATCTGCCTTCTTTCAGAGGCCTGTTGTGATCTCTTGTTCCTTTTTCTTTGCTATCTGACACCCGATCTCAACTGTGAGTACTCCTCTTGATTAGAGAGGAGTGTTCTTTGCAGACCTGCGTTGTTTGTTAACTCGAGAGGTTAATTTGGTCCTTCCAAAGTCCCTTTTGGTCTGGACTAGCTGGGAGGCGTAAAAGCACGCCCCCTCAAATAGGAGCCTGATCCTCTCAATATCTTCAGAAGTAAGATCCTCGCCATCGTCCAGATTATTCAAGGCCTCGTCTACTTGATAAGCAACCTTGTGAATCTGCCGCATTGTAGTTAGGGTGGAAACTGGAGAGGAACCAGGCTGTTTATTGGGGGGGGGGGGGGGGGGGGGGGGGGGTGACGGGGTCCTCACGCAAGCTTTGCGCTCCTTCAACTGGTTAATCACAACTGGTTAATCACAACTGACGATTTGAAGAGATGGATGCCTGTTTTCTTGAAGGCAGAAAGGATACTGGTCTTCTTAAAAGCTTGCTGGCGAACTGTCACGGCGAGCGTACTGAGGAGCTGGGACATAGCCGGCAGCAAGCAGCAATTACTCTATTGATGAGAATATCAAGACTAGAGAAGAAAGGAAGAGAGAGAGAGATAGGTACAGCGGGAGGTTGCCCCTTTAAGGGGATCCTCTAGTCAGATCCTTCTCTTATTGAGAAGTATCGGCTTGTCATGTGGGAAGGTCCGTGCAGGCCGTCACACAAACCCCTTCAATAAATGACAAGAACTCGATCTTCCCGATGTGCATGAGACCATCACGCACTATAATATCCAGGGCTTTAACATGGTAGTGCTTCAAGGGCTGGAAAACCACCACATCGAGCGGCTGTAATAAATGCGTCATATTCGGAGGGAGACCAAAAAGGATGATGCTGTTGTCATCACAATATCTAATGAATTGTATCATGTGGTGGCTGCCGTGGCCATCGATAATTAAGAGCCTCTTTACACCAACTTAAGAGGTCTTAGAGTGCTTTTCAAAGTGCTTAATTCACTCTAGGCTAATCTCATCGTTCGAATAACCACTTTCTGCAATTATAATCGCCATCCTAGGGTCTAATTTGGGTACCTTGTACCATAAAGACATATGGAGGGTGCCAGAGAGGATAAAAAAGCCTGAGATGACCTTGTTAGCGGCAGAAATAGCTTTTATGCTAGTAGCGGACTTCCTATTCTCTGGTATTCCGAAATAATTGGCTTTTTTTCGCTTGGTGACGACCATCTGGTCCTTTTCAACCCCTAATCAAAAGCCAGTCTCGTCTATATTCCACAGGTCGTTAGGGAGGATGCCTTCCTCCCTGATAACCCTTCCCAGCTTCTGAAAGTACTCTTCAGTGCGTTTCGAGTCTTTAGCAGCTTGTTAATCTTGTGAAAGGACCTTCTGAGGCTGCTTGAAGTATCTGTGGCGCTTGATGAAGCGGGAGGCCCAATTCTTGCCAACTGTGGGTAGTTCCGTGACCGAGGCACTCGCTGACTCCTTAAGCAGTAAGTTGGCAGCCTCTGTGATGAATTCTGGTCTCACAGAAAGATTAATGGCATCTAAGCGGTCGATATAAGCACAGACGGCCTTTTCTTATATCGCATTCAGCTTGGTGGGTGGTTCTCATGGTTCTTTTTTGGAAGGGATACTCTGGAGGCGGTTGTGGAAGCGCTCCTTTAGAACCCCAAATTAGCGGCAAATACCGCGTTTGGAAGCATCCGAATCTTGTCGGCGTATTCTGCGGCTTTGTGAATATGGGATTCTATCGCGAAAAAGTCGTCTGCCTAAAAAGATAATGACTTTGATGTAGTTTTGGCTGGAGGGTGATTATTTTGGAAGACTGGTGTGTTATTGTAGTTGGTGTGCTACTGTAGTGAGCACCACTTTATGTGGTGAGCCCTGGCGAGGTGGAAAGTGGTGCGGGGCATGGGTAGAATCAATAAACAGCCGTGTATTCAACAACTACAATCAACTCGAGACATCAACATCTAGTAGAGTGATCGTACAGTGGCAGGCGCCCACATCAATAAATAAAACAGCTACAACGAGCCACAGCCTTAAACAAGTGCGATTTCCACCACCTAACTTTAATAAGATATAACTTAGATATAATAAATCAAATAAATTCGTAAGTCGATAAGCGTGATGGATCTGACACCCCATCAGGTGGTTTGGTAGGGTGGACGCGTTGCTCACTACACAGATAGATATATAATTGTGGGTCGGGATTTGGGATCTTTCACCCCACTAGATTTGGCTGGTGCTGCAGATCTCTCTTCCCTTCTTCACCAAAGTATTTTTGTACAATTGGAGATATTGATGGGCACTTTTGTCCTGGTCTCCAAGCTGCCCCGTAACAGCAAGTATCTTTATTAGTTAATTCTTTATTGTCGGCCCTTTCCCTTTTATTTTTAAGTATTTTATTCGTATATTAGTCGTGTAAGGAAGTAGGTGTTACGAACCAACGAACAATGCGGCCTGATAGCAGGCCTAGAAGGGACGATTGGAAACAGATTGACCAGAGAGTGGGGTGCTGATCAGTGGAGAGATCGGAGCAACGGAGCAACGGTACACAGATCACGCGACCAGCAGAGCTGGGTCACGTGACTAAGAATTTGGATCACTGGATCAACATGGTGATCCAGTGAGCAGGATCACCTTGGATCACCGGTAATCCAGGGTGAGCCATCTAATCAGTGAGGGAGAAATTGGATATATAAGGACAAACATTTCCCAACCAGATAGATAGACAGTCTCTACCTCAGTGATCAATCTAAGCATCTTAGCCAACCCTAAGGTGGGAGAAATCTCCTGACGACTCGACTACACAATGAACCCAGTTCAGACCAAGCCCCAGCATCTGAGTGTCTTCTAGTTGACAGAAGCCTCTATCGTCCTTTGTGTTGACTTACCTCAGAACATAAACCCTATAGAACCTTTTAGCCTTATAGGTTAGACGGCTCGTCACAGTAGGCGAGTTCTGGGGGGGAACTTGCCGTAGTCTCATTTATTGCTGTGGTTGCCTGCGTGAGTGCCTAGTTGTGGCTGTGACTTTATAATACGACATGTAGCGCCCAATACTCATGCGTCCATATCTTGAGGGTCCCGGCCCCCAAGACTGGGTTGTTCACATGTGAGACTGGGACATGGGCCGAGCTCTTGCAGAGGAAATGAGGTCGACAGCCTCCAAGAGACTGTCGCGAGGTAGGTAGTCCGTACAAGGCCAGTCGAGAGGATGGGATGGAAAGGCGGAGGCCGATGCTCAGCACCTTCGCGGCACCCTTCCACTCACACCTCTCAGCGTAAGGTACTTCATCCATTATCACATATCACAGACTATGACCATGGCAGAATCAGAGGATACTTAATGAATACTTGACAGACAATTCTGATACGCTTTGGATTCAATACATTCTCCTCCGAGTTCAATATGGTAAGATTGGCCAATTTTGAACGCGTTGGGCGGTAACCTCTACGCTAAGGTCCAGTGGCCAGTGCCCTGCAAGGCGCTGTATTACAGACCTGATGCGCTGAATTTTAGAAGCTACAGCGTATTCGACCCACTTTTCCCTTTACAGATTCCGCGCACCGTCAAAACACCAAGGACTATTCCCACCCGGGCGAACACGACTCCACCCCATCTCTCATTCAGTCCACCGACGATGCGTCCCGGCATACCTGAGTGATAGATAACGCCACCTATTTTTCTTCTTCGGGTCACTGCACAGCAAGCATGATGAAACCAGGTCGGCGGTTTGTATAACATGCATTGGGGCTATCTAGCTCTATGAGAGAGAAGGGACATAGTCACATAGGTAGCAGCATGGTCTATGGAAAGAGTCTATCTATCATACTAGGTACGTCTCTGGATTGGCCGCATTAATGCGTTACCCGAACAACACCACGAGGAGGTTCCAGAGTCCGATTTCGTTGCTCGTTAGATGGTCATGTCATATGGCTGTGCGAACCCCACGGACGGGATTCCACGTTAAATGGTAAGAGTAAATGGCAGTAAATGGCAAGGTACCTAGATTAGGAGAGGGTGGCGATGAGGAGGGAGGGAGAGGGCAAGGATGGAGAAGGGATGAAGAGGGTGATGATGAAGACGGGAAGGAGATGGCAATGATGGGGAAGGGAAGGAGAGGGTTGTGTGATGAGGAAGTGAAGGAGATGGTAATGATGGAGAAGGGCAGGAGAGGGTGGTGATGGAGAAGGGACGAAGAGGGTGATGATGGAGAAGGGAAGCAGGAGAAGCAAAGGTCATCACTTCAACAAATTGGTTCCACGACAGTGGGCAGCACCGTCCACAATCGGATCGTGTACTGCGGCGTCCTTTGACCGTCCGCAATCGGATCGTGCCGCCAGACCGCACCGCCAGTTGAGGAAGATCAGCCCTCCGCCTCAAAGATGCGAGCCTATGTGCAGTGATGGGGAGGGCAGCGATGGAGAGGGCAGTGGTGGAGAGGAATGATGAAGAAGGGAAGAGTGAAGGAGAGCAAAGTTGGAGGGACGGGCCCTTAAATATGTTTCTGGGAGCGGTGGCGGGAGCTGGGATCAGCCAGCCTGTGATGATCTGTCTTCTTCTCATGAGAGCATTGTGGCGGTTGGCGTTCTCTGCACATCTGCTTCTGGTATGGTACCAGGTGATAGGGTTTAGTCCACACAGAGTGAGAGTTGAATCAGAGCTTCTTACTGGTCCAGAACAGCATGAGTATTTGGGCGGCGTACCTGATTGGTGCTGGCAACTGTAAAGACTCTGGTTGTGAGTCAACTTAACAGATCAAGTGTATAAGGTTCGGTGGTTGATAACTCCAGAGGGTTACTTGATTGGTGGGAGCAGTGAAGAAAGTTGAGCAGATCAGGTGGCTTGAGCATTTTACTCCAGGGGAAGTGGACCGCAGTGACTCAGAACAATCGACTGCTGAAACTTATTCGACTGCAAAATGTCTCTTGAGTCAGCAGCGTTGCGTCAAAATCCGGTGGAGTGCGTGGGTACTCCCGCCGTGATCTTGCCGAGTGAGGTTACTAGATATTGTTGAACATGAGCAGACAATGTGGTGGATGTGCTCAGGTGAGACATAAAAGCGACGACGGTAATCATATATTTTCAAGCACTTTCATGGAACAATGCAACTGGGCATATGGAAAGGACGTTCATGGTCACTGCAATATTGTGGATGGGGTCAGGAAGGGCGACATTAGAATCAGCACGTGTGCGTGCAACCAGCAGTGCGATCAGTAAGGTTAACATGGGCAAAGATGCAACCAGTAAGAGTAGGATTAGTAAAAATAGAATCAGTAAGAAGGTACAAAGCCGTGAGAGTTGGCGAGGCGTATACTAACTCCGCCATCTGATTGCCCAGCCGCTCTGGCCCCTTTTCGCACTTACCCTACTAACTTTCCGCTTGGCTCGAGGTTACACAACCGGCCACGATGGAAGGCACAGCAGGTTGTAGAAGTCATGTGATTATATTGGTACTGTACCACAAAAGGGGGAGTGTTAGGTATCCAATCTTGACAACCAACGTCGCGACCCCCTAAACTTCCGAGTCATAGCGATGCAAGAGTAAATACCAAGGTCCACATCAGAATAGACGGCCGTACTATGAATGTCCCTGGCACTGTTTCTCTCAGCCCCAAAGCAGCCATCTACCTGAATCAGCTCCGCGATGCGGCAAGGCCTGCGACCTTGACGAGGCATCGGTTAAGCAACACCCTATCGACTATCCCACCGAACCGCCCTGACCCTGACCCAAGCATCAAGCCGACCGAGAGAGTCCGAGTGTTTACCTCACAACAGGCTTCACGTGGATGTGCAAGCCGGGCTTGTCCCAGAGCAGATAGGCCTTCTGGGTCTTCATCCAATCGCCGCTGCGCTCGTCAAGGGCGATTTCGAAGTTGAAGAGCAGCTTGGCCAAGATGAGCCGCATCTCCGCATATGCGAGACTAAAACGTTTGGCTCACGTCAGCACCCAGATCCAACCTCATCGCGCGCGCATGCATGCACGCATGACCGCATGAAGCAAATACAGACTTCTGTATTGACGTGACACGACGTATATGCGCGCCGTATCGTACCATGCTGAGATACCATCGGGAGAAAACAGAGAAAGTGAATGGGGCAACTCACTTGCGACCAATGCAGTTCCGCGGCCCGATATGGAATGGCTGCATAGCATCGAGCTGATCGCTCTTGTACTTGGGGTCGCCCATCCACCGCTCGGGGGCAAAGGTCATGGGCTCGGTCCAGTAGTCGGGGTGGTGGTTGACCGAGTACTGCCAGACAGCTACAACGGTCTGCACGAGTCGGGGTCAGTAACTTCAGTAGGTACGAGAGACAAGATATGGAAGGGGCGAGGAAGACCAGAGAGAAGAAATACTCACACCCTCGGCTACAGGCGTCCCGCTGATGACGCCGCCGCCCCTCGGCACCTGTCTCGGCAGCGCGCCCGCAACAGGCGGATACATGCGCAGACTCTCATTCAGGCAAGCCAGCATATACGTCAGGTTATTAACAGAATTCAGCGTGATCTCCTCGTCGCTCTTGAACGACGACCGCACCTCCTGCACCAGCCGGGCCAGCTTATCCGGGTTCGTCGCGAGCAGGAACGTGGCGCCGCTCAGCAGCGTGGCGGTCGTCTCGGAGCCGGCGATGATGAGTATGCTCGCGTTTTGGGCCAGCTTGTCGATGCCCATGCCCCACTCGGCATCCTTTTTCAGCAGGCCCTCGATTAGGTCCGGCCGCTCGTCGAAGCCGACCTCCATGCGCTGCTGCAGCTTCGCCTTCACGATGTCGCGGTGCTGGTTCTGCTTCGAGCCCTTGCTCCTCCCGAACCAGTTGACCAGAGGCAGCAGCCCCATGTTGACCAGCACCACGTTCTTGGCGTTCTGCCGGATTGTGTCCGTGATGAGCCGGATCCACGGGTGGTAGTCGGACTGGTCGAGACACCCAAACGAGCTGCCGAGGCCCAGGTCGCCGATGATGTCAAAGGTGGTATAGTTATACCACTCGCGCATGTTCAGGCTCGCGCCCAGAGCTGAATCACCACCGCCGCCGGGCACCGCGACGGCCTCCCGCATCCGCTGGATGAGCAGGTCGACGTACCCGCCAATGATAGGCTCCTGGCCGCGCATGCTGCGTTCCGAGAAGCCGTGCGCCAGCTGCCGGCGCAGCATCGAGTGCTCTTCGCGCTTAGCACTGATGATATGGCGCGGCAAGTGGGGAAGGATGCGGTAGAAGCCGTCGTACTTCTCCATCTCGGGCTCGCCGGCGGTCTTGTGGCCGTAGATGTCCTTCCAGGCCTGCGGCGAAGCGAAGCCGACCTCGCCGGGCGCGATCACCACCGCCGGGCCGTACTTGGCGTGCAGGCGCGCGACGTGGAACGGCAGATCGCCGATCCAGAGATGGTACGCCCGCGGGAGGATGGAGATGCGGTGGGAGAGCGGACCCGGGACGGACCGCAGCGGACTGAGGAAGATGTAGTAGAAGGTGCGGCCTACGAAGTACGTGAGGCCCTGGGTTGCTTGTCAGTTCATCGCGGAGCGCTGGGACTCGTCGCCTATACGCATTGCAAGGGAGGTGGCGATGTACGAGAACTTACAAGAGCGAGGCATATCGCGGCCATGTTGACCGGATGGCCTAGGTGTGTTGGTGCCATGACGACGATGACCTAGCTTGGAGTTTTGGCGTTAGAGGACGATGAGAGTGACGATGAATTTTTTATTTATACTAATGGTAAGTACTCTGTTGGAGAGATGTAAGTGAGGAGACGTTCAAACAGAGTGACGGAGAATAACCATGTTATATCATCATGCCCCTCTGTTGACTGTACCGGTCCTACAGTAGTACCGGCAGTCGAGAAAAAGAAAGGGTCATGAGTAGGGCAACGGTTCGGGGGATCACCCCTGTATCCAGTGTTGTGGGGATTATAAATCCGCGGATTCTATCCGCGAAAAGTCCCGGACAGTCCGCACATTTGCTTGGTGCCCATCGAGCCAGACAAATTCCAGACTGCATGGCGCTTGATGCGGTGTCTACGACTGACCCGTCACCGTCCATGGGCACAGGCGTGAGCCTGGAACATGCCTGGGTTGCCCGCGGTCAAAACCTCCTTCGCCCCTCGCCTCCCCCACACTATCATCGTCCCTTACTTAGTATGGATAGCAGGGGCCATCACCACCATCACCATCACCGCCACTTCCACGGCGCTGTCGACAGAATGTTCCAAATATAAAGGGCTCGCACCGCCCCTCAGACGCTTGGCTATCCCTAACCACTAACTTCTAACCTTCCTAACCGTGTCGAAGATTTGGTTATAGATGTCAGCAACAGTCGACGCCAATGCTCTGGCATGCTTCTAGCGCACTTGGCGTCACGGGGGGCGACCGAACGCGAGGGGCGTCAGCAGGTTTCGACCGCGGGCAACCCAGGCTGGGGGTTCGGTATCTCGCGTCCGTGTGGAATGCCTAGCCGAACCATAAGGGGGTATATATATCTGACATTGTCCTCCGACCATCCGACCATCCGGTTGGTCCCGCGCCCTTTCTCGCATGCATAAGTCAAAAGTGTCAAAACCTGACCGCCAGAGAACGGGCGTGGCCGCTGCCGTAGACGTGTGATGTGTGCATGTAAGTAGCGCCGGCAGTTGCGTAGCCCGGATGACGTTAACGCGTGAACTTATGTAAGGCTATAGGCTACATGCAGGTCGTATACATGCTCGTACGTGCATCGGCGAGGAGCGCTCCCGTGCATAAAATAAGTTCGTGGGCTCGACGTCTTTCACGATTTCACCCTTTTGGTAATAAGTTCCTATTACAATTCACGACCTTGGCATTGGTATTGCCGCTGCGCCCGTTCCGTGTTCCGTCGATCGGCAGTCAGATTCTCGCGTCCGGGGGATCTGCGCCCACTAAGGAAAGACCGGGGAAGTCTACCCGAATGTCACACTCGACACTCGTGATTTATGAATACAGGTCGCCAGCACTGAAAGTACTATCGCGGCCCCATGTGGAGGGAAGGTATGTTTCCTGCTGAATACACAGTGTTCAAGGGAGCTACCGATCCCGGCTGTTCACACTACTACTTTCAATGCCGTCGACATGTAGACTCGACTCTAGAACATGCGGTGTGTGGATAAATCCTGTATAAAGCCTAGTATCCACTGGAGATACGGGTTGTCAGGCGGGCAGTCGTTCCGCCGCATGTGGCCGAGGTCATGCAACTACCACAAGTAGGTCTCACTGTGTCGAAGGGAGGCATGTTCCAACCATTCATCCAAACTAAAGGGTGATCTCGATGCGAATGTGGATACGAGCACAGCTCGAAGTTAGAGACTCTCTACCAATATACAACGCTGTTATTAATGGTTGAGAAAGTATGGTACAGGAAAGAATGTGCAAGACATGCTAGAACGCATGAGTCTCGATGTGGGGGTATGCGAAGCGAGATTCCACGTCCTTCGAAACCGTGGGAAGCAATCGTACTCTGAAATCCCGATGTCAAGAACGCCTTAACTCCATCTCGATGAGTCCCTACCATGCAGAAAGAAACGAGGAGAGAACGCCACTATGGCAGCATTGTCCCGATGCGTCGTGGTTTAGTATTCTTGAAACTTCATGCGCCAGCATAGTCGTAAATGAGAGGCCAGGTGCGATGTGACGACGCACAAACGGACAACTACCTAGGCCCCGACCCTAACTCCGGACGGGGTCTTGATGTCGGCCGAGCCCTTGGTCTCATCGGGGCCTTGGGACGAAGTGCCATCTGGTTGATGCGACATCAATGGCTGCTTGGGGTCATAGCCAACAGACTTGACTATCCCCAAACCTTTGGTACGTCCCTCGCGGAATAGTAACCGGTCACCCGGAGCCAAGTATTCCGGGCGCTGGATGAACTGAAAGGCGACAGTTGCGCGATCGCCCGTTCGAATGAACGGACGGTCGATGTCGATAATGGCGCAAGTCTGAGAGACAGGTCCCACATGGAGCATCGCCTGGTATTTGGCCTTGATGGTCGTAGCATGCGACAGAATCAGGACCTCAGCCACGAATTCCTTGTGCACCTTCGGTAGCGGTTCACCCTCCACTTTCGGTAGCACGACCATGCCTTTCCTCACGTCTTTTCGCCGTACTTTTCTCAGGGCAAAACTGGCTGACTGTCCAGCAGATGCAGCAGGAACGGAGATGCGTTTCCTCTCGACCGATCGAATGTTCGTCGGAGTAAACTCGCCGTTGGAATTGGGTCCAATGAGTACGTTATCGCCCGCATGAACCAAGCCGGACTTGACTATCCCGCTGACAACTGTACCAACAAACGGAACAGAGAAGGTGTCATTGACCTGGAACTCGAACGGTGCGTCTGAATCATAACGACCATGGTGCGGAAGGATATTCAGGAAAGTCCGAACAAGATCCAAATTCTTCCCAGTGACGTTGGACACCTGAAAGACAGGACATATCCGCGGACTCACGAACTGCGTTGCCGTGTTGATACACTCCTCGCGGTTGTTGATGAACACCGGCATTTTCCTTGCACCAGGCGACTTGAGGATCTTAGTGATCTGCTGTATCGTCTGTTCCAAGATGTTGGGAGGGCAGATGTCGATTTTGGTAACGACAACCATGATGGGCACATTAAGTGCCACGGCAATACCGAGATGCTCTTTACTCATTCCGATAAGCCCATTATTGGCGGCAACCATTAGGAGGCAATAGTTCGGACTGCTAGACAGGAGACCGAACACGGTAGTTCTCAGGTATCGTTCGTGGCCAGCTAAATCGGTGAAGGTGATGACTTTTGCGCTTCGTTTGCCGATTTCTTCCCACGACAGTTTCCCTGCGGTGTGTTAGTCCGGCTTGCATGGCAACCTTCCGATACACAGTGTAACATACTGCCGGGAGTGTCTGAAGTGATGACATTTCCCATGGTGTCGAACCCCATGATCTCCATACCCACAGAGCTGGTTCGTCCAGTTTCAAGCTCGTGCTTGTGGCGGAAGAGGTTGACACGTGCCTTGCCTCGGCCGTCGTCAAGGTCGCCTTTCACTAGCACACCCAGCATGGAACTCTTGCCAGCATCGACTTCACACACTCTTAGTATCATAGCCTTGGTGCAATACCGTACTGCGATGACTCACCATTGCCGACCACGGCTATTCGAGTCTCAATAACTTCCTCAACGCTCGAAGGTGCGCGACGCAACAGGATCTTGCCAGTGCAGTCAGTGTCTTTGCTTTCGCCGCCCGCGGCGCTGGATTCGGCTTCAGCATCGCCTCCCACGTTCTTGGTGAGTAGGACATTGCAGTCGGCGCGGGACTTCTTTGCGGTTTCCTTCAATCTCGCCAATGCAGTGTCCCACTCGGCGCGAGTGAGGCGCATCGAGTCTCCATTGTTCTCGTATCCAATCTCGATGACGGCTTCGCCATGTCCCTCCTCGAGTCGTTCGTCGATGTATTTGGCAAGCTTGACCAAAGTAGCTTCGTCGTCGGCGGGAGACAAGAGCAGCTCGCGCAGGGGTATCTGGGGTTCGGAGTCGTTGAAGTCCAGAGAATCGAGGACGTCAAGTTCCTCGTGGTGTTCGGCAGCCGCAGCAGTAGGCTTTGCGCGGGGATATCTCAATGCTTGCTGCTGCTCGACGAATTCGGCGAACTCGCCTAGCGCCTAGGAAGTCGATGGGTCAGTATGCGACGGCGCATGGTTGTGATAATAGGGTATCGTTACAGCTTCGCCTCTCCGCCGCTCATGCGGGCCTTGTTTGCCGCCGCCTTTTCCTGTCATGTTTGCAGATTGTCGATTCGCAACAGGCGCGTTAATACCGGTGTATTCGGGTGATCATTGAGGCTGCTATCTAACTCTGTGCGACGTGGTTACTGAGACGGGATCATGCGAGGGTGAAGAAAGTGGGCATTGGTAGAATTGGTATATTGTTATTTTAAAAGCTGCGCACAAAGTATATCTCTAGGGAAAATTCAAGTAGTGTTGTGTTGGATGACTGCTCTCAACGTCGAGTCATAGATGGAAAGGAGTAACCCGGGGAGTCTGGCGAGGGTCAATTCCGAGGTTGGATCGATGACTGTTTCGTCCCCGCCGATATCGTTATCGATAGAGTTCGCACCAACTAATGTAGCCCCGCTAATAATCCCCGGCGGCATGGTCCACCTCCCCCGTTAGGGCCCCATTCTGTGGGTCGGATCGGCCCCGCGTCGAATCGTCGTCCTTGGCGTCAAGCCCCCTTCTTATGTATTCGATTATGGTCAGTCATATGGTCCGGTAAAAACGTAGGAAGTATTTTATGATTCATATTGGAGACTACTCTAATTACTGGTTACCGCACTATGGTAACCCTCATACCTTGTGGCGTCAGTAGTCATTGGTCACAAGTCTACTTTCAGATATACCTCTTCTTGAGCGGGTGGTCGACGTCTGTCGGTAAGAGTATAATACTCAAACCTCATCCCCTGGAAGGTGTCGACCAAGGTCTTCATTCACAACTACCACATCATCTTTCTTTATCAGGGTCCAGACATGAGCAGCAGTAATGAAGCCTTCACCCTGTCAGTCGACATGCAGGCCAATTTCAACGGGCCAATATTCGACCTGTCCGGCAACGCGCCCTTCGAGATATTCCTCAACATAAGAAAGAACAAGCTCTTGGAGACCAGGCTCGATGCACGCCACCTGACCATCCTAAGGACCGGTTCCATCTTCTACCTCCGGGCTGCCCTGAGAAAGGATCTCATACAACTGACAGACGAGACCCGGGGTGTGAGAGTCAGACTTGCCGCCCAAGATCAAGAGATAACAGGGGAAGGCCCTCAGGTGGATATGTCCCGCGTCTCCGAGGACTCGTTCATCACACTGCCCATAGACTTCAGCAAACCAAGGGGCACGCTGCTATCGGTTGCTCTCGATGCCGCTGCTTGTCTACGAGACGTGGTAGAGGTAGGTCATCAATACCGACTCGAGTTCCGAGACAAGAACCTGGGCGTGCAATGGTGGAGCTGGGGCTCACCAGAGAGCCTGTTCCCGGATGGCATACCAGCACGTCTCCCACCCGGCGAGCCCGCCACGATGATGGCTGGCCGGGTATGCTCGCGGAGGTTCAGGGTGGTTCCCTACGTCGCTTTGCCGCCGAAGCTGGATATCAGACTCTCACTCACTGGAACTGAATTGGACCCTATATCCTCACAGCAGTCAAAGGCAACTCCATCATCACCACCAACCGCATCAACAACAGCAAGCCCAACACCAATACCAACCCCATCCCTAAAACTCACCATCAAAAACCCGCACCCCTTCCCCCTAACCCTCCAAACCCACCTCCACCAACCCTACCTCTCCCCACCCCTCACACCCCCAAACCCCTACCCCCGCATCCTCGCCCCGGGACCCCTCAACCTGCGCAACTTTAGCATCGTCAACACCACCACCGCCGAAGATCTAATCCGCGAGTCCTGGACCTGCATCCTCACTAGTGGCAACGCCCCCCGGCGGCGCTCGCAGTTCCTGACGCTGAGCCCGGGGGAGGAGGTCGTGCGGTTGGGCGGCTTGCCGGTGCAGAGGGTGGTGCCTGGGACGGAGTACAGGATTAGACTGAGGTCGGTAGGGTGTTGGTGGATGAAGGGGACGCTGGATGAGCTGTTTGGGGAGGGGAAGGGGGTTTTGGAGGTTAAGACGCAGGTGGGGAGGGGGCGGACGCTGCCTTTGATGTTGGAGTGTGAGGATGAGGTGTTCTTTACTCCCGGCGGTAGTGATGAGGAGAGTGATGGTGAGGTGGTGTTTACGCCGGGGACTTCAGTGATGGGGAGGCTTGACAGTGGTTGCTGGTCTGGGTCATGAGCACGGGCATATGACCATATGTAGCGAAACTCCCGAGAAGAGCAAGTCGTACATGAGAAGAAAAGAATGACAGCGACATGGACTCCACATGTGATTCGCACCTCTGGTGAGAGGGCCAGGAATTCAGTTCTACTTCCAATGTGAGGGATCATCGAACAAGAGACACAGTTCAGGCAGCGATGACCGCCCGACATCGTCATCATTATATATTTCACAAAGATACTGGAGGACACATTCTGTTCCGTTGGAAGGGTATTCGGTACATCATACAGTACTACACATTACAGCGTGGTCTATCTCTGAGTGTTTCGGGTCGCTTTAATGTGCGTAAACCGTCACTGAACCGAGCCGAGAACCACCTTATTTGGCATCCTTCTTGGCCTTGTCGGCAATCTCCTCGGCTTTCTTGGACTTCTTCTCAAGAACCTGCTTCAGCTCATCCATTGTCTCCTTGAGCAGCTTCTCGCCCTCGTCCTTGTGCTTCTCGGCTACCTCTCTCAGCTGGTTCACCTTGCCGAGGATCTCGGATCCATTGGGGATCATGTTGAAGTATTGGTCAAGGCCGAAGCTGCTTGAAGTCTGGGAGCCCTTCTTCTTGGCCTTCTCGACGGCGTTGTTAACGTAGTCCTCGAAGCCGCCCATGTTGCCCGAGTTGACGGCATCCTTCGCCTTATCGAACAGCTCCTTCGCGTTGCCTTGCTTCAGGGCATCGGCGTTGTTCTCGACCAGTTCCTTGACCTTAGGGTTCTTGTCCAAGTACGGTTTCGCTTGCTCCAATCCCTTCTTCCAGGCCTCGTCGCCAAGCTTCTTTACTTGCTCGACCTTCTCCTCGATCAAGCGCCGTGCCTTGTCCAGGTTGGCGGCGCTCAGTCCACCACCCATCACGTCCTTGACTTGTTGCCATGTCTCGTCGACCTGCTTCTTCGCTTCCGGTCCATACTGGTCACCCATCTCCTTCAGCTGGTCGATGCTTCCACCAAACTTTTGCTTCAATTGGGGATGATTGTCCAGAATGCTGTCTAACGCGTCACCCGCAAGGCTACCAAGCTTCTTCGAAATGTCGGCGAGAACGTCGTAGGCCTTGGACGCGGTCTCCATGCTCAACCCGGACTTGGACAGGTCCAGCATCTGCTTGTAGGCATCGCTGATGATCTTGTTAACCTCGTCTTGGTGGTTCTCTCTCAGGATATCGACATCCTTGAACACGGTGTCGACGTATTGGCGTCCGCCCGGAACCCAGCTGACGTAAGAGTAGCAGAACTCCTTGATGTATTTCATGGCACCGTCAACATCGGGCGTCGTCTCCTGCAGCTTCTTCGTCGCCTCATAGTATTTCTTGCTGGCCTCCGTGGCTCCCTTGTTGATGGTTCGGTGCATTTTGCCGGACGGCGTTAATAGGAAGATTCCGTAAAGGAGGGCGCCGCCAGCAACACCACCAGCGAGGCCGGCAGCGAAGTGCGTATTGCTACTGGGTCCCGCATTGCTCGTGTTTGATGATGAAGAGGTGGTGGACTGGAATCGGTTATGCACGCGAGGAGCGCGGGCAGCGCGAGCAGCGCGCGGAATGGCGGCTCGGGTGGTTGTTCGTGCGGCATACATCTTGGGGTGATGGTGCGGTTACGGATTGGGGAATATGAGGTCGGAGATGGAAGATACTCAATGCCACTGTCCCGATGAACTGGAGTGTGCAAGTAGAAAAGGGTACGTAGGTGCAGGGAGGATTATGAGAGGTTGGCAAGGTGTGTTACGAAAAAAGAGGCAAGACACTGGGAAAAGCAAGCTGCAGACAAGCAAGCTCCGTCATGACAGAGGGGGGCATACACGATACGCCAGGCACGAGCAAATATCTAGGTACGTACCTGAATGACGTATGTAGCTGCATATTTACTCATGGGGTTAGTCATTCCCGCTCACATTTCACAGGGCAATTGAAAGTCGAGTTTTCCATCCTCGATTACCCGAATTGCCCATGACGGCATCATGATGCAGGGAAGGCTGGACTTGTCCATTCTTTCGACCTGGACAGCTTCCAATTCCAGCTGGTCCAGTCCCCTTTGGAGCTGGCTCCGGCTGGTGGATCATCGATCTAGCAGTGGCGGGGAGAGCTACCCACATTAATTCAAGGAGCTCGGGCCACCGATGACATACCCCCTGACCCGCTAGGAGTAAACCCTCCGGCCAGACTCATCCTGTGAATTCAGACCGAAACAAACTTCAAACCGAATTTTAAAAGTTCAACTCTACCTTACGGCGCGGAGAGGTATATTGAAAGTAGTTGCAACGACCTATTTAAGCTCTAACATAGTTATCACGATACAGGCGATTTTCGAGTCTATATCTATTTTTTAAAAATATTATAGTTATTTATTTATATGCGTTTATCTTTTCAAGCTGAATAACTATACCGTATGTGAGAATTGTGGTGGCTTTGGTGGTCAAAGGGGTCAATAGAAGCAGCTAGATGAAGGAGCTTTGTTAGATAATCTAAGGATAGGCCTTGCTTTGTGGTTTGAGTGTGTATTTAATAGCAAATCAGGCCCCCTTACCCACAGCCAGAACAAGTAAGCAACTAGGAAATCTACTCTTATTTCGCACCGGTACAAGATTCTTGACACCGTATAAATATATATTTATTATTATATGTTATTTACTTTAAAATAAAATTAAAGTTCAAATAAGTTTTAAATAAAAAATTTGGTATTAAAATATTAATAAGGCTAGTGATAAGGTATAAGACAAAAGTATGCCGTTATATTACGTTATTACCCCGTTAATAAGTTATATTTAAATATTTAAAATTCGAAAATATTTGTCATTATCTGTTAGCATACAGGTGCCGTGCAGGTGTCGTGCAGGTGCGGCGCCAGCTGCGCGGCAGCTGAGATGGACTATAATAGCTGGTCAAAGGAAGAAAGGGGCAGAAAGCCTCTATTAAGGGCTGGAATGCCCCCATACAGGGGCTTTCAGGGGTGATAGACAAGGAGTCATTGACAGTTAGATCTAAAGATGGGCCAGTCTTTCAGGATTGCACTGTATTTAGTACTGAGATTCGTTTTATGGACCGAAGTTAGATCACGCAACCAATACACTCTATTCTTGACCCTATAATATGGTCCTGTACTATGACATTATCGAATAATTTAAACGCGCTAGCTATTTGTTTAAGTTATTTAATTACTATTTTAAGGTTTAATATTTAAACCTAGCTGTTGCTCTGCTTTTTTATATTAAAAAGATTGTAGTTTTTTTTCTTTTTTCCTGAAAACGCTAATTATGAGGCTTTTAAAGCTTAAACCCCTTATTATAAAGGTTTTCATAACTAGATATTTATTTAAAAATAAAACGCGTATTAATCATAAATTAATTTCTTCGTTTAAAATAAATTCGAGACTTAGAATTAATGTTCGCGTTAAAAAGCTTGGCAGGTCGGACTAGCTTATGTAATCAGAATCTAGTGTGCTATCACTTCCAGCCGAAATGGATACAGCCCACTGAAAGGCTTGCTGCTATCCCTTTCAAACCCCCCACGCCCTGAGGTTTATCTAGTGGCAGGGAAGAATTGCAGCTCAATCAACCCGTAGCCAGACCCGAGAAGTTCTATAGTGAAACAAGAAAGACAAAGTCGAGTGTTAATGTGACGGCCTGCACAGACCTTCCCACACGACAAGCGGATACTTCCCAATAGGGGAAGGATCTGACCAAAGGATCCCCTTAAAGGGGCAACCTCCCACTGTACCTATCTCTCTCTCTCTCTCTTCCTTTCCTCTCTAGTCTTGATATTCTCGTCAATAGAGTAATAGCTGCTTGCTGCAGGCCATGTCCCAGCTCCTCAGTATGCTCGCCGTGACAGTTAAGAACGCTGTTTTTCTCATGAAGACAACCCCCAGAGGGACGGATTCCTACATCCTCAAGATATGAGGCGGATTCTCTTTATACAAAACACCTGCTCTGACCAACATAGAGCTTCAATTTAGAATAGGACGAACCATGCTCAGAGCTTGGCTCTATCCCGAGTGTGACCTGCCGCATCCTTGTACGAAGCAAGTCGGTTCCTCTTGCTATCGCCGCCGTGATGAACCTCGACAGGGGCATCAAAGGGGGTAGCATTCGCCTTCTCCTTGCGCTTGTCCGCCTCGACATACTCCCGCTCACCCTCACCAAGATACAGCTGCCGGGGCCTCCAGATCTTGACGCCAGACGGGTTGAGCATCATTTGCCGCCAGTGCGCCAGCCAGCCCACACACCTCGGCACAGCAAAAAGCACGGGATAAAAGTCAAGCGGGAAGCCCATAGCCTGGTAGATCAACCCAGAGTAGAAGTCGACGTTGGGGTACAAGTTACGGCTGCGCATGAACTCGCTCTTCCGGGCATAGTCCGCGAGAGTCGTGGCAGTGTCCAGGAGCTTGTTCCGCCCCGTAACCTGGAAGACCTGCTCGGCCAGCTCGCGGATGGCAGTGGACCGCGGGTCGACGTTCTTGTATACGCGGTGGCCGAACCCGACCAGCACGCGCTCGCGCTTCTCCACCTGGGCCATGAATGCCGGCACGTTTTCCGGCGATCCGATCTCCATCAGCATGCGGATCGCGCTCTCGGAGGCGCCACCGTGCGATGGACCGTACAATGCCGCGCAGCCGGCTGAGACCACGGAGTAGGGGTCCACGAGAGAGCTGCCAACCTGCAGAACGGTAGCGGTCGAGCAGTTCACCTCGTGGTCCGCGTGAATGATGAAAAGGGCGTCGAGGGCCTTCTCAAGCACGGGATGGGGCCGGTACTCGGTGCCGGACAGGTGGTCTAGCAGGTAGAGGAAGTTGCCCGTGTACGACAGGCCCTGTGCCGGTCGATTGAACGGTCTGCCTTGTCTCATTCGGTAAGACGCGGCTGCTAGCGTAGGCGCCTTGCCAATAATGCGAAGGATCTGCTTGTCTAGGATCTGAAGTGCCGCCGGGTCTCCAGAGGCAGCATTAGTAAAGAGCTTCTGGCCCCTGAGTGAAGGGTTGGCCTCGGGTGCGAAGGCACCAAGCGTAGCGAATGAAGATGTCAACATGGACATTGGGTGCGAGTCGTATCGGAACGACTTGAAGATGCCCTCAATGTCGCTGTGGATGTAGGTGTGATGCATGATCTCGTTCTGCCAGTTACTGTACTGGTTCTTCGTCGGCAGCTCGCCATAGATGAGCAGGAACGCCGATTCCAGGAAGTCGCTCTTCTTGACCAGCTGCTCAATCGGGTAGCCTCGATACCGCAGGATGCCGTCCAGACCGTTGATGTAGGTGATCTTGCTTTCCACTACAGCTGTGTTCATGTAGGCTGGATCGAAGACCCTGAGGCCCTGTTCCGTCTCATCCTCCTTCCGGTCATCCCCAGCCTGAGACTTGATCTTCTTGATATCTGTGGCCAGCACCGAGTTGTGCTTGATGGGGAGCTCATACACCTTGTTTGTCCGGTTGTCGACCACCGTCAGTGACTGACGTGGCGCTTGTTTTGGAACTGTCACCATCCTGTTGAAGATGCTGAAGATGCTGGAGGCTCTAGAGACGATGATGAGGGGGTGGGCGAAGCGGATAAGACTGGATTGAAGTCCGAAATGTAGAACTGGCAGAATCGGACGACCGGAGTTGTCAGAAGCAACCGAATGCTTCAACGTCGAACGAGGACTGAGACTGCAGTGTCCAGCCGGGCCGGAATGAGGCTGATGCAATGAAGATCGCTGAGCCGAGGTTCAAATATTAGTGGGTCTGGCCCATGGCTAGATTCGGCATTATCATGGCCCCGTTTTTTCCAGTCATTGGCTGATTGGGCCACCTGATGCGCCACACTGCGGCTCAGTCAATGAAGGGCCCACATCCGAACTTCTATAATAAACAAGTTTAATAGTAACTTTGAAAAAATGGTGTTCGTGTTTGTTTTAAAAAAAAATAGGGGTTTAACTTAATTTAAATATTATCCCGGCTATTTAATTAACTACGCCTTATTTATTCGGTTATAAGTACTTTATTTTATATACGTTTTTAAAAAATTTGAGGTACTTTTAAATATATTTAACGTTGCTTTTTACGTTTTTTTATGTTTTAAAGTATTTTATATCAAATAAAGCGATAAATAAAGCTTTTTAAGATGTTTTTATAAAGGCTTAACGGCATATATAAGAATACAACGGTATTAACGACATACATAAACATATAACAAAAAAGGATTATTTTTTTATACAAAAGCGACGGTTTTAAGATTAAATCTTCGCTTATAAGTTAAAAAGGTTAAAATTAAAGCTAATAATTAAGGTTAGCCGGAAGTTTAGAAAGCTGTACGAGCTCTTTATTTATAAATGCGTTTTTATACGTGTTAAAGTAGTAATATATTAGTAGTGGTAAGGGTGGTAATTGTCGAATGGGAGCCGGAAAGAGACACCGGAAGATCTCCAGTGGGGCAGAGACGCACAGGGCATCTGACCCACCAAGAAGACAGATGATCAATCTCTGTAGGCTGAAGAAGGAGAGCAGAAAAGGAAGAAGAACAGAACACACTTGACAACCTGAATAATCTGAACTCGCTTGCATCCGTGTATTCAACAGTAATAGAGCCTTATAGTGTTAATTGCGTAGGTTGTGATTGGCTGGAGCCCTTAGATGTATGTGTTATAATTGGTCGTGAAGACTATTTTTTTCACCGCACAGAGACTATTGTTTAAAGTTACTGCAACTTTAGAGGCATTGGGGGTAGGTGATCAAGCGAATCAATCAACTCCAATTCGGGCCTTCGTGTCGAGTCAACATTGCCTCTATCATAGTCTCTCTGGACCTCAATAGGAATACTCTTGCCCATGACGGAGTCTAAGGCTGTCCAACGACCTGTGAGCATTCCCATTGCTCATGAGGAGGTAGGTATAATCAATTCCATGTCGATAATTCCCCCGCACAAATGGTTGAGAGTAGGTGGCAAGTAGAGCATGGAATGTGTTCCAATGTCGAAACGCTGGCTTGCGATCGCCAATTGTGTTTCTAGGGGCTATTGGGACAAGGCTTGTACACCCATGTCAGCTGCGAGATGGCGATGGAGTAATAGGGAGGGAGGATAAATGACCGACTTTCACGAAGATGGGATTATTCGTTCTCGATGGATACTTTCCGCTTGGTGGCTCGTGTAATATGATGCCACGCTGGCTCACGGAAATCTCCATGGCCCTCCCTGTACAACGAGAGCATTTCCCAGCTCCATCATTCTGAACACGCCTTAGAACAAATCACAGGCTTCCCGGACTTTTTTTTTCAACATCAATCATCACTCCGCATTTTATACTATCCCGCATCGGATCTTTCGACCCTACAACCTCGTCCTGACCTTACGCGGCACCACTTTCTTGGCCGGCCTTGCATCGCTCATTGCATTCGCTGGGGCAAGCTGCGCGCCCTTTCCCTAAGTCAACGCACTGCATGCTGCCGTCCACAAATCGAGTTACAGGCCGCGTGGGAGCACATAAGTTAATCGCTGCTTTCACCCACTCCCCTTCCTTGTACAGCTAACGATAAATTGTGGTCTGGCATAGGGTTGAGCTCAGATTGGGCTGGAAAAGAGGGGAATGGAGAAACCTATCAAAGTCCATAAGATGAGCTGCTGGTGAAAGGAAAATCAAAAATGAGGAATAATCCCAAGCGCTTTTGGCTCACGGCTGAGATGTTGATCTCTCGGTCATTGACAACGGTTCCCTGTCCATGAGTCACCATATCAAGACATGAAGGCAAACAATCGAGGAATATAAATTCTGCTGCCCCTCAATACTTGTTCCATCCGACATGGCCCCATTTTCCCGCTGCTATTATGCCCTCGCTAGACTCCACCGCGGCCATACCCCGGATACTAGCCAAGAAAATTGCCGCAATGCATTTTGTTATCCTGCCGGTGGTTATAGGAAACAGTTTCGGTGATTATCTTCTCGGCAAACCTCTTAAGTTTTATTAGAGCTATGATATGTCGTGGAAACGATATGTTCTCCATGATATAGCGCAAGACCGCTGGCAACCCCATGCATGGGGAAGAGGCCCGTCGCCGACTCATCGGCGCACAGCCTGAGTACGAAAGAATCTCCTGTGTATAGTAGTACACTCGTGTAATACGTCTTGCCACAATTGGCGAAATTCATCTGACATATTCATGGCCCACAGGTGTAAGATACCCCACTGTTCCCCTTCTCTTATTCATCTCATTCGTCTGTCCCATGTGCCAACCGACTAACCACTGGCATTGTTCACAATGGTAATTTTACTTTCTCTCCTGGACAATGTGAATTCCATTCTTCTATTGTTTTGCGGTCAATCATTCGGCCAAAAATTCGCATAAATACCCTGCACGCCTCCCCTCTCCTAACCTACTTTCCCTTTCCTTCGTTAGGCTTCGCAGTGCTCCAAACTTTGAGCTTTCAATCACCATGTCAGTTTCCCTCGCATGCTTTGTCAACCGTGTCCTTGCTAACTTATAACAGTGACCAACAACCTACAACCTGCTTTCCGAGCTTCCTCTTACGCTGCTGCCAGTAGGTCTACCAACAAGTGTACCATTGTACAATGTGTTCAACGGAAAATGCTGATGATATCACCGTCAGACATGGCTACCACTCGCCAAGAGGAAGCTGTAGCCACCGACGGCGACCTGTCAGCTCTTCGTGAGAAGCTCGGCGCGAAATTTCGAACCGATCAAGCCTTGAAGGACGCGCTCGAGTCAGAGGGCATCGCCCCGTTCTTCCAGGAGCTTCTCCAGGACTTTCTCATCGACCATCCGGGCATTGACGACCCCGATTTCAACGAGACGATGAAGCACCACGCGATGGTGAACACCATGTGGGTGCATCAGTATCAGGCCGAGAACGTCGACAAGAGTCAGTTCACAGCTCTTGATCACGCCGTACGTTTCATGGTTGGCATTATCAGTTACGACATCGGCAATGCTGGAAGATTCGGCTGGGGCTAGGACGACTTTGAGATAGCTGTCTACGAGGCGTTCGAGATACTCGTTACGCTAAAGACTATTCGCATGAAGGAGAGCGGCACGAACAGCAGTGAAGGATGATTATGGGCAAGACTGTAATTGATAACCAGAAATAGTCAGTAATGAATCGCTGCTTAGTTAAGAAAGCTCGGCCCATCCATTCTGATCAACTGGCTGTCGACCCGAAAGGATATCTTGAATGATACTGAGATACATCAGAAGGGCAAGATACCGAAATAGTCATCCCAGACCCCCGTGATCATATGCGCGCACCATGCTTCCACAGCAGACTCGAGCTCCGCCTCAGCCGTCAATCTTGCAAGCCTGTCTTTCCAAAATAGAAACCTCTCTCGGGAATACACCGCGGTAGGTTCAACTCCAGCCTGTCGTGCGAGTGGGCCAACTGAATCTTGCCCGTCCAGAGACCATGAGGAGTCGCTGTCTGTTGAGGCGGTAAGACACAGTCGCAAGAGGTCCTCGCCTGCGTAGGAGAGCCAAATCTCGACGAGAGCCAGGTCTTCTTCACTGTGTCCGGATCCATATGAAGAATCAGAGGAGGACGGTGGCATTGGTGCTACCTCAAGAGCCAGCTTCATAATTTCCAGCCCACACTGGCTGAATTTATGACCACAGACACCTGAACTCGCCAATCGGGCGATGGCTGATGTTAGATTGCGGCGCTGATCGAACAAGGCTGGTGGCTCCATGACCTTCTTCCACGCACTCCGCACGTCCTGGACAAGGAAAGGCAGATCGACCCAGATGCGCCCCTGGGAAGTCATGGCCAGCTGGCCACCCTCATGTGTCATCCTCTGCAGGACACCACGGTGCCTCGCGCGCATGATAATCCGGAGCAAGCGATCCTGGGCGGGGTGATGGGCCTCGATGTTCTGCGCTGCAACCGTAAACATGTACCAGATGTCACGAATTTCAGCTTCGAACAGCTCAATGGGGTGGTTGGTCGCAGCGTAACGGCGGCTTAGGACACGGATGCCGCTCTCCATGGTCTTCCGCAGCGTATTGTTGTCGCCACCTGCAACCGCCTCTGGTTCGAGCATTTCCCTGCGGACTATCTCGCTCATTCGCTGGTAGCCTACAAGGGCTCTTTGAAGACTTGCTCCGTCCATGGCTTGGGGTGGGTTCATGACGACAATTGAGAGCAAGCAAGCTCGCCTGGCTAGTGAGATGTAGACAAGAGGACTGATGAGCAACGGTTCTTTGAACGACGGACGATGGAAATGATAGAGAACAGTGCAGAAAGAGAAAATAAAATGACGATGGGCGTGAGTGCCTCCTACATGATACGAGGACGAACCAACGCCCCCTACAGTGTACACTCAGTGCTTACCTACTTGCCCCGTCAATGCAGCCGGCATTGTCAGTGACTCATAGAAGCGCTTCCGACAGGGGCAGCGTCTGCAGAAACCCCGGTTACCGCGGCGCTGCAGCGTGTTGTTTTCACGGAGGGAGTATCGCAGAGTTGTGAGATTGGCTGAAGGAGACGATGATACCGGTCATAGGAGCTTCCAGGCGCGAGTAGACGACCCTTGCGCGAACCCTTGCGCAAACCCGGCAGCATGTGCGCAGACCCTGGCACGCCCCCCTGACTGCCTGGAGGTATTGTTATGACGTGGCCACCAAGAGAGCTCCGAGGCCGCGAATCCAGCAACCGGTGACCGACTTACAGTAGCAAAGAGAACACAAGGTACGAGACCATTCTGACAGCAATTGTCTACATGATTGAGGATTATGACACTGAGTGAAGACATAGGGAATGATGCGGGTGTTGGGAGCGTGAGACAACTGGCGGAGATCTTTGATGAGGCAAGCAACGCGAAGACCCTTGCACATCTACCCTGTCGCATTTGTGAGATCGTGGTCTGGTGCGATGTGAAGTGGCCTCGCGTCTGGAATGTTCAGAAATATAATACGTCCACTTCGCAGCCACCTTGCGCTGAACATGCGAGGTCCAGTTCTCAGAACGGCGTCCTGTTTCTCTTCAATACAATGCCATGGGCGTCACCGTATGAATGAGCTCTCATCAGCTGGCCTGGCCGTGAGACGCCACCGCCTTTCTCTCCACACGCGCCTCATGACCGGCGGCGCTTCTTTCGCCCATTCTCGACAACATCGCCCACTGCGCCAGTCGATTGTGGATATATCGATGATGGGATTGAAAGGCTAGATATGTATGACCTAGAGGGCTATCACCCGGTGACCATCGACAACCGGTTACATGATCGTTATCGAATAGTCGACAAGCTAGGCTTTGGTGGTTATTCCACCATTTGGCTCGCCTACGACGAACGACTATGATGCTATACCGCTGTCAAAGTGAGTACATCCAATCCATCACGTCCTCAGCGGGCAGCTACTATCCTACGCGCCCTATCTCGCTCGCGCTTGACTCCGCGCGCCGACAGTGCAGCAGTCAAGCGAGGACGCGATGCTCTGCCTAGAGTTCTAGATAAATTCGACATCCAGGGGCCTAATGGCACCCACGCATGCTATACAATGACACCAGCCCAGGGAAACTTACGTGAGGCATCATTCAGACGCCTGTTTCCCGTGCAAGTTGCCCGGGCGTTGGCTGCACAATTGGCGATCGCTGTCTCCCTCGTTCACTCGCAAGGTATCGTCCACGGAGGTATGTCCATCGTTTCCCACAGGTGGCTTTTCTCCAAACTAAAAGCACGTAGACATACATTCTGGGAGCATATTAGTCAAACTTGACTCGACTCTCGACCATCTGTCAGTCGACCAATTCAGAGAGGAATATGGCAAGCCCGAGATCGTGCCAATTCGCCGTGTCGACGGCCAGCCACTCCCGCCTAATGTTCCTTCTCATGCTGTGATGCCTTTGTATCTCGGCAAGAAAGCCCAAGACTTCACTCTGGATGACGCGCGCGGTCTAGTCCTCAGCGACTTTGGCGAGGCATTTGCCCCTGGTACTGAATAGCGACTCGGGAAGGAGTGCAATACGCCAATGGCCAAGAGAGCACCCGAAGCTCTCTTCGAGCCCAATGCACCTCTATCATACCCCTCAGACGTGTGGAGCCTCGGAACCGCTTTTTGGGAGATTCTGGGGATGAAGTTTATCTTCAGCGAGGACGAGACGACTGATCAGCTCGTGGCTCAGCAAATCGACGTGCTGGGCTCTTATGAATTCCCCTTGGACTGGCAGAAACACTGAGAACGATCTCACGCGGAAGAGGCGGGCACGGAAGATGGCATACTACGCCGGCCAATGAGGGACGGGGGGCATGGCCGCCGCTCGAACAGGCGTTCGAGGAGTTTGTGCAGAAGTACAGAAGGAAGCGGGAAGCAACTGGGGTGTTTGGAGAAGAGGAGACGAGAGCTATTCTCGACTTGATGCGAGCTATGCTCAAGTTTCGGCCGGAAGACCGGTTGACGGTAGACGAGGTGTTCAAGTCCAAGTGTATGTTCAAGTGGGCGTTACCGCAACTGATGGAAGGAGCTTAGTAAGTAAGCGGTAGTAGTTAGCGTTTTACACAATCCAATCTAACTCCTTCTAACTAAATTAAACCGTAATAACTAAGTAATCTAGTTTAATCAGGCTATTTCTTACTTAAGTGGCTCGTTTAACTATCGGAAGAACAACGCCGAGGCTTTAACCTAATTAAAACCTAAGCTTTTTGAAAAATCTATATATCTAGCTATACTACCAGCCGTACTATTAGCTATATTATATTTATCGCACCTCGGCTATATTTACTACTTATATTTACCTTTATTTATTTATTATATCCGTATATTTACGGACTTTTTAAATAACTGATTAATTTTAAATTAATTATTCTTAGTATAGTAATTATACTTGATAATTTTAACTCGTATAACGTTATATAATAATATCGAAACAGCCGAATTTAAAGAATTTGAAAACAACAGTTAAATAATTTAAATTAAATACTTTTAATTAAATTATAATTAACGTAAAAACCTTTTAACTACTCGAATTAAACCTGAACTACCTTTTAATTAATTATAAAAATTTAGATTATATAAAACGCTAGTAGTGGTATGCGGTCGGTTTTATCGGACGTGTACGATACGGCAGTATTGATACTGCTTCTGTTGAATGGGAGCCGGAGATAGACACCGGAAGATCTCCAGTAGGGCAGAGACGCACAGGGCACCTGACCCACCAAGAACACAGATGATCAATCTCTGCACGCAGAAGAAGAACACAATCAATAGAATCAATCAACATCCGTGTATTCAACAGCTTCTTTTAAACCGCACAGCCTTAATACCCAGCATGGAGTATTAGAACACGACTCTCAAGCGGCACCCATCTTATGCGCCCGTGAGCACCATGGTATCTTCTTACTTCATACAGCAATTTAATAATATGATATGATCAGACTTAGGATTTGACGGCTCGGTCTGACATCAAGAACAGGAAGTTCGGAGACCTGGCCCCTCTGCCGCTCGTACTGACAAGTACCTGGATGTACACGTCTCACGGATGATCCAGATCGACATCCCTTCCTGGCCGCCGGCGCTGCACGCTACCCCTGCAGTGTGCGGATCTGATAACTTTGTCCCACATCAGTGCGATGACGCGACCCACACAATCACTAATATCCCCGCTTATTTGCGGCATTTCCTGCCATTCAGCGGCCTTCCCTTTATCAGATTGAAATCTTCCGCTGTCAAGGCGGTGTGACTTCCGGATCGAGGACGTTTGTGCAGGCTGTGCTGGCGAAAGTCCTTCCACTGGAACACACCCGACATCGGTATTCTACAACAATTTGGTCTGGTAACCATGTTGATGACTCTGGACTACGCAAGTGTGGACTCAGCCCTTCTTCTGGCCAGGTTGGCACCATGGCTAGCCCGACAGTTCCGGGGTCTGCGATCAGGGCATCTGGATCAGGTCACTCTGCCTGTCAGCGTTCCGTACACCGAGAAGCCGACCCGTCGGGTCAACTTTCCCACATGCCGAAGTCAACACCTCCTTCGTCTTTTCCTGTAGTCTGGACACTCCAGTGCAGAACCCCAGTGACACATAATACCACAAGCTCTGTGGATCTCGATATACCTTCATATTGCCATCTCACAGCTTGACCCTATTTGTCCGACTGCAACAATACACAATTCAGACTCGCGATGTCCTCTATCTTCACCGACGACGTCCGCACGGCGGCGAACCCGTACAAGGTCTTGATAGCTGGTGGCTGTTACTCGGGTCTCTCAGCAGCCATCAACCTGCTGGAGCGGTGTGATACCATTGATTCTCCGATCCCAGTCGAGATCACCATCGTCGATGAACGTGACGGTTTCTGTATGTTGGCACCGCCCACCGATACGTGTTGAACGCCACTCATATAGCTAACCGCTCTCACCAGTCCATGTCATTGGGTCCCCACTGGCACTGGCCACAAGGAGCTACGCGGAGAAGGCGTGGGTAGAATACAAGGACGTTAAGGTGCTCCAGAGACCGGATGTGCGCTTCGTACACGGAAGCCTCAACAAGATCGACTGCGAGACCAAGATGGCCACTATCTCCGAAGGCCAGACAACACGGACGGAGACATACGACTTCTTCATCGCTGCTACGGGTCTACGGAGAGCATGGCCCGTTGTGCCGCAGGCGCTGAGCCGCAAGTCATATCTGATGGAGTCGGGGACGCACATTGACAGCGTGACGAATAGCACGGCACCAATTCTCGTTGTTGGTGGAGGTCAGTAGCCCACGTTCTAGATCGAGTAGGCGGGTTAAGGCTGATGCTTTCCAGGTGCTGTCGGGATTGAGATGGCGGCAGAGCTGAAGGAGGTGAAGCCCAATGTCAACGTGACACTAGCACACTCGCGAGACAAGCTCCTCTCGGCCGAACCGCTCCCCGACATGGTCAAGGACTGCGCGCTCGAACTCACGCAACAGACCGGCGTGGAAGTCCTGCTGAACCACCGACTGACAAGCGCCACTCCCGCGAAAAACGAGAACGGCATCGGTGTCTTCGAAGTCGAGTTCTCCAACGGCCACAAGATGGTCGCCAGCCAGGTCATCATGGCCATCTCGAAGAGCACACCCTCCACCGACTTCCTGCCAAAGGCCGCCCTCAGCACCGATGGCTACGTCAACATCCAACCGACGATGCAGCTCGCGCCCGAGACCCCAAACGCGGCGTCGCACTTTGCCGTCGGCGACCTGATCCACTGGTCCGGCATCAAGCGCTGCGGCGCGGCGATGCACGAGGGCAAGTTCGCGGGCCTGAACATCCACCAGATCATGCTGCAGCACATCCAGGGCCGGGAGCCCGTGTTCAACCGGCTGGGCGAGATCCCGCCCATGATCGGGCTCGCGGTCGGGAAGAATGCCGTGTCGTATGGGCCTGAGGGCATGAATCATGGGCCGCAGGTCATGCAGCGCTTTTTTGAGGACGACCTGGGTTTCAGGAGTAAGTTCCTCGATACCCGTCAATTCAAACTTCATCGCTAACTTGTTGCAGTCGTTTGGGATCACCTTCGTCTAGGAGGTATGAATGCTTAAATAGGTAAATTGGAGCGTGCTATTCGGGATATGATATAATGGGCATTATGGAACGGCGTGGGCGTGGTTGTGACTTTAGATGGCTTGAGCTTCATTAGACTCGAGCTTCATGACTCTGTGATGTGACTTGAATGCAATCAATTGAATAAGTACTACTTGTCACTACATGCTTTTCCTCCCCAAAAAGTCTCACAGCTTCGGCAACAACCCAACCAAAGTCCCACCCACGGCCTTCCCACTCTCATGCAGCGGGCACAGCTGGAAGAAGCGCTCGCGCGAGCACCGCATGAAGGCCGACCGCTTGTGCGGCAGGTCGACGAACTTGTCGAGCCCGAAGCCATGAATGAAATCGTACGCCAGCACGGAGCTGTTGGTGAACTTGGGCTCGCCAATCAGGTGCATGGTGCGCGGGTCGTCGAGGAACAGGTAGTGCATCAGGCTCGACCACCACGCCGTCACGCGGTGCGGGCCGCGGAAGCGCACATCGCCCACGAGCGAGTGGCGGCCGCGGTCGAAGTCGCCCGCGCTGTAGTAGGCGCCGAGTCGGTCCTCCTGTCGAATCGGTCAGCTACAGATCCCATACATGTTCTGTAGCCCGAAGGAAGATCACATACCTTGCCCCAGTACACCTCGAAATAGGCAAAATACGTATCGTCAAACCGCGCCAGAATGGTAATCTGATGCGGGTCCTCGTGCGCCTTGCGCAGGTACTCGCGGTGCTGCTCCAGCGTGCCCGTCTCGTTCCACCCCTGCGAGACACGCGGGTCATTCTGCCACGTGTGGAACAGGCCCAGGTGTTCCGGGTCCTGGAAATCCAGCGCCACCATGCTGAAGTTCTCCTTTAGGTGCGGGATCCAGCGGCTGTAGATGACGGAGCCCGGACGCGGCTTGGCCGGCCGACGCGGGTGCCATGTCAGCGCGCTGCCTGGCTCGTTGGTTATGGTGTTTTCGAGGGGCGTGAGAGGGTATGCGGATAGCGGCTTGGGCAGCGAGGCCGTCACTGAGGATGTGTCGTCCGGAATCCAGGCTGAGCGCGGTCCGAAGGGCGAGCCGGCGCCTTGCCAGAAGGTGCTGCGGAGGACGAGCAGCTCGTCGGTGAGCCCGCTGGCGATCGGGTAGTCAATGGCGAGCAGCACTGCCTTGAGCTGTGCCGAGAGCATTTCCTTGCCCGTGCCCGTAAGGCTGAGTCGGAAGCCCTCCGTGGCGGGCCGGATGGTGAAGAGCACGTAGATGAGGAGCCAGGCCTGGCCGAGGGTTGGCGGGCTCTCACTGTCCCAGACTACGGTTGAGCAGGGCGAGCGGCGCGCTCGGCCCCATGACGTGTTGTTGGACTCGGGCGGCCTTTCGCTGGACTTGAGGTCGGCGGGTTCAGTGAAGAAGAGGGTATCGTTGTGTAGAGGCTCTCGGGAAGGGTTTGTCTTGCTGCTGGCGCTCTGAGACTTGATCTGAAAGAACGCTGACGAAGAATCGGACGCTCGCGACGACTTTACGAGAGTGTAGGGTGTCTGGTATGGATGTGGTAGCCTGAGTATGGGCTCATTCTCTGGATGACCTGCCATTGCGCCGTCCAAGGTGGGTGAAGACAAATTGACCTGTAGGTGACGGTTTTACTTGACGATGACCTCAGAATAGCTCCTTTGGAGTGAAGTGAATAGCTTCAAAGGACCTCTCTCTCGCGCCTGTTGACTGGACGGAGCGGAGGACGAAGTTGTGGTGGAGACCACCACCACGATCAGTGTCTGTGTCAACCATTGTCATACCATCCCCTACTGCCAGTCCCTGCATCGACTGACGTCGCGTCACAGGCTGTGCTGGGCATATCCATCCAAAGTGCCATCCTGTCAGGGCCTGACACCCCATCTTGTTCGAGTCCGCCCCCGAACTCCAGCGGTTACTTGTCAAAGTACCGGCCAAGTACCGGCTCTACCAAGCGCTGCCCGGACTATTGTCCAACGACAAACACACCATGATGAGAGGGCATCAGAATTTTCGCCACTAATGCAAGCGACGATAGATGAAGCGACCCAGCCAACCCATCATCAAGGGCCCAAGGGGAGAGAAAGGCACTGGACTCCTGGTCGTCGCTCTTGGCAGTCATGCAGGCGCGGATCTGATAGCTTTATGTGGACTGGCCTAGCATCATGCATGCTCGAGCGGATCTGATAAAATTTCAGTGGCATGGCGCTGCATGGCCGAGCTCGGAGTGGAGCCTGACACGGATCTGATAACATGACCTCGGACCGACATTGGGTTTCGTGTGCCAGCCCCCCCCCCCCACCACAGCCCTAGGTGGATATGCCCTTGCAGATGCATAAGTAGATGTATCTCAGTCGGTTCCTTCACGTGTATATGTGTACTGAATTGTGCATCCAGGTTGCTACCTTGCGTAGCCGTTCTACGCGGCACACGTCTACGGGCACAGAAGAGTGGATATGGTTAAAGCATGTTCGATTGAGAGCGAGAGCACCCCGATGGCTGCCCGCTGGCTGGCCGACTGGAACGGGATAAGGTCTTGCCGTGACGTCGGCGTTCGGACCCCTATTTCGCTGCGAGGCGGATACGGTCCTCGTGTGTGTGCAGCTAGGGAGCCCTGTAAGGCCCCTGCCCTGAAAACCCTATTAGTCCCCCCTTTCCCCTCCTTGATATCCCTCCATCCCCCTTTCCCTCCTCTAAGTAGCCAAAAACGGCCCCGTTTACCCCTTTTCGCAAGGGACGGTAGGGGGGCGAAAAACGAGTAAAACCCAGCAAGTTCGGTGGGGTTTGCTGTTGTTGTCGATGGCAAGTTGCCAAGTTGTGTATGTGTGGATGCAGGTGTGCAAGATACGTGCTCTTGTGCTCCACGCAGACATCCACGACATATACCAACCAACTGCCCGCATGACCATATGAACGTCGCTGATTATTTGCGCTTCCGTCTCTCACATCTGCTCTGCCGTCAACACGCCTCGCGTCGGAGTCAGGGAAGTGTCGGGATTTTGACCAGCTCGTCTCGAGACGGGTCTAGCGGAGATGACGTTGGATCCATCCAGTAACAATTCGATGTCAACCTGGTCCCAGTCCTTGTAGAACTAGATGGGTTGTATCAGCTACTTGTAACGTTAGAGTGCACGACGAGACCACTTACGTGTTCGATTCCGGACAGGAACGCTTCATGTGCTGCCTTAGCAAAGCCTACAATGCCAATCACGAAAGGAATCAGCTGGCCGGTGGTATTCACCCCGTTGACGCCCTGTATCCCATTGCATCTGATGGTGAGTTCGATGCTCAGAATGAATGAAGTACACCGTGGCGCTCATGATCCAGGCGTGCCACAGGCAGCAGCATAGTAGTGTGGTCCGCTTGTGTCTATTTCATTAGTGAGTAGATCGCAGGGAGACGGTGCGTTTCCACTCACTGTTCACCTTCCCCCTGCTGAGGTGTTGTCGGTTCCTGCCTCTGTCGCTGCGACTTGCTCAAAATTAACGCATAAGCCTTCAAAAGTTCCCCACCATGTACAGGCCTCTCGACGGCAGACCGAGCTGTCTAAGCAACAGATACGAGTCCGGGCGAAGTACCACTCGAAATGAGATTCGAAATAATGTTCGGGGTACCATTCCCGAGCCCTTTGAGCCATTCACGCAGGCCATCAGACAAGCCAAGAATGTCCACGAGGCCGGAAATTATGAAACCCAAAACGTTGTTCAAGACCATCTGCCACAGAGTTATAAGGATGTACGCTTCTGGAAGGGCGAGTACGAGGGCAATAGCGAAAAGGGCCACGCGAGAACCCCCGTCGATAGGCTGTCGAGAGAAAATGAAGATGTATCCGGTTCCACCGCATACACCTTCCATTGTAACGTATCTGTACCCTCGGCCAGTAGCCAAATGTTCGTGGCCATTACCAGGCCGAAGGTGGTGGACCTCCACAATGAGCCTGCCCAGGAAAACGGACTATCCCTGAGAAACGCCAACTCGCTTAGCCTGACCTTCCAGAACTCGTTGCCGGTACTCGGGACGTCTGTGGGAGCGAATAGGCCGCGCGGTCCTTCGGCAGGAGCTCTTGGAGTGCGTCGAATATCCGGCTTGAATCTGTTTCGAAGATTCTTGATACGCCTGATAGCTGCCGCCAAAACAGGCCCCAAGGTGCTCGGCCTCAGCAAGCGGAGGCGCAAACCAAATATGCCCACGACCGTAAACATGTAGCCCAGACATATCTGATACATCAGCCACGCCTCGACCGGACGGATGCTGCCCGTGTCAGCGGACTGGAGCACCGCGATGATGATAGCGAACATGGAGATGGTGTTTGCGGTGTGCGTCTCGGCCGCCGTGTGCGGAGTCAGCGTCATGGACAGCCATGAGGAATACCATTGCAGATAGACGCCGATGCGAATGCCAAGTCCGTATAGATCCGGATTGCCGTCGAATCCAGTGCAGTCGCCGGCGGTGGGCTGGTTTAATACATTCGACATTTTGATCATCGTTGGTTTTTCGCTGTTGTAGTTGTTGTTGTTGATGTGCTCTGGCATTGATGCAAATTGAGAGATGGGCTGGGCAGTCCTCACTGCGTCAAGGAATTTCTGTTTATACGTCCCACAGCCAAATGATATATGACCAGTTACCCGACTTCAGCCACCAGGCTTTCGCCCCTATAAGGACAAAGAAGCTTGTGGGCATTCTACGCATCTGTCATAAAGGGAGATCCATGCGCCACTTTCAGGCGTAGGAAACTCATAGACTTATACAACTACGGAAGATGAAGGAAGGTACCAGAGAATACTGTGCAATGTCTCTCTACAAACGAGTAGATCTGGATGTTCATTCACCTTCTCTCTGCCTGCGCTTGTTCGGTTTAGCTCTTCAAGGAAACATGGCATGTAGGGAGCATACGACTGCAGAATATGAAACCCCAGTACTGAACACAAAGGCCCAGGGGTGGGTGGTGTGGCTCGATAGGTTGAAATCAGCCCAGGGAGGAAGATAGTCCAAGTCGTCCATTGTTACTGTTTTTTCTCTGTGGATAAGTTGAAACAACCATCAGCGTGTAAGATCTATGTGTGAAAATGAACGGAGGGCCGTTAGCGAACCATCTAACATGAATTTGCCAGCGAATAGGGGTAAGTTACTAACTGGATAAGTAGGGCGTGTGTTTGGTACGATTCTTCTTACAATAGCATAACTGGTTTTATGAAATATAAATATAAGTATTATAATATCCTTTTCACCTTATATCTCTCACTGTCGCGTTGCGAAGGGTACATCCCCAAGGCTTTGTGGTGTGATGAAACACTATACGGTGCAGACCTTGTGCGGCAACCATGTTGTCTGAGCGGTAAGATACCAGCAACCACTGTTGAATCATCAAGGCGAACATTCCAATTTTCCATCCCTGTCATCAAACTGTCCCACAGATCCGAACCAGCCATGTGGTCTAGCTGTTCCCTAGTTGGCGCGTCATCTTGGGAGTCGCTGTCGCAGTCAATAGTTCACAGCTTCTCAATACGGCGACTCCCTTTACACCATCTCGATTGACGACTTATCCGTCATTCTCAAGATGAGCAACGAAATGAAGCGATAAGGTACTTGAGGTAAGTGCAAGTGTACCAGAACCAAGCCGTCATGACTACACCTTCCGCGATACCTCCACCTCATCCCGCCTTGTGCCTTCCAAAACAGCCCTTCCTGCACGTCATGGGTTTTCCAGCCCGAACTTCCCTCTGGCGAGGGCAGAAGCAGGCCTTTATTCCCTTGCCACATTCATCCGTCAGTTCGATAGCATCACAACACCAGACTGAGATTCTGCTGTAACTTGAAGAAGAGATATTATTATTTGGTTCCATCGCTGAATTGACAACATTTTTTGCCCCCCATCCTCAACGCCATCGTCGGCAAGGCAAAACATTCATCGGACCCTGTTACCGACAATTCACGAAAGCCCCCAATGTCTCCTACGCAGGAACCGTGTGGGGGGTCTCCCAGTAAGCCCACACGAAGTTCTCAACCGGATGTGCACAACGCAGCACCTCCACGCGGGCAGAACCCCTATCTCTACAGGCCTTTGCCACCACACCCAAGGACTCTGCCACCACAGCCACACATTCTACCACCGCCTCCAGCCACTCTGCCAGCCCGGCCACCCACGCCACCGTGGAATACCACTTGGAAACCACTCCGACGCACAGGCAAACCATCCTGCCGCTGCCCCAGCCAGCCACTTTGCCACCCCGACCGCCTCAGCCAACTGCCAACCCACCTGATCTCGCAGATACAACTCCAGGACAGTCTGTTGCAACGTCGTCACGAGAACCGGGTCGCACACCGCGCATGCCAAACTCGCCCAAAGGCACAACGACGACCCCCGCTGCGCAGAAGGTGGAGGGCGAGGGAACTATGGATCCTGCCGCTAAGGCCAAGGAAACGAGGGGCAACAAGAGACGCTTCAGACGAATTCGGAAAGTAGTTGAGGCTGGTGTAACGACCCTCACAGAAGAATGCCAGGCTTTTATCGCGGAGCTGATCCACCGCCGAAAATGCGACCCGGATGCAACCGGAATTGACAAATTCGTACATAAGCTAGGGACCCAGATCACCAACAGAACGCAGGCGCTCACCTACCGGATGGTAGAATGGCACCTCAAACGGAAGAACTTTGAGCTGGTGGAGAAAATCCCGGGGGAAAAGCTCGCATATATGAACCGAGACTCTGGGGATGTCTGGCTTTGGCGCTCACCTAGCGCCGAAGAGCCCAATGATAAGAAATAAATCGACTCCGGGGAGATGGCTGAGCTGAACGAGATTAGCGATCTCATGGATATCCAGATGGCGCTCTGGTATGCTAGACCGAAGCTGCAAGAAGCAAGGACGCAGAATGATGGCGAAGGAATGCTGAGGTCGGCAAGACACACTGAAAGCTTTGATTCAAACGTCGTTGAACCATGGGCCAAAGGCTTCAAGGGGATAGATGACGGTGTCAGCGTAAAAGCGATTTCTTTATACTTTTATACTCACCATCGCATTGGAACTGTAATAGGATAATGAAATGGTCCTCAATGGGCCAGCGGATTCTCCTACCCAATTTCGAAGTATGGCTCTTGCATGAATACCACTGCCCCTTGATTCCAGTACTGAACTTCTATTGAACGACCACCGAGTGCCTGGCTGCCAGAATACGGTGGTAGGAGTAGGAGTAAGTGCTAATAGGCCCCAAAATTGATCATATATGAAGAGTCCTACTATTTACACCTTGTCAGAACTCCTTATTCGCACCTTGTCTCTATCCCCATCTCCCCAGGCGGCTCGCAGCGGGCTAACCACCAAGCTTACAGCTTACCATTGGCCGTATGGCGCAATGGTCAAATGCGCCTGGTTGTGTTCTCGTTTGTGCGGTGGGCGACGAGAACAAGTGGGTTCGAATCCTGCTACGGCCCCTTTTCTGACCCGGCTTGTGCAAGTCGACAACCAGCACACGACAGTGGAGAGGCCCCATTATCGCAGAGCCCGATAACCAAACAGCTTGTCTCTATAACACCCACTCCTGCGAGGTTTTTCCCCTTATGGTTTCCCTTGCTAGCAGAAAACAAACACCTGTTTTATCCACCAATACGACATATATCGAACGGCTACTGGAACGATATGTACACCAGAGGACTGAGCTCCACTGGGTCGCTTTGTCACTGGACAGGAGGTTTTTCTGACGGAATACGGAATCGTGCTTGGGTATTGACTAAAACCATCTGGTCACTCCAGGTTGGTACCGCTATAGCGAGGATGGGCTCGTGCGCGGATCTGAATGTATCTAGACTGACACCTCTACAACCTTGCGATGCAATGGCTCTGGGAGGCGTGGTTTGCCCTGTTGAGGGACTGCACCCACGATAAATAAAATCAATCAATCAATTACAGCTTACCATTAATTCGAGGTTGTCGGTGCAGTTGTCGGCGCAGTTGTTGGTGCAGTTGTGCTGAGATAGGGGGCTGTATTGCAGCTGGCTGACATTTGTGGTGTGGAGACAAGGTGCAAATAGCAGGACTCTATATGAATGAATATTCACAACTGGTTCGGTAGTCTCTTCAGCTCTACTACCTCGCATTCAAAACCCAGAAGAGAAGTCGGAAACCCACACAAGGTCTACTACCTCGATATCTCATGGGTGCATCCACGCCGAATGGTTCTAATCCACCCCCCTTCCAGGAATAACGCGCAGCCACTACTGTCAACTGCGAACTGTCAACGGCGGCTCGTGCCTTACCTCCTACCTACCTCATAGTTAAGGTAGGTACCTTATTTCCGTGGTCCGTGGAATACCAAAGACCTGTAGTGGAAGGAGAAGCCGTCCATTGGTTTTCAAGTGAGTCAAGACTGGGCAAGTGCAACTGCAACGTGCTCATGCGTTTTTCTGTTTTCGACAACAATGCACAACAACACTCCATCCCCCCACACGACAACAACATAGGTACCAGAAGCATATTTTCATCATCTCCAACCGCCCACACCCCAACACGATACCAGGAGCATACCTCCCTCATCTTCAAACGAGCCCCCACCTCGCCACAAGGCTTTCGCAAGAAAAAAACAATCATCATGAGACACCACCATCTGGACCCCGATTACCGCGGCCTGCCCTTGGATTTCTCCGACTCTGACTCCGAGAAAACACTCACCATGGAATCCGACGACGACAAAACAACGGACATGGACATCTCCGAGTCCGACCTGGCATCCTCCGGCCTGGCAATCCCCCGGATGAAATTCCCCAGCCGGGAACCTGCCGCCCTGGAACCCCCCGCCCTGGAAGACCCTGTGCATCAGGAGGCGATGATGGTACCGTTCGTCTCCGGCCTCAGTCTCCTCATCGAACGAGTCAAGTCCAATATGTTCAACTCGGCACGCCTCATGTTGGCGGACGCCGAACAGTCGACACTCAGTGAGGAAATCATCAGAGTGACCAACCAATACTCCACCCTCGAACACCATCCAGCCTGGATCGACAGGCTCACCAGGGGATTCCGCCACCCGACACTGGCATTGACCCTGAGCCTCGCGTACTAGCACTGCGTAACGCGCCCGGCCAACCTCGTGATCATCAAGCAACTGCTCGAGACCCTATACAGACCGCACATCTCCGAAAACGCCTGGACGTCTGGGGGCTGGGTACAACAGGTTCTAGAGCTTGTCAAACGTCGCAAAGATAACGGTGTGGAGGAATTTGGGGAACAAATGCTCGAGCGAGAAGTCATGGTCATGCGGAAGCTGTAGGAGCTGCGACCCATATACGCGATGTGGTATGACTCTTTTGGGGTTGGTCCCGATCCAGCACTTGGCGTGGTGATGCCGGGGGCTGCACGGGACGCGGATGCTACACGGCACCTGGAGGATGTGAATCGACAGATGGGAGACTTCGCTCAGGGTCAGGAGCCGCTGCCAATCTTCGGCGGACCACCAGAAGAAGACAATGATCCTACTCTTGCACCGTCTCCGCCGCGACCTACTCCGCGAACTTTGAATTTGGACCCTAGTCCTGCTGTGATGAGTCCGCGATATTATGAGGATGCCATGGTCGATGAAAAAGACGACCCCTTTTTTGACGACGATTCTACTGTCGAGTGGAAATACAACGACGATTTGGACGATGCTACTGTCGATGAAAACGACGATGGTTTGGGCGACGGTTTGGACGATGCTACTGTCGATGAAACCGACAACAGTTTCAATACTACTGTTGATGAAATCGACGACAGTTTCAATACTACTGTCGATGAAATCGACAACTCCTACCTTCCAGAGACCCCGCCAAGTTCAAAGAGGCAAAAAAGATAGATATCACGCAGTGATGGGTGTATCTTGGGCACCAGTGGTCGAGAGACATCGTCGCTTATTGGGTTGATTGCTTTAGGACGTCTTTGCCGTTAGAAGATGCATGAATTGATAGAAATGCTTTGATGGCATCTTTTACGATACCAGCACTGCGAAAACATGCTTATCACGCTTGGTGTATCCTGCCATATATGTTTGATTTGGTGTACTTCTCTGCTTGCCCCGTCATCAGACAGCCTCCGCGCGTGCTCTGGAGAGGACTTACTTGCTGTGCTCCTCCCGCGAGAAAGCTTCTGTGTGATGATGTTGATGCACTTGCCGTGGAAGCATGCCCGACGCACTCCGCCCGCGCTTTTCAGTGTGCATGCCGTATGTTATCACCAACACATTGGCCTTGCGTACGCCTTCATCCACACGCGCGATCGCTAATCAGAGAGCTTGTTCAACGCCAGTAACCAGCTGCGTATCCGGGCTTCTCGTCCGCAGCGCCGTATCCGTGTCTCCTTCCCTTGCTCTGTCCAGCATATCGCCATTTCGTTTGGCACGCGCCCTCATTACGCGTTGCGGCGGAGCCATCGTTCGTCTTCGTGTGCATTGCCATCATCAAATTGTCGCTTGGGGGCCGTCTCACGCGTGTCAGATGCGTCGCTCAACGCCAACATGACCTCGTCGTATCTCCTACTTGCCTCAAACCGCGGGATTGCTTGCTTCGTGTGTGTCTGCTAGCGGTGTCCCCTTCTAGGTCGCCGTCACTTCCACACCGTGACATGTACCAAGAGGACCTCCCATCCAGCCAGCTGCTGCCAAGTGGTGATTGCGCTTACAGTGGTCACCTGGCACCTGGCCGTCAACTGCACCTCCCCTATTTCCACTGACCTTGTCTAGGTAGTCTCTCACTAGTCCTGTTGTCGCGCCTGCTGTCACGCCGGCTCGTCTTGCTGCCCCCGTCTGACCCGATGCGTTACGCCAAGCGGCATGTGTGCAAAGCCTGGCCGACAAATCTAACCTTAGAGCCTGCTCGAAACATTGTGTTCTTACTATTATCCTCCCCCATATATCCAATGCGAGAAAATCTCGCCGAAAGGCCCCAGACCATTGCATATACGTTCACCGGTCATCTCCTAGGTAAAGAACGGCAGGACCGCACATAGAACATACTGGTTATATATAACAAAGGCTCGCTTGTGTCCACCTTTTGCTTCGCGTACGAAGAGCGCGAACATTGTCTACCCTATCAACAACGCTCACCAAGGACGACCGCTCCGTGCTACAGGCGTAAAAATCATCCATTGCCATCCAGATCAGGCACTCACATCTACTGATGCCTTGGGCAGCTCCGGCGATCCACGCAGTTGGCCCCATTCACAAGGCCCGAAATATTAAGACCCTTGTGCGATGCCTCAGGATTAACAAGTTTCTTTGAATATCTGTGGCTGTCACCCAAAGCTGGAAAAATTACCTCCCAATTCCTTGGAAGTCTGTCACCATCGCCGACGCCGAGGCAAGCTGACCCGCATGCTTCAACACTCTGCCATGGCCGGGGACGGCGGGGGGCAATCTCTAGCTGATACTTGGGCTTTATTTGTGTGCCTTCATTCTTGGATACATGGTGACCCATCCAAACCACAAACAAACAGCAACCCAACCTCGCCCACACTACCACCCGAGCTTTTCGCTGGAACCATGGCCACGAACCTGATAAAAGACCTTCAAATACGAAGCATTCTCGCATCGGACTTCCACATAGGCCCCAAGATCCTAAGTCTAGCCGCACAATCCCAACTCATCGACCTCATCGACCCCAGCAACGCGGAGCAGTTATACTGCATCGATCTACTATCGCAAACGGAGAACATAACCCCGACACTCGCCTTGCGCATCGCCCGATGGTACCATCAGCAGGATCATGTCGAGAACGCTGTCAGTGTCCTGAGGAAGAAGCTTGCGGATACCGAAGGGGCCTACAGCTAGGAGCTGATGCCGCTGAAGGAGGTCAGGGAGTTGATGAATCTACAGATCACGCTGGATTGTCTTACTGCTGTGGAGGAGGAGGTTTCTCAGGAGGAGCAGGTTTCGCAGGAGGAGCAGGTTTCGCAGGAGGAGCAGGTTTCGCAGAAGGAGCAGGCTTGACCATATCGTGATCTGTGGAATCAAGGCAACGGACGCGAACAGCTGAGAAGATCAAGACAAAGAGTAAGTGACTACAGGGGAAGGCGCAACGAGACCATCAAAGACCCTGACCGATTAACCACTGACCGTACTAGTAGACACCGCAATGATTACCACCCTCCACAAAGGCCGAAGGGGACAAACGTTTCGACAAGTACATCAGATTCGCTCTTTACAGAATGGCTCTACATTCCAGCTAGGGCTAGGGAACGCGCGGGATATCATATGGGTGGCAGTTTCCTCGATTTCATAGACAGGCCCAATATATGCAATTCTCTCCCACCACGTAGCCATTACTGTGAATGCAGAACGCCTATTACTCGAATCTTCGTCAACAGATTCCGCAGTTCCCCCCTCCACCACTCAAACTAGGCCCACCATCTCAAAGTGTAGTTTGTGTTCAAGGCAGTTGTCCAGGCAGTTGTCGATGCGTGTGACGGTGCACATATTCACGTGACAGGTGACGGCCACCAGGCGCGACTCGCACTGGATGAGGCGTCGCCGCTTGGCAATAGCGTGCTAAATGGGAGGTTGTCTTGGTACGCGTCATATTTATCCAAGTGCTATCACATTTCCACCCCCTAATCACAGCTTCTCCAACCTCCGCCTCTTCAGTATCTCCTCCCCAAACCGCGCCATCTCAAACTTCTTCACCTTTCCACTGCCCGTCAGGGGCACCTCGACCGGAACGCCGTCCTCGCCAAGCCAGAGGACGTGCGCCGGCGCCTTGTGCCGTCCCAGCTGCAGCTGCACCCAGTCGCGCATCTGCTGGTCTGTCGGCCGCTGACCCTGTTCTTTGTCTTGAGGTCCGCCCTGCAGGAAGGCGCCGACGACCTCGCCGTAGTGGGCGTCCTTGAGGCCCGTGACGATGGCGCGGGTGATGGCCGGGTGCGCCATGAGGCGTTCTTCGATCTCGAGGGGGTAGATGTTCTCGCCACCTAGTTGTTGTACGTTGGTCAGCAAGCATATCCCCAAGCATACAAGATTATATGGTATGATAAGCCCACCTCTAATAATGATATCCTTAAACCGCCCCGTGATACTGCAGTACCCCTGATCATCAAATACAGCCTCGTCACCCGTGTGCAGCCACAGCACTCCAGCCTCGTCGCACGCCATCACCTCGGCCGTCTTCTCCGAGTTGTTCCAGTACCCGGCCTGGAGCTGATAACCCGCGATGCACAGCTCGCCCCGCGCGCCCACGGGCACGACGTTGCCCTCGTGGTCGACGATCTTGGCGCGAGCGTGCGGCATCAGCGTCCCGACGGTCGTGAGGCGGCGCTCGATGGCGTCGTCCGTGAAGGCGTTGAAGCACGTTGGCGACGCCTCGGTCAGCCCGTACGAGCTCGTGAACTCGGTCATGCCGAAGCGCTCCACCAGCAACTCCATCAGGTAGCGCGGCACGGGGGCGCCGGCGATGATGCCGGTGCGCAGGCTGTCGCAGTTGAAGTTGGCCGGCATCGGGAGGCTGAAGAGGGTGTCAAACATGGCGGGCACGCCGTGCACGGCCGTGCAGCGCTCGTCCGAGATGGCGCGCAGCACGGCGGCTGGGTCGAACGTCTCCTCCGGGTATACGATCTTGGCGCCGTGGGTGATGACGGCCATCAGGCCGAGCACCAGGCCGAAGCAGTGGAACAAGGGCGGTGGGCAGCAGAGGATGTCGTCGGGCGTGAGGCGCATGCGGTCGCCAATAAAGCGCGCGTTGTTGACGATGTTGTGGTGTGTCAGCATGGCCGCTTTGGGGAGACCCGTGGTGCCGCTCGTGAATTGCAGGTTGCAGACGTTGTGCGCGAGCACTTTCCGGCCGAGGCGATGGAGGTGACCGTTGCTCATTCTGCGCCCCTGCTTGATCAGGTCGCTGTACGTGGGATATGATCGCGACTCTCCTCGGAGTATCACGACATCCGGGCCTTGCTTCTGGCTGGCCAGTTCCCCGAGCAGCTTCGTGTTATCCACCCGCCCTATTTTCAGGGTAGTGAAGAAAACCTTGCAGTCTGGAGCACAGTCAGTTATGAAGCACTGAGGCGGTTCTGATCTGGATTCAAGTACCGGAGAACTTTAGCGCATATTGAGCTTCGGTGGGCGTGTACGTGTTGTTGAGAATGACCAGTATTGCACCGATGCGTGCTACTGCGAAGAACACGGCCGCATACTGCTCGCAGTTTCCCGCCATGATGCCGACCCTGTCACCAACCCGGATGCCGATGGACATCAGAGTTCTCGCCAGTTGGGAGCTCTGCTGGTTCAGCTCGTTGTATGTCCACCTCGCACCGGTCCAGGGCGTGACGATGCACTCTTGTGTGCCATGGTGCTGGCATTGTAGTTCCAGGAGCTCGCCGAGAGTCAGATCGACCAATGGGGGATCGACGGGACCGTGTAGAAGTGATATGTTTTGTCTGCGTGACTGAGATACCAGCTGCAATGAGGGTGTTGCTTCTTGTGTGGCCATGGTGAGTCCTGTGAACGGCGACGATCAACGTATTCTCATGAGCTTTCGACCGAAAGGTATCACTATGCAAGTTGGCAAATAACCCTTACCAAGCAGTGAGAAACGAGAGTAAACCACCTGAGGTGCAGGTAGATGGATGTCTACTAGGGTACATTCCGGACTAGATGGTCTTCCGAGGATATTGTGAATCCGTATGCGACCAGAACGCAACGAGTCCCGGCGAATTTAGGGTGAGTTGGCAAGGATCCGAGGCGTATCGCAGTACATCTCTAAATGCCCATTCCATGTCTGGATATTCTGGGTCAAGTGCTGCCCCGGACACGCGTGAGGTCCAGTGGTAACAGCATCTTCCAAGGCGATGGAGGTTCACCCTGGTGTACTGCGTCATGTACCTCCGAAGTCTCAGACTGGGGGATGCATGGCGCTGGGGCGACAAATTTTCAAACAGGGATGTATGGGCCGAGAGAATCTAATCAGCGGATCTGATAAGATTGGATCAGGATCAGTGGCTGATGGTTACATTCGGAGATGCTGCGAGACCGGAGAGGAACAGAATGGGTGTGTGTGCGTGCATGCATGTGGATCTTGCCGAATACGACGGCGTGCTTGGCTGATGCGACTATGCTGCGACTAGGCGGTGCCTCGGTACCCGACGAAGAGAAAGGCGATATGCAGTACGATGACTTCGGAGCTCAGGACGACTAGAAGGTCGTGTATTCGTGACTCATTACTTCGTGAGATCCTCATGTGGATGGAGACTTGATCTAGCTTCTAGACCTCTAGTTCATAACACCGTCCCTTTGACTTGCTTAGATTGGCTGACTCGGATGTCTCTCCATATGAAGACAGCGATAATCTCAATCAGTGAGACCAGGGTGCCAGCAATGCACATGCGCACTTGGGCTCTACCATAGGCCGCGATAATGCCTTGCCGTATCGGGTCTCCCATAGGATAGCTCAGCTGCTTTTTCAAATCCGACCCAATCCGGGCCAACTCGTCAGCAGGCAACTGCGGCAGCAGCTCGGCCAAGGCTTCTGGGAGGACGGTGTTCCATATAGCGCCACTCAGTGAGCCCCCTATCGCTGATCCAATGTAGCTAGCAAGCGACAGCAGTGCCAGCACAGAGGCGAGCTCGGCGTGGTTCGCGACCGCCATGACAGCCATCTGCTCGCATATCACCAGTGTACTGCCACCGACAGTGATCAGAACCTGGCACATGATGACCCACGCGAGATGCGTATCAGGGCGACGGAACAGAATCATCAAAGCGCCTCCGAAGATATGCACGGGCAACGCTGCCACAGCAAGCCATTTGAAGCGATCGGTACGGCGGATCAAATATCCAACCACGATTGCCCAAATGGAAGATCCGATGCTGTAGATGTGTCCAATATAACCGGCCTTTGTGATGCTGAGGTCGTGGACGATCTGTAGGTAGGATGTATAATAACCATCCCACGAGAAGTAGGCCACGAAGATGGTGGCCGATAGCAAGCAAGCCCCTGCAACATTATGGGAGAAGAGGAGCGAGAACCTCAAGAAAGGTCGATCTGTCCTGCGCTCATGCAGCGCGAATGCTACCATCAACACAAGACCAAGGATCACACCCGCCGTATGTGAGCCGAGTCCATGGCTGGTAGCTGAAGAGCTGGCAAGTGAAAATGGCACGAGGATTAGAGCCATGCCTGCTGTTATGAGCAACATACCGAGTGCTGTCCAAGTCAGATCGAAACAAGGGGCTCACTCTGTAGGAAATCACCTACCATCAAAATCCACAAGGCATTGGCGAAGTCTATGCATAGACCAAGGGCCGGACTTGGTAGGTTTCTGTAAGAGGCCCAGAGATTTCGCTCTCTTCGTATTCAGCGCCAAGATAGAAAGGACTGGCAGCGATGAGACGACGAAGACTAGGGCAGATGCGCCGAATGCCAACCGCCAACGGCTGTTTTCGTAAAATGCTCGAGCGACTACGGGGCCGATGAACGAAGTGATGAGGTTCGGAGAGGCGGCGAACGCGAACGCGAGGGTCCGGTTCTTCAGCGATGAGGTATCCGCGACAATAATGTCGAGGGTGTAGGAGAAGCCACTGATTCCGACTTGGTATATGACCTGCGATAAGCATTAGCCCGGTGCAAGAGGTGATAGAGCTGTTTCCTGACCTGAGCTGCTACGTATGTCTCGACATTCCGGCAGGTGGCCATCAGTATCAGTCCAAACGTGGCCAGTGCGATCATCGAGGCAAGTCCCTGGGGACGACCCCATGTATCGATGACCTTGGCTACCGGTAACTTCAATACACCACTCAATATCGATGCTACGATTCCAATGGTGGGTATCAACGAATGCGACGAGAACTCGCTAACGACAAAGGGCATCAAGTTAGACATGACCTGCCACTGGAGGGCGTTCGCAAACGAGCACAAAAAGATGCTAAAAGATGGTCAACTTCATTCCCACCGTGGAAGCAGCAGTCCGGGGGGGTGAATGATCATCTTACAATGAGTAGGCCGTCACGAGCGCGGCTCTTGACCATACTAAATTGATGGCATCTGCTTGCTGCACGCCACCCTGGGATATGGCGCCGGAAAGGCCATCACCCTGTGGATCGATATTGATCAACACGTCGTCCTTGCTCGAGGTTGAGCCGTATGAGTCCCTCGGGTCATGGTCGCCCTCATCACTGCTTGGTGTAGAGCTGAGCAGCGGCGTCTGGCTGCTGGAGATAGCGTCCATGTCAACATCAATTGGTTGAGGAACGCGTCGATGTAGTTCGGGCATTGCTCCAAGGGGAAGGGGTATTAAGCCGCAGTGACTTGCTTCTATTTCAACATCGAAGAGCCTCAAGGCGACATAGGCGATGTCGGTCAACTTTGGAAGTGTGAGCTGATGCGTTCAGCGCTTCGCATGAAGTCGGGTACTAGTAGTGGGGCGTACCACGTTGGGCATCCGTAGGACTCGGGAGAGAGAGCGGCTATCCCGCCAGAAGTTAAAGGTGCCCTGTAACGGTATATCCCGTGGAGGCTCGAGACACTGAACTCGTTCATGCATTGCTGTCATCTGTTCTGGGACAAACAGTTCAATTTCACAGGTGTCGCATGGGTTTATGCGACACCCGAGATACCCGGCAGCTGCCCGGAAGCACGAAGGAGGGGCGTAGAAATGCCCTCACCTCCCCACTCACACTTCTGGCTGAGTGTGATCAGATAACGCTTGGGTTCCCACAATTTCTGCCATGTAAGTGTCAAATGGCACGCAAGCCACAGTGGAGTCAGGGAGGTGGCAGTGCACCGACAGGGGCTCTAGGGCAATTTCGGGCCCTGTAGCTTACACCAGCAGATCCTTCAGATACACACACTCTCATCAGAATCACCAGAATACACGTTATCAACAAGATCAACCATAATACGCACTGTTTGACAGTAAGCGATATCTTATCAGATGCTGTACGCCCAGCATCTCGTTGCATCGTCCTGTCTGCCAACACCAAGATTATTACAGCCCGTCCTCGGCGACAGAAGACACGTCTGACTTAGAGTCGAAGACTTCAAGGTACGGCTATGTACCCACACTCTGGGATACGGGACACAGCATCTAAGCGTTACACCATGGAATCACACGCTTACACGAGGTGTAAACAAGCTTATCAGCTCGCTCCGGCCTGCGCTGCGCGCAGCCTAGAGAGTGGGAAACACAACAACCTGGGTAGTAGTTAAGAACAGGTAGCATTACTACTTCGAAACATGTACCTTTTGTCAAACGCTGCTTCACAGCGAGCTAGGTGACACCGCTTACCGCAGTCACATGATAGCAGCCCTGGGCAGCCAGCCACACTGCAGTCGTACAGCCACCACGCGCACGGGATTTATTTTTAAACTTTGTATTAATTTTCTCGACGGCGATATAAATAAAAATCTAATAATTTAAACTATTAAAAAATGATCTTTTATATAATGTTTTTGTGAGAATATTGGTGCCTATTAAGTGTGTGCTGCAGCTGGCAGCAGGCTGAAAGGGTGAAAGGTCCATTGTGGTGACCACTGGCAGGTCTGTTGTCTGCTGTCAGGCACCCGGATATCAAAGGGCTCCTACAGCTGTATTTAGGTAGGAATATCTTACATGGATCCATAACCAAGACACCGAACCTGATTTATCCCATCCTGACCCTATCTGAACGCATGAACTTCACAGTTTTTATATAAATCTCGATTGAATATACCCGTAAAGTATTTAATTTTAAAAGAAAAACGTCGAGTTAAACTAGTCGAGATTAATTTAATTAACTAATTAGTTTTAAATATAAATATATATTCATATTCAAAGAAACTATGTTTAATAAAAATCAAAAGGCTGTTAAAACTTATTATCATAAGTTATAATCAAAAATTCTCTCGGCCGCTTAGTATAAATTAATAAACTTAAATTAATAAGCGTAAATAAATTAAATTGATAAATACTTAGAAATAAAAAATACATTATTATCTACTTAATTATATTTATATATACGTTTTGACTAGTTTTGCATATTAATATTTGTCACGATGTGTCACGGCGAGCGTACTGAGTAGCTGGGACATGGCCGGCAGCAAGCAGCTATTACTCTATTGACGAGAATATCAAGACTAGAGAGGAAAGGAAGAGAGAGAGAGAGATAGGTATAGTGGGAGGTTGCCCCTTTAAAGGGATCCTCTGGTCAGATCCTTCCCTTATAAGGAAGTATCCGCTTGTCATGTGGGAAGGTCTGTGCAGGCCGTCACACGATGCCTGCGGCGTTGTGTTGCAATCTGGTGGATTGACGAAAATAACAAGGTGAGAAAGGGAAGGAAGCCAGCAAGGTGGTGTGCGCAGCACACACCTTAAGTGGTAGTCCCGTTCCTTCCTTATCTAATCTACACGTGACCTGATGACTAAGTATTCATCCATCTAGGTGGATACGGCTGTACACCGTCACAATATCGTTAAATAAATATTTTATAAGGTCGATGTTTTTAATAAGTATAAAGCTTTTTTTGGTTTATTATTTTTAATAAGTGCTACTTTTCGAGTATGATGAGCCGTCTAATCTATAAAGCTAAAGGGTTCTATAGGGTTTATGTTCTGAGGTAAGTCAACACAAAGGACGATAGAGGCTTCTGTCAACTAGAAGACACTCAGATGCTGGGGCTTGGTCTGAACTGGGTTCACTGCATAGTCGAGTCATCAAGAGATTTCTCTCACCTTAGGGCTGGCTAAGATACTTAGAATGATCACTAAGGCAGACACTGTCTATCTATCTAGCTGGGAAATGTGTGTCCTTATATATCCAATCTCTCCCTCACTGATGGGATAGGATCACCTTGTCCCAGAGTGATGCTCACTGGCTCATTCCCTGATCTAGTGATGCTCACTGGCTTACTCCCTGATCCAGTGATCCTCGCAGGCTCACTTCGTGATCCAGTGATCCGTCATATGACCTTTGTTATGTAATCCGTAATACCCATTGTTCTGTTCCTGGCTTCTAATTCCATTGGTTCTTTGTGTACTCCCCTTGGCCCTCCAACAGGCCGTGGTATTTGTTGGTTCGTAACATTTATGTTCATTCTTTTCTTAATTGTATAAAGCGAAATAGGTACGTTTCAGCGCTTTATACGAGCTTAATTGAAAACTTTTACCCTACTTTGAATATTAAAACCCTATAAAAAGTAATTCTTATAATCTTTAACGATTTAAATGTCAAAAGAAAATATATAGCCTCTAAATCTTTTCATTTAAAGGCTTTAAAAGAAGTTTTAAACTACATAACTTTAAACCGATTTGTTTTCAAAATGAAAGAATCATCTACGTAATTAATTACGAAAACACCGCGTTTTACAAAATACTAAACGGCATTGTTAAAAATTAAAAGGTTAAAGCTAAACTTTAAAGCGCTTTTTGAAAATGTTTTTATTATTTACGAAAGCTTTATTTATAGCTGTAGAAAGGTTTTTTTAACTTAGAGGTTATCCTTAGTTTTAAATTAACAGTATTTTCTTTGAGATATATGGTAAAAATTATTTAAATCCGTTAGACTTTTTATATAAATCTTTTTATCTAGTTTTTTTATTAAAAACGTAGGAATTGCGTCTATTTAATCAAGTTTTAATTTTAAATTTGTTATAATAGGTAAGAAAAATCTTTGAAGAATTATTCGTATTTTAAAAGTTTAAATCTTAAAATAAATAAGCTTATATTATTATATAAATTTGTGTGGGATAATTTGATTTTTATAACGCTTAATCAAGCTAGAAATAAGGTTTAGTTTGCGCTTATATACGTAGTGCGACGTTAAAGGCTTTTAATTACGGGGTGATTAAAAGCGGGAAAAGGCCGCAAAGGTTTTATTTTAAAATAACCTGTAAATTTAAATGTTTGTATTTTTTAATTATCAAAGCGTTTTAATAAACGTTAACGTAGGTCACAAGCGAGCGGCAATTACAAGCGAACGGCAACTTTTCACCAATCTTCTAACCAACATGTTAAATAACTTGACCACAACGCATTTAATTCAATCTAATCAATCGGATTCTTCTTCTTCAGACGTTTCTATCTCTATTGTACAAGTTCGCGCATTATGGCCAGTGTTGCCGCAAACGCCACAACGTCGCTCACGCGCTGCCGCCCTCCTCGGACGACGACTACCTTCACCCATTTCCTGTCTTGCCAGCTCACCACCATCCTTTACAGCCTGGAGACCTACTGTATCTTCAACAGAAAGTACTCCTCCTTTCACTAGACGTTTGTTTTTTGTCCTCCGGCGTTTACTTAGTAAGTGATTGGCCTCCTCTAGCTCGCGGACCCGGGAATCAACCAAAGCGACCTTGTGCATAAGACCGTATGTAGCCTTTAAAAACGAGCTCAACGCATCAATTATTGATGTAGGTGAGCTTCCCTGGTGGTTTCTGACTCGATTTCGGATATAAACCGATTGGTTGACCGCTTCGTTGATGGTGGTAGGCGTCTTCGAAGTCCAAGTAGTGGGTGGCAGATTGGGGTCTGGCGACGGTGTTCGTACGACAGCGACAGCATCCAGTTTCGAAATGACACTTTCTGTGTCAAAAGGAACAAGCCCAGTGGCACTGAAACCTGCTCGAATGTTCCCTGGCGTCATAGCAGCGTTATGTGCTTCACAAAACGCTGCAAGGAAGTCCTCTTTCGAAACATGGGTTATATGACGCCGGATGAGATCCTCAATCATGCGACCGTACGCTCGTTTGAGCGGGCTAAAACAACTGACATCTAAAGGCTGGAGCCTGTGTGACGAGTGGGCAGGCATACAAAGGGTAATAATGCTGTTGTTCTGGCAATATCTCTCAAAGATCTGGGAATGGTGGCTTTCGTGACCATCTAGGATGAGGAGGCGTTTACCGGCAGTCATACGCGGTCTGGTATACTTGTCGAAATGCCGAATCCATTCCAACCCAATCTCGTTCGTAGTCCACCCATTATCGGACACGGCCACCTTCCAATCGCGTGGTAATGTCGTGTCGCGATACCATGACGCGAGGTGGGTTTTGCCCTGTAGAATGATGAACGGCGGGACCACCCAACCATCAGCATTGACAGCAGAAATTGCTGTAGACCATTCCCTGTTGCCTTGCTGGGCTTGTCTAGGCCTATCACGTCTTTCGGCGCTTGTAATGACCATGCCGGACCCAATAATGTCCATCATAAACCCAGTCTCGTCGAAATTGTAAATATCCGCGTCTTGGATACCATGTTTTGCGATTGCCGCCGCAACTTGGCGAAACCACGCGCGATACGCGTCCGGATCTTCGTTCAAGACCCTCTCGTAGTCCATCCTCCGATGAAAACGCGTCCGGAGGCCTGGTGTACGTTTGATAAAGTTCGCCGTCCAGTTCTTTCCAACGCGTCCAGCCCCGCGCGCCGCCAACAATTGATTTGCCATATCTTCAACATAAGTGTACCGGGGCGGAAATGCTCGCGCATCCAGGTCGATTATGAAGGAACAAATGGCATTCTCTTCAGAAACCGTAAGTTTCAAAGAATTAGGCATGCTATCGCATCGTGATGGTCGGCCGGCGATTCTAGCCTTCAAGGTATTGTATGGGACATGGAAAGTCTTAGAAAGCTTGCCAATGGTAATATGAGGGTCGCGTCGTTTAGCTTGGACAGCAAGCTGTAAGTCTGATTCGCTATAACGCAATGCCATTATTGTTGGTTGATCAATTAGGAGCCTTGATTGAAAGGTTGGGTGGCTGGTGAAAAGTTGCCGCTCGCTTGTAATTGCCGCTCGCTTGTGACCTACGTTATTGCTTTTTAATAAATAATAAGTTCGCATAATTAAAGTCTGCTTCATTATTAATATTAATGAAAGTTAATTAATATATAACGCTTAAATCGTTGTAAATAATAACATTTTCTAAGTAATATTTTGTTTATAATTTTTAAACCTTTTATAAACCTTTTCCTGTTATTTTTAATCACTATTAATTTATTACTCAAATAATTATATCTTTTATAGCTCTAAAAGCTTAATTACCTTCATACCGCTATTTTAAATATTTTCTGATATGAATTTAATTTTTTTAAAAAATTATAAGCCATTTATTTATATATTGTATTACCTATTGATTATATTTATTATTAATATTGCTAGTTTTATTCCTTTAAAACTATTATTAAACTTTAAAAACATCCAAAATTAACAGATAAACAAAACTTGAGCTTAACATATAAAGCAGCTATTTAAAATTTAAAAAATTTAACTTTTTATTTAAAAAGTTAATATTTTAATTATGAATACTAATAGTTTTAAAAAAAAATTTTAAAAATAAGGATAACTTTTTTAAAAATTAAAAAGGGGTTTTCTCCTTGTTAATACTAACGTTAAAAATATTCTTATTAAGTTTTATATAAATTTATAAAAAACGATTATATAATATTCAATAATTTAAAATATTAAACTAAGTTTTAACTTATAAACCATTAATATTAATAACTTAAGTTTATTTTAAACTATCATTTGTTATATTGTTTTAAATATTATAATCGATTAAATCAGTACGGTTTAAAAAGCTTTATTTTTTTCGATACAAAAATTACAGCAAAGCCTTTATAGCTAAATACCAACTATCACTATTATATTTTTATTTTTATCTATCATTTTAAATAATTATACGTACTTTTTTTTAATCTTTATCGTAAACCTTTACGCAGTTTGACCGTAAATATGTCATGGTCTGGTATAGGTAGCCCATGTGTTGAATCCTGGAGCCCGGACATGAGTACATGTACCACCATTGAATGTCAAGCTGTCACGCTTGATATTCGACATCCTTTTGGGAGGAACAGCCGTGGCATAGTGGTTATGGTGAGCGTTCCGTCACAAATTATGTCCCGATTTTTAAAAGCTTTATTTATTAAACTTTCAAAAAATCTTAATTAATAAGTTCAAAAACGATATATAATTATTTCAGCTTATTTACACAGCCCTTAGTGATTTAAATTTTTATAACTACTAACAATAATTATAATAAAAGCCGGAAAAGCGTTAAAAATGATATAAAGGTAGCTACGTGAATGAAAGCCATAAAAGCGCTTAAAAAGCGCTAAAAGGGTTTAAAATCACTTTTAAAAGTCTATTTAATACTTTGATGATAATAAAATGGACTATAAACAAAGCTATTCCGGTTGTAACAAGTGAATTATTAAAGCTTAAGCTAAGACTATTTCAAAAGTTAAGAATATTGAGTAGAAAAACACTTAATATCGGAATATTTTTCCGATTACGTTTTTAATTAATAAAAACTTTAATCACGCTTTGAAAAAAACAATAATTAACCTTACGTTTTATAACTGTTGGATCTATGCGATTCCAACCTTCAAACCATCCATACCAGATCCACATGTATGGTTGGATAAGAGATTATATACCGGATTGTGAGGACATTTAGCCAGACCTGCAAGTCCAGCTAGACCTCACAATCCAAACCATCAGCACCATCATGACCTTGACCCAATACTCAAGTATTATGATTGATCGTTCAAGCCTGTTCGAACACTAAACGAGTTATTAAGAAAAAATATTTTTCAACATTTTAAAATAAGGTACTGATTCATTACGGATGATATTAAGATTGCTAAAATCATTAATATTATCGATTTACTGATAAATGCCTTTACTTAACGAAAACATTTACTTGCTTCGATTGCTTAAATTTTAATCACTATTAAATAATATATCGAATAAAACAAAAATATTGTAATAAAGTTTTTAAAAAAGTTTGTATAAATATTACGTATTATACGGTTTATAATTACGATAAATTAAAACGCGTTATTTTTTTTCGTACATAATATGTTTTTAAAGCCTACATATTGATTTACGCTTAAAAACGAAAATTTAAATATTTATATCGCTTATTATAAGCTTACTGTCGAGAATACTGTATCGGTGCAGAATAAGGATAGATTCCCTAGTTGCTTGCTTGTTCTAGCTATGAGTCAGGAGGGCCTGATTTGCTATTAAATATACACTCAAACCACAAAGCAGGGCCCATCTTTAGAGCATCTAACAAAGCTTCTTCAGCTACCTGCTTCCATTCACCCCTTGGACAACCAAAGCCATCACAACTCTCACACTTACGAAGATTTCAAAAAACAATATTTTTATATATTTTATATAAATAATAGTATAAAGTCTACCATATCTATTAAATAAAACGCTTTTATATCTTTGAATAAAACGAAATCGTAAAACGAGTTTTCGGTATAATCTATTCGTTTATTAAAAATATTATTAAATAAGTAAAGTTATTAATGTCAAGGCGCTGGACCCTGCCTATGGGCAGGAAGTGGAGGGACCCCGGGCGCCAGCTGTCGGCGGCCCGGGTGGACCAATGTGGACCTGAGAACTGACGATATCTTCACTGTTCCCGCCTGAACCTGAATTGTAGCTCTTTGAACTACGTCCTGTCAATAGAGTTACCTGTAACCCTGCCAGAACCATAGAGAATAGACTGTCATACGATTGCCTATACTGCCCGTACCGGAACCCGTGACAATTACGTAGCTCCTACCCTATAGGCGCCGTATCTACCGCGAGAATGTCCCAGGAGCGGCCTGAACCGCCTTCGGGAGCGGACTCTCCAGAAGAGCTCGTTGCCCACGTTACCAATAACCCGTCTGACTGGCTGTTATACTTGTGCCATATCAATGGCTATGCTGCCGCCTTGAAGGAAGAGAACGATTTCTTCCGTCTCGCCGAATCTGACCATGATAACTCCCTCCAGTCCCTCCGATCAACTATTGCCAAACAAGAGGGAATTATTGAATACCAAAAGTAACAGCACCGAGAAGATACTACCCTTCTTTAAAAAGAAATTACCCATCTAAAGGTTGAGAAACTCTGCCTGCTTGACGCCGCCATGCCTGCTATACAGACTCCCCGACCCGTCCCTGCCGCTACCCCGAGTCCCCCGGCTGAGCAGCTTGCAGATTCTGTACCGGGATTGACTGCGCTTGCTCCTCCTGTCCGTTCCGGATTTTCCTATCTCAGTGAGAAGATCCCTGACCCAAAAGAATTCAATGGCTCTTGAAGCGACCTTCACCGGTTCATGCAACAGATCTATGGCAAGATGACCGCCAATGCTGACCAATTCCTGACCGTTACTGCCCGGCTGACCTATGTTGCCGGACGTCTGACCGGGAAAGCCTACGAATTGATCCTGCCGAAGACCCGCTACGGAGTTCCTGACTTCCTTGATTACCCAGAAATGCTTGCCTATCTGGAGAACGCCTTTGGAGACCCCGACCGTATTCAGAATGCCCAGAATAAGCTATACCAGCTGAAGCAAAGGAACCAGGACTTCAGCACTTTCTTTTCTGAATTTCAATGCCTGGCCCTGGAAGGAGAGATGCCTAAGGACGCCCTGACCTCATTGTTATTCCAAGGCATATCTCGCGAACTTCAGGATATGCTCCTACACAGCCTGACCCCGTCCTGGAGATACAGAGACTACGCCAATCACCTACAAGCCCTGGATAACCGCTTCCGCCAACACCAATAGCAAGTCTCCCGGAACCGTGTCGTCACTTCTGCCAAAACCCCTGTCAGTTATGCCGCCGCTGTTGTCCCCCGCCAACCCGCTGCCACGAGCCCGGACCAGCCCAAGAGAGAATAGAGAGCGCCCCGACCTGCTTCGCCCGTCGCTAACGGAGGAGAGCCTATGGACTTGAGCTTCAAGAGAAGATTTGCCCCCAGTGGAAGGAAAGAGCACAGAGAATGCTTCCGCTGCGGTTCCAAGGATCATCGCGTCGCTGCCTGCCCTGAACCTGATACTCGCCCCTTGTCCCAACTTCGTCAATTCCGTGCCAGCTATGTCCACCGTTCTGATAGCCCTGATTCTGTCCGATCTGTCAGCCCGCCTCGCAGCCCGTCAAGCTTGACAAATGGAGTGAGTCTGGGTTAAGTCGCACCCAGGCTCCCAAGAAGGAGCGCCGCCTAAGAACCGCTGCCAGCGTCCGACTATCTGCTGCCGCCGCCAAGGGAGTTTCTGTCCTAGAAGAAACGGATCAGAGGTCCCATTTGATGATTCTACCTGTTACCCTGGAGTTGGGAAGCAAGACGCTCCCGACTTATGCCATGACTGATACCAGAGCCGAAGGAAAAGGCTTTGTAGACCAGAGCTGGGCCGCGAGCTACGAGCTACCCCTGAAAAAACTAAAGAAACCATTCAGATTAGAAGTGTTCGATGGAAGAGACGCCGAGAGTGGAATGATCACCCACTATATCGAGACCCGACTGAGAACTGAAGACCATTACAAAAAGATCAAGCTCTTTGTGACCCAATTGGCCCATTAGCCCGTTATTCTAGGAATGCCCTGGCTAAAGAAGCACGACCCGAAGATTGGATTTGCGAGCCATACCTTCACTTTTGACAGCGAATACTGCCGGAAACACTGCAATACTCCCGCCCGCCCGACGAAGATCCGAGCATTGCATGACGTCCCTACCAAGGCCCGACTGCATAACTTGCCTCCCCGACCGCCTGAGCTGCAGCATTTGGATATTGCCCGAGTATCGTTGAGAGCCTGTACGATATATAGCCGAAGGAACTGCCAGCTCTTTACTGTCACGATCGATGATATCAACCGGTACCTGCAGAATGCCAGCCTGCCGGAGCCCCGAGACCTGCTCCCTGAGGAACTGGAGGATTATGCCGACATCTTTTTACCCAAAGAAGCCGAAAGACTCCTCCTGCACCGGGATTATGATCACAATATCCGCCTACAGGATGGCAAGACGCCCCCATTTGGACCACTGTACCCCATGTCCCGCAACGAGCTGCTTGCACTGAAAGAATGGCTGGAAGAGAATCTGCGCAAGGGGTTCGTCTGTCCCAGCTCGTCGCCTGCCGCCTCCCCGGTCTTATTTGTTAAAAAGGCTGATAGAAGCCTCCATTTCTGCGTCAACTACCGAGGACTGAACAACATCTCTGTTAAGGACCGATATCCGCTGCCCTTAACCAAGGAATCTCTGAACAACCTGAAGGGAATAAAGTACTTCACAAAGATTGATATCGTGTCTGTTTTTAACAACATCCGCATGAAGAAAGGACAGGAGTATCTAACCGCGTTCCGTACCCGCTTTGGCCTGTACGAGTCCCTGGTGATGCCCTTTGGACTGACTGGGGCCCCCGCAACCTTCCAAAGGTTCATAAACAATACCTTGCAAGAGTACCTGGATGTATTTTGCACTGCCTATCTGGACGATATCTTGATCTACAGCCGTACCCGAGAAGAGCACCTGAAACACGTCCGCCAGGTATTAGAGTCCCTGAGACAGGCCGGCCTATACGCCAAGATCCAGAAGTGCGAATTCTTCAAGGATGAGACCACCTTTTTGGGTGTAATTGTCAGGAAGAATAGGATTCGCATGGACCCGAAGAAGATTGAGACCATTTGGAACTGGCAATCCCCGTCCTGCCTGACAGATGTCCAAGCGTTTATCGGATTCAGCAACTTTTACCGACGCTTCGTGAAGGATTTCTCGAAGATCATCGCCCTAATGGTGGCCCTGACGAGAAAAAGGATGCGTTTCCACTGGAACCCGGCCTTCCAGACTGCCTTTGACCGTCTGAAGCACGCTTTACCACAGCGCCTGTCCTGGCCCCATTCGATTGGGAAAAAGAGATCATCATAGAGACCGACGCGTCTGATTACGTGTCCGCCGGAGTGTTGTCCCAGTATGGGGACGATAGAATCCTGAGGCCAGTAGCTTTTTTTTTGAAAAAACACTTAACGATGGAATATAATTACGAAATTTACGACAAGGAACTGCTGGCGATTATCCACTGCTTCAAAGAATAGAGACCCGAGCTGGAGGGGACAAGTTCCCCGATTAAGGTTATTACTGACCACCGGAACCTAGAGTATTTCACGATGACGAAGTTACTGAACCGCTGCCAAGCCAGATGGTCTGAATTCCTGTCCCGTTTTAACTTCAAGATTGTCTACTGCCCCGGAAAGCAAGGAGCGAAGCCGGATGCTCTGACCAGGAGGTCAGAGGACCTGCCTAAAGAGGGGGATGAACGCCTGTTGCACCAGAGTCAGATAGTGCTGAAAAGAGCCAACCTTGACGATTTCTTACCTATAAATAGGAAACCGGAAGACCAGCCCGTCGAGTTGCCACCAACTCCAGCACAGACTCCTGAGGTTCCTGAACCAGTGCCTGCTGCCCAAGAACCCGTGCCGGGACCAGCCCGCCCCGCCAAGCGAGTACGATTCGCAGACCTGATCCTGAAGCTGTACGCGATCACTCGCAGCCAGCTCCGTGGACCTGGAGCTCCAGACCACCGACCACAGCCCGATTTGGAACCACCACGGCCTGCACTGCCCGTCGAGAGAACTGCACCGCTGCTATCTCCCCAGATCCAGGACCTTTTCAACTAAGAATACACCACAGACAAAGAACTACAGTTAATCGTCAGAGCCCTGAAAAAGAAGGAGTCTCGCCACCACAAGATATCACTGGCCGAGTGCAAACTGTCCAGAGAACACTTGTATTACCGCAAATACTTGTATGTCCCTGCGAACGAAAGGCTGCACGCCGAGCTCTTACGCCTGTACCACGCTAGCCCTGTCGCCAGCCACATGGGTCGAGCCCGTACGTACGAAATACTGTCCCGAGAATACTACTGGCCTGGTATGTTGTCTTGTGTCGAACGATGGGTTTGCAATTACCATACCTACAAAAGGACTACCACCTCGAGAAAAGCCCGTCAAGGAGTCCTGAGACCCCTCCCGATTCCCTAGAGAGCCTGGCAAGATATTTCAATGAACTTCATTACGCACCTGCCTGACAGCTACGGCTACGACGTGATCCTGGTAGTCGTCGACCGCCTGATCAAGATAAAGCACTTCATCCACTGTAAGGGAACCTGCGATTCTGAAGAAGTCGCCCGCCTATATGTTAAGTATGTCTGGAAACTGCACGGCCTGCCCAGAACCATTGTATCCGACCGAGGACCCCAGTTCGTATCCAATTTCTGGAAGCACCTGACCAAACGCCTGGGAATCACCGCACTGCTGTCGACCGCCTACCACCCTGAGACCGATGGGCAGACTGAGATTGCCAATTCCTTCCTTGAACAGTACCTGCGGGGCCACGTATCATACCTTCAAGACAACTGGGTACGCTGGCTATTGTTAGCCGAATTCGCGATCAACAATGCACTGAACAAGAGCCTGAAAACCACGCCTTTTTTCGCAAATTATGGATATCACCCCTGTTTCAGATTCGAACCTGCCCTACCCGGACGCCGCGTTGCCGCCAAGGATGCTGAGGGGGTCGCTCTGAAGATGGCCACTGTACACGAGTACCTGAAGTCTGAGATCTGCATCGCCCAAGCCCGCCACTAGGAGTATGCCAACTGGAAACGCCAACCTGCCCGCAGATTCTACGTCGGTCAGAAGGTCTGGCTAGACGCAAGGAACATCAAGACTACCCGCCCCCAAAAGAAGCTGGACTGAAAGAACCTGGGCCCGTGGGAAATAACTAAGGTTATTAGCCCGTACGCCTACTGCCTGGAGCTGCCTACGTGCATAAGAATATATCCTGTCTTCCATATAAACCTGTTGCGACCTGATTCCGCCGACCCCCAGCCTAGACAACAACAAGAACCGCCGCCCCCCGTCAAAGTAAACGGCCTGCAAGAATGGACTGTAGAAGAGATACTTGATTCCTGCTGGGATCGCCGAGGACATGGAGGAAGGCCTAACCTGAAGTATACTGTTAAGTGGGAAGGATACGACGAGCCCACGGAGTCCCCTGCTGCCTGGCTCGAGAATGCACAGGAGGTTGTTAATAATTTTTATTGCCAGTACCCAAACAAGCCCGGACCTGGACCTCTGCTATGAGGATAAATTGGAAGCCTGTGAACCTGTTAGGCGCATCGTCGGAGCTCCGCCTGGAGAGGGGAGTACTGTCACGGCGCTGGACCCTGCCTATGGGCAGGAAGTGGAGGGACCCCGGGCGCCAGCTGTCGGCGGCCCGGGTGGACCAATGTGGACCTGAGAACTGACGATATCTTCACTGTTCCCGCCCGAACCTGAATTGTAGCTCTTTGAGCTACGTCTTGTCAATAGAATTACCTGTAACCCTGCCAGAACCGTAGAGAATAGACTGTCATACGATTGCCTATACTGCCCGTACCGGAGCCCGTGACAATTAAAGCTTTTCTAACCGATCGTTGGCCTTATTATTTACAATCAGCTTAATGTTAACTCTATATTTTTTTTAAAGTATAAAAATAAAATCTCAAATAAAGTTTTTTGTTTCATTAGTTTAAATTATTATTAAGTCTATTTACTTACGATAAAGCTTGGTATTATTGTTATTATTTATTTTAGCGTTTTAAATAATTACCTTATGTTTAAATAATTAATCTATATTTTCTCCGATTTACAGAATATATTTAGTAATTTAAGTAACAATTAACTGTAAAAACAATTAAAGAAAGCTAATTTTTTGTAAAAAGCGTAAGTAATTTATTATATATTAAATAATTCAATGACTTATTTAAACTCCTTTAAACCCCTAAAAAAACCGTATTAATAATCTTATCGTTATTTTAAAGATATAATTTATTTTTCTCGCTGTATTAAATAGTAATAAAGGTAAGCCTCGACTTATAATTAAAACAATAAGCTTAATAATGTTTTAAGTATTTGACTAATTAATCTATTAAAACCGCTTCGTTGTCACAATTCCAAAAACGTACTAGCAAGGACGCAGTGATCCTGATTGACTATTGACGTATAACGAACACTTGGTGAGGAGAAAGGAAATCTAAGAAGCGCACCCAAATTAGTGGGTAGCTTAAATATATGCAGTTCCCCACTATACCCACTAGGGCCTGGATCAGTCACGTGATCACAAGGACTAGTGCTGCCACTGATGGTGGGACCATCACATTCGGCAAGATTTACTTTCAAGGTATATTTTAATACTACGTATATAAATTAAAATAAATCTTAATAACGTATTATCCGGAAAGCGTATTTAAAAAGTCTATAACCACTACATTTGAAAACTTATTACTAATATAAAAGGAGAATTTGCTGCTGCTCCCGCCGGATTCGGCGGTTGCCGTTGCCATTTTCAGCGGCTCTAGCAGTGAGTGTTAGAACCAAACTGTTCGTACCTGCACAAGTCAAATATACTTTACTAGGCGCCCAAAATTGCCGCCTTATCTTATGCGTGTTTGTCGCTTGGCACAAAGCCATTTCTGGCTCCAGTTCGTCCTTCCCATTTCCTGAACCCTCCCTCTGGTTCTCTCCCTTTGCCACACTTACACATCTACTCTGAATCTCAGGACCAGAAACCATCCAGGACGGCAGCCTTGACTCATACGTGACTGCGTTTCCAACTTTCTCGCTTCTTTCAATCTGAACAATAGGCCAAGCTACAGTATTGTTTAAAGTGCTCGCCTCTTTCTCAGCATGGCCATTCCAACTTCACGTACCTACACAGACCAAAGTGCGGGTTTCCTCGAGCGCTTCTCCTTATTCGAAAACAACAAAAAGCCGCAGCCAAAGTCTCTGTTGCCTGAGGAGCACGCTGAGTTTTGCAAGCATGCCAAGTCTGTACAGTACGTCAAACCAAAGCTATCGGAGGGGACATAGAAGAACCTTGGCGTGATACTGACTAAGTGGAAATGGTATGCCCTACTGAACCCCTCACTTTTTGTTCTTAGCTAATCCGCCTTTCAGTTTCTGTAAAGAGCTTTTGGATACAAAAGACTGGGAGACGGTCATCAAAACGATAGAGGTCCCGACTATGATAGATTTCCTCCTACACATATGCGAATCCGACAGTGTAAAGGCTTAAGCGTTACTAACGCAGTATTTCCGGCAATTCCAACAGTTATACAGAATACAAACCGGAAACCACGTGGACCGCAATGATTCTGAGTTGGTCTACAAGGTTAGTAATCATATCAAACCAGAGCATGCTTTTATGACTAACTAGTTAATAGTATATGCATGCCATTCTTTTTCCAACGTTGAACCTTTGTCCTCCCAACACCAATAAACCAGTGCTAGGAATGGAGGCACTACATTGTATCCTGACTTTCCACCTCGCCTACGACCATGCCATTCAGCCTCTGGAAAGGCAACGCGTCCAACTATCAGCCTGCTACCAAGTCCTTTGCTATACAGACGTGCGTCCGGCTGAGCTCGTCTGCAATGAGCCGAAAAAACCCAAAGACGGCACAGTGGAGGAAATCTTTGGTGTTAACGGCGTTTCGTCCATTTGCACTGATTCTCGCCCCATGGACAGCGCTAGACACGAGGGAGTTGACGAGAGCAGAGGAGACCAGCAAGGTGAGGATCAAGAGTCATTGGTCCTTTCCCGGCTGCTGTTACAGGAAACAGTTGCACGTGGAAGACCAAAGGCCCTTTGCTACGAAGACATTCTGCTGATGATAGTGCGTGACCCGGAGTCTGGTCAACTGATCCCGGCGATGGCTATTAAATTCGTCCACCGCAAAGGGTGCGACAATAAACCAAGACCGTAAGTAAAGCTATGGGCTTCTCATCCTAGCAATATTAACTGGCATTCGGTACTAATAAGTCTCTAATACCATCTTCTACTTTACTCCAACAAAAAGATTGATCTTTTGTCCCGTGAGCCTGATGATTGGTATAGCTCTTGATGATTGCGCTTTTGACGCTCCAAGCTTGGTTGATGCCTCGAGTGTATTGAATGTAAAACCATGCGGCGGCATGCAATGCATTCAACTGCGATAGAAAGAGTCAATACTGAAGAAACCCGTGTTCCGACGTGTCAAAGGTGCGGAACTTTCAGATGACGAGCCCATGGCTTATGCTAAGCTCCGTGATGATAGGGGTGAGCAGAGCCTCAATGCCGGGTTCAAAGAGCGATGGACTCCCAAGTTCTGCCAGAGAGGGGCAGGCAATGTGGTGAATGGTACGTGCTATCTGCCTTCGATTATGACAGAAACTCTAACTACACATCACCTAGGTGACGCGCCGGATTCGATCCGGGATCAGATGATACGTCATGATCCCAGGTTTGCTACCTTTCGCGGAGCCTACCAAAATCAAAACCTTCGGTATGACTGCCAGAGCGCATTCCTGGAGAAGGAGAAGCAGGACCAGCTATTCAAACTCTTCACCAAAGTCAGTATCTCGCGGGATCCCTGCGCATCAAGAGACATGGTCCCCGAGGATCCATGGAATAAACTCCAACCAGACCCCAAAATCAGCAACCTCAAAGAGATGCGTGCCAAACTCAAGGGCGGCCAGCATCAACTTGTCGGTAACAAGCATGAAAACAAGATCCGCAAGCTTACCGCCGCCATTGCCTTAAAGCGTACGCAACGCAAAAAAGACGTGGTTCAAAGATTGTCACGGCGAGCATACTGAAGAGCTGGGACATGGCCTGCAGCAAGCAGCTATTACTCTATTGACGAGAATATCAAGACTAGAGAGGAAAGGAAGAGAGAGAGAGAGAGATAGGTATAGTGGGAGGTTGCCCCTTTAAGGGGATCCTCTGGTCAGATCCTTCCCCTATTGGGAAGTATCCGCTTGTCATGTGGGAAGGTCTGTGCAGGCCGTCACAAAGGTATCACAAAGACTACTTCTACAATCGTCCTACCCGGGACATTGAGCGGCAAGCCAGGGGGGAAGAAGAAGATGACTACGAAGAGCCAAAGATAGATCTGGACATCCCCAAACGCGCTCAACTGGCTCGGCTCCTATGCCATCAACCAGCGAATTGGAGCGACGAACAGATCTCGGAAGCTCGAGTTAAGGTTATTAACCTATACGCAGCTCTTTGTCCAAAAAGAGAGACAATCAAAGGAAAAAACATCCGTGCAAAAGAGGGTGATACACTAGCTCAGCCTAAGCCTGCATCACCACAAATTCCTTTAGTTCTAAAGTGGACTCAGTGTCCGGACTGCATAGGGGATGAGAGAATCTCTTACGAGGAGCGTTCTTACAAATATTGCTGCAGTATCATTAGGAATGACCATTTTGATGATCAGCACCTGCCAGTTTGTGAGCGTGCGGCTTCGCGTGGAGAGCTTCAGGTTTATAGACATCCAGATTGCATCAAGGCCGGGGTCAAACTGGATAGTTTGAATAAGTTCAGAAATCATGTACAGAAGGTTCACAATGTGCCTCTTCGATCTGTTGATCAGGCACAGGCCCAGTGGATGCAGAAAGCACGGGTTAAAAATCAGGCACGTCAAAGGGTTTCTAGCTAGATGAACTATATGAGCATATATTATTTCAAATCGCCTGACGGGCTGGCACCAAATCCTTGTGGTATACCTATAGCTTTCTTTATGAACGATTTGGCTTATAGAACTTTGTTTGAGCATTTATTATAGACGATTTAAAGCATGTCGCTAAAGGAGGCAAGTATTTGCAAAAACAGAATTAACAGGACATATTGCCATTCTGATGACTTGTGGTACGCGCGTCGTATCTGGTGTAGGGGAGGCAGAAACGCTCGGCTGGCAGAAAAGGCTTAGCGCTGGCAGAATCACCTCGGCTGACACAAAGCGCTTAGCGTTGGCAGAAACGCTCGGCCGGCATGTCCCAGGACCACTTCTGTCCCAGGACCACCACTTCTGTCCCAGGACAGCCACTTCTGTCCCAGGACAACCACTTCTGTCCCAGGACCACTTCTGTCCCAGGACAACCATTTGGTGTATGTACTGTGCAACGCCTCAACGCGTAGCAGGAGTGGCAGGGAGGAGTTGTCTGCCCCGCCCGTTCCGTGAATACGGCCGATACAGCCTAGACTCGGAGTACATAGGGACCATCACGGTGGCTGTCGACCCATCCTGGTCTTGCGGCGACTTACAGCCGGGGTTGGTGTCTATTGGGGGCCAATCGTTCTCAGGGGCATGGGTGTGTCTGAGTCTTAGTGAGGCGGCGCCGTGCAGGCCTGTTCTGTGAGTCATGTATTTGGGACTTGCGGCGCCTCTCGGAGTTCGTTTGTGAGTCATCTTGATTGTTGTGTTGTATGAAGCAATGACGCTACAAACCAAGCTCCGGCACGTTGACATCCACTCCAACTGGTTGCGGCTGGAAGTCCAATGAGGGACCATTCAGTCCTTGCAAGCACTAGGATGCAACCGATGAAATAACAACCTAGCCCTGCAAGTTAGCGCTGGTGTAGGGTGGCATATCAACACCCTGCAGAGATCTATCACGATGGCGGCACGGGCGGCACTGCCGTGCTGGCGGACCATTGCTTGCTTGCTCTTGTGCGGAAGCGAGCTCCTAGCAGCCAGGTGTCTCCCGACAGGACGGTTCTGACGCCGACCACATCACCTTCGTCGGTCCTCTTCTGGCGCACCTCGCGCCTACTTTGGGTATCGCCACCCCGGCACCCACACCTTCCATGCCACGAGGGTCTAGAGGTAGGGGTACGAGCAAGTAGCTACGTATTCTACGTACCCTTTCTGCAGACATGGGTAGCACGACGGACTCGACGTACTCGGCATCTGGATGCGAGAGTACCCATATGCACCCGATTGCCATTTCAGTGCAACGTTGGGCCCAGTGCGCGGTCGACAGCGCCTCAAAGCGATCAACGAGGGGGGCAAGTGGCAGCCTGGGAAGGGTGTAGGAGTAGCGGGCGATCGCATCCCCGGCTCGGACTTTGGCAACCAACCACTGCAGTCGAGCCAGTTGTGGATCTGGTCTTTGCCTAAATAGATAGATACCTACTGTGTGTGTGCTTTGGACCCTGCCTTGCTAGAGGGGGTGAACTCTCTCCTGCAAGATATTTCCTTGCCAAGGGTGCACATACCACTATGCTAAGGGTTTTGCAGTGCTTCCGCCTGTTCCCCTGGATACGACCAGATATCGCAATGACGATGGGCGCTGACCCATCGAGATCCTTGAGTTCAAGGTAGTTGGGCCAGACCTGTAGCGCAGCCTTGATAGCCTTGCAAACTAACCAAAGCCTTCAATGGTTTGAGCTTAGTACGAACGAACCTATGTATATAGTAACAAGTCAGCCCCCTGTCGAAAAGAAAATACCTGAAGCCTGCCAGTTCCCGCTCCTTCTCATCGAGCCTGGGTCGTTTCCTCGCTTCCGATATGCGTGTAAATGAGTGGTCGCAAGTGACTCATAATCAGCTTCTTTTTATCCCATTCATAGCCGCTCGATAGCATCGAAAGTGCGCCATCGGACGCGTCACCGCTAGTTTCTATACAGTCTGAAGGAGAGTTGATTGATATTTTACTGACTCATCGGATGCACTGCCAAGCTTCAGGCGTCACAAGAGCAGGGTTTTCCAGACCTAGGGGTTCGGCATCACCGGGGGCTTTGCGTCTTCTGGCATGAGCAGGAGGAGACATTGATCCTGTGAGAGTAATGCCTAATGCGCAGTATGTATCTCTTAAGAGATTGTCCTTTATCCCCATTTCATAGCTTTCATATAAACCCGAACATTTCCAGACTTCAAGTACGTCTCAGTGGTTTATATCTTTCATTAAACATTACAGATGACTCTCATCTCCCTGCCTCTCCCACGAGGATGTTCTTATTCTACATATCACCTATCCCTCAATAGCAACAGCAGCATTTCTTTCACTATCTCTGTACCACACTACAACTCCAACATGCCTAGTAGCAATCTCAACGTCCTTTCAACAGTGGCCACTTCTCTTGCAGATATTCCTGCTCACGACGTCGCCGCAATGAACAGAGTCTTTCGGCATCACATTGGTCCTTTCCCAGATAATCATATTGAACAAAGCCCACCCACTTCCGATACGACACAGCCAAACACCCCAGACCGATATGAGGCCCTCATCTGTAATACTGACACACTATCAGTTACAGGATCCCCTAACAGCAATGAGTTAGGACAGGCAGCACGTAGCATCAGCGAGGCGTCTCCTGCAGCACAGCACCAGGCCGCTTGTCACGAGGGACAGTGAGCTAATAGCGGCTTTTCAACAATCCCAACGTTTCCTGCTCACAATCGACCTGCGTCTCCTCAATCCGTATTGAATACACTCCAACCTCAGAATAACATGAGCCAATGCCCACCCTCTAACACAGGTATCGGCTGCTACTCGTATGGCATGATGTCAAATCAATACCTGAATACCCAGCAAGGCTCTCTCAATCCCTCTTTCATGACGCCGCAGCCTTGCATCGCAGCTTCCCGTTCGCAGCCAACTGCAGCTAATCCGGCTGGAAGCGTTATGGCTCAGACCCAGACCCGCCGGCTTTCTGCTTATGGCGGACGCTCCATGATACCTTACCAGCAATTGCTAGTCCAGGACGCCCAACAGGCCACCCACATCGTTAAGCCCCAAGGCCGTCGCGGTATCCTTCCCAATGCTGCCGGGAGAGCCGCCACCCCAACAGGTACCGGCACGTCCGAGAACACAGTGACTCCTCAAAAAGACGCGGATGGAAAGTTCCCTTGCCCTCACTGTACCAAGACTTACCTTCACGCCAAGCATTTAAAGCGTCATCTCCTACGCCGTAAGTCTTGAAGCAAATTAAGACGTCTTGTTAATATGCTGACATTGTCATACCAGACACTGGCGATCGCCCTTACATGTGCGTGTTGTGCCGTAACACGTTTTCGCGAAGTGACAGCCTCAAACGGCACTTTCAAAAGTGCTCCATCCGTCGAGGAAACCCGACTGGGGCGAGCCATCTCCCTCATCCCCAGGGCCGCAATAAGGAAAATCAGCAGAATATTCACAATCGAGGGAGTGACATGAGCAGCATGTCGAGGCACCCGCAAGATATGTGGCAAAGCTACCCTCAGAGCATTGGCGGCATGTATGCGCAGCCTCCGCTTGACCGGGCCAATTATGGACATCCTGCAGAACCAGCTATGATAGGCTTTTTGCATTTCCTCAAAGTTGTCGACGAACCCCATGCCGTACGTCCGGTATCGACTTGCAGGCCCCAATATGAATGAGAGCGGCAGTGACGCGCGGTGTTCCACGTCGGAGTGTCTGGCTCTATAGGTGTCGGATGCTGCGCGTCATGTGTTTCATCATAATATGTATAACATGGCTGATTCTTTTTTTTATTAACAGTATGGTCAGCAACAGATCTACTCCTTTGTGCCTTCTCCCGGAGCGCAGCGACACAGGAGGCCTTGACGTCGCTACCAAGAGATCGAGCGCTTGTATAAGTGCTGCTGGGATGGCTGTCAGAAGGCTTATGGCACTCTGAACCATTTGAATATCCACGTCAAGATGCAGAGTCATGGTCAGAAGCGAACACCTTACGGTATGTCAATTGGCTCTTTATCTCAGAAGCGGGATCTCGTCCCAAATCTAAAATGCCTGACAGTAGCTTGCCAAATGGCCTGCCCGTGATCTGCACTAGAGGCTCGCGTGGTCGTCCTTGGTCAGGACCAGACCAGCAATCAATCAAGCGTCGCTAGGTTGAGCTGTACTAGTGTCTGAAGGATATATCATAGCATAGTGTTGAAACGGTCGTATTTGCAATTGCTAACCTAATCAATCGATAGAGTTCAACGAGTTTCGGGAGGCATGGAAGGCGCACAAGAAGGAGGAAGATCAGCAGCGAGAAGCCGCAGAGGAAGCAGGCTGGCAGCTTCATGCCCAAGCCGTGGCGTCTGCCCGTACCCATGTTCAGAACGGGGGACCTGACGGAGGCGACGCCGGGCAACCGCTGTCATCAGTACAGGGGCTGCCTATTGGGTGCCAGGCCGCTACGGACCCATCAACACCATCTGTGGTGTTCTATACCCCCCTTTAACTGTAACGATAATCTAGTGTCTGCTGAACAGACTGGATGGCACGTAGGCTACCGTGGGGCTAGGGAGGTGCGCTGTCGCAGGGGCCACTAGGGCATTTGGGGTGCCAACAGGGCCTATAGCAGATGACTTTCAACAAAAAAAGTAACGTCATGCCACATGAACCATCACGACGCTGTTTGACAGCTACAGGCTCAGTACCATCCTTATTGAACGAAATCCACCCAAGTCAATCCACGACAGCTCGAAATTGAATTGACTATTAATCCAACTCTAGCCCCGTGGAATTCCATTGGATTGACGTTAATCAACGATATTGATCAACGGGTGGATTAGGTGGAGTTGGTCCCAGCCCTGGGGCTCGCGGATCCCGAGATCGTCAGCGTCGTCTAGCGCATCACGTCAGGACGATCATCGAAACCTATTCAGATGGATGTTGCCTCCGCGCTTCCATACGATCCAACGTCTGAGCTATAATTCGAAAGCGGATCATTAACGGCTGCCAGAAATTCCTTTCGAAGATGGACCGAATCATGAGCAGGCATTGGATCGCGAACAGAGCTGAATCAAGGGTTAGAGCTGGACTATCAAGTAGGAACTGTCTGGGAAACGAGTTGTTTTCGGCTGTGTGCCTTCGCTCCATCCCCATCCAATCGATGAGCTGATCCATTCCTGGGGAGGAGCTACACGGTTTCTAAGTGATGAGAAGAAGCTTGGGACGATCCATCTTCTCATATGAGTCAGACTACATACTATCGCAGGAAGTAGTGGCGGGCGCGTACATAGAATTTGCATTTCCTATGTTTTCATTTTCTTCTAGCTTATGGACTTTTAGACGCAAGGCACTACCATGTCAAAGCGAGAGGAGCTCCTCGACGCTATTCGGACCACCGACTAGGAGCCAGATATCACGGATCACGAGTCTAAATGGCGGGGCCAACGGAAACTGACGGAATAACATGTGTGGCCTCGAGGTTTGATTTGCAGGTCATCTTGGGAAACAGGGAGTCATGCCCCTCTTCCCTTACAGTAAGGCTTGCCCTCGCGCAACCACTCCGTGAGTTCATCCCGACGCTGCTGGACCTGCTCCCGCGTCGCAGTAGATGACAATACAGAGTTCGGCCCGCCACGGCACGGCGGCACGTCCGACACCGAGTATGCCTGAAGCTCAGAGTCATCGGCGGCTGCAGCTGTCGTTGTAGGAGTAGCGGTCGGTGTGTCGCCGCCCGCCCCTGTGTCGTCGGCCGCCGCTGGCGGTGGTGCATACGGGTCTGTTGCTGCATTGTTACCACTGTGACCGTATCGTTGAAGCCACAGGTTGTGTACCCGCAGAGCCGCCCTCAGGTGATCCAGCTGCGTGTACGTTAACATCCTGTCTTTACACCCGCACGGCAATTTTCTGGATGAAGAAGGGCATCGACGACTCGGAGGCTCTAATTGCGTTTTTACAAGGAGGGGACCATGACCAGGCGGTCGAAACCTGTCTCGCCTCGCCATCCTTCCGTGACCTGAAGTGGAAGCAGCATGTAGTATCGATGGCAAGCCGCATGCTCCAGGCATCAGGGCCCCTTAGCCCCCAAGAAACAACGCTTGTGCCAACGGCAGCTGTGGCAAACGGGACATTATAAACTCCTACTCGTACCATGGTCGACACCGTCCGTCGATGCGCAGCCTGGGTGGGGCCTTGTGCTCCATGCACCCTGGCTAGGCCACACTCACTGGCTGCGGATGACCCCTATGCCGCATTCACTGGCTGGATGTGATACACTGGCTTTCTTGGTTCGTGAAGCAGGGGTGGGAGGGCGGCTGGCTGGAAGGTTCGTGTGCCGCTCGGGACCCTAAAGTACCTTACATCCACCGCGGGCTCGGGATATTGCTAGGGGTTTCCAGCTGCATCTTGGCTACACAGGTGCAGTCTCGCAACCATCACGCTCTTCTTATTCTGTCAACATGTAGCCCACCACCTCCGTAACGTGAGGCAGCCGTTGGTAATCCAACTCGATCATAGCACGGAGGCAACAACCGTATGGTAGAATGGGTGGCTGGACAGATAGCTGGACAATCTATTGATAGCTTTGACCAGGGGCTGAGAATGGCACGCTCACTTGTTGGTGCCCACAGACTTGGGAGGATGCTGCTACGACAAGACACGCGGTCCGTGCCCGTACCAACCATTCCTAGCCGCCTCTTAATTTGCCTCACAGCCTGTGTCATGCATGCAGGAGCATACATAACGCCGCCAAGCCTGATATTCGGCCAATAATCCTGCCTGCACATCTAATCATTTCTTCTGTCGTGGTGATTCATTCTGATAGTCGGATGTATGGTGCCAACAAATGAAGACCTTCGAGCATCGCTACGCCGGGGCTTTCGTAAACCGCAGAGGAGGTATTGGATAAAATCGGCGTTTAGCGAATGATTGGATACTAGGCACACTGGGTTGGTTAATGACTCATTCGTTCACCCCAACGGCTGCTGCGAGGTCGAAGGTCGAGCTGCAACAAGGGATTGGTCAGGAAGCAGTGACGTGGTGTACATGAGATAAGAGCGAGGCTGGCAATAAGTCACTCCCGACCACTCATTTACGCGCGTGTCGGAAGCAAGGAAGCAAGGAAGCATCAAGCTGGGTCGCCAAGCACATTTTCCGCCCCCCTCACGATCCAGTTGCTGCTTTCACCTACAATGTCGCAAAATAGGCCCATGGGTAGATGATGGCACTCCTGTACGAAACAGTGCCAGAATTCGAGGATACTTGGATAGAGTGCATGGGAGATCTGGCTAGATACAGGTCCGTTGGTGCGACTCTTGAGTGGTGTGCAGAAAGCTGACTAGATTCAGAATGGCTATCGAAGATGACGATATTCGAGACAGGGAGGTGTGGACGTCAGTCTCACGCCACTGGTACTCCAAGGCGTCCGACAAGGCGCCTACCACCGTTAGGTTGTATCATCACCTGGCGATCCTCGCTCGCCCCAACGCACTGCAACAACTATTCTATTACACGAAGTCGTGATTGTCGTACTGAATCTCTCGCATAGCTCTTGGGTAGAGGTTAAAGTCTTGTCGAGGTCAATCGATCGCAGAACAGAGCCAAACCTGGCCTGCAAGTCTTGATTTGTCGACAGCGTTCCTGTGAGGGTGTCCAATGACTTCTGTGTCCCTGCGACAAGGGTCTTCGAGTTGGCGATAGCTTGCGGTGCCTCGGCTAAGCCATCGATCACCTTGTAAACGGCTTGAGCGCTCTGCGTGGCAAGACCAGCAACGGCAATTACGCTCGCTATGACGCTTAGCGGATCCATGGATTTGACGATTATGCGCTGTGGTAAGCGCGGGCGAGGAGGGTGTCTTCGTATGTCTGTCGACCGTGAGAATTAATATTCAGCCGCAAAACCTGGTGGCATTCTGATTCGCTGGTACTAAGGACACGTGATTTTTTCCGCACATGGTCATTGTCAGCAGAAGACTGCCGAGAATCTACTATATCCCATAAGACCATTCTATCTTTAAAGGCGCTGCTCTACAGACTTTACAAACTCTATATGATAATTGCGACAGTCGAAATTGTCTCCTAGTCGAACCCAGATACAAACCGGCCCACTTATTATAGTCGCGACTATCACTATTCGGCACAATAAGCAGTTAAAGACGACCATCGAGCGAAGCCAGCATAAGGTGTAAGTTTTGCTGTCATGGGCGCGTCCTAATTCCGCAGCTAACCTCTACAGGCTTTCGTTCTGCGTTACTACCATCCCTTGCAAGCCGATCTGCCTGGTCAGCTTGCTACTGGCTCGGGCGATCGCTGATCAGGCCTTCAAAGCAGATTTCAAATCCCTCGCTGATATCCTGGAACGGCCTAACCTTGGCCAGGTAGATTCCCTACCTTTATCCTGGGCCGCTGGTATGGAAGACAAGGAAATTGTACCCATCCATTATCCTACCTATCTGGACCTCTGGCATCGCACGCTACTTGTTGCTGGGCTGCGCCACGATACACAACGTCCCTACTCGCTCCGTGTTGGCGCTGGAGGTCGATTATCTGGTAAGCCATCCCCGTTCTTGCCGCTGGCCCAGCTAACCCGGGCACCGCAGGTAGTCTCGAGGAGCGGGTACGGAACTACGTGATGGGCAACACGAAAGACGTATTCCTCAAAAGCTACCAGCCACGGCGCGTCACCCGCGACTTGGTCGCGACAGCTTTTGGCAGAGGCATGGCCGTAGATGTCGCCGACCTCTTCAAGTCTCTGCGGCGCTCATTTCTACAGCGCGACCCCGATGCTCCCCTTTACCCTACGGAAGCAGATATCAAAGCGCTTAAGAGCCGCCAGGATCTTACCGATCTCCGTGCCGCGTATCGCGATGCCGTGGCACGCACTTCGTCCGATGACAAGGATGCTAAGTGCATAGCGGGCAAGATTGGATGGAGCCGTCTCTTGATTTGCCTCACAACCTATGTCATGCGTCCAGGTGCACACATAACAAGGTGGCTGGGATGGCATGGGTCATAACATATCCAGGGTGCCTCGTATCCAATCGTTCCCCAAACGCCGATTGGACCCTAGATCTAAGGTCGGTTCTTGAAAGCTCACATAAGTTGACACCTGTTGTATGACAGCTGTATGTTTGTTTGTTTGTTTTGTATTTAACGTGGGGGGTAGCTCCTCAGTAGTGCAGACCACGCCTCCCAGAGCCTCTGCATCGCAGGGTTGTGGAGGTCTCAAGAAAATAAGTACAGTCAGTCCCGCTCACGGGCCCATCCCCGTTGTTGCGGCGGTATGACCTTGGGGTCATCCATCTGGTCCTTCAAGAATAGCTATCTATCGGAGACAGATTGTTGAAAAGAACTTGCTCTTCTCCACGAATTTTGCCCATTCTGTGCTCCTCTCCCCTAAGTATTGTAAACAGGCTGTCCTAGGCGAGTACCTAGGCAACAACCAATTTTTTCCTAGTCTCTTACAAAAGAAAATATGTTGTGGTGTTTTCTTTTCACCACAGCTGCAGTGGTTGTTCGAGTCTGTATGCCCAAAGCGTTCGTGGTATCTGGCAAAGTCGCCATGTCCAGATCTGGCTGTTAGAAGTCTGTGTAGAGTGCTCCTCTTAAAGGATATAAGGCCTCTTTCAGTTACTGCATGTGAGTATACTTCTTGATACCTAGGTTCTGATTGGTCTTTCCACCATTAGTTGAACTCTTTCTTGCCCTTTCTCTTGAGATCTCTCTTAACCCAAGAGATTATAGGAAGGTTTGTTGTGTCTGTTTCTAGTATAGCACCCTCTTTTGCTAATATATCGGTAGCTTCGTTACCATCAATATCTCTGTGTCCAGGAATCCATTTGACGGTCACTCCAGGAGTGTGTGCTGTGGCGAGTTCTTGGAATCGCAGAAAAATTTTCTGTGATGTCTCGGGTGGAGTCCTATTGAGCCCATCCACCACTGATGTGTTGTCCAGGCAGACATATAGCTGTTTTCCGTGTCCAATTGCCCTGGCTGCTGCAAGACCTTGGAGAGCACCATGGACTTCAGCATCCACTACTTCTGCTTGTAGAAGTCTGCCCCTTCCCCGGTATACTTCTTGTGTAGTGCCGCCTTTCCTGATGGTATAGCCCCATCCAGTGCGGGTTGTGCCTTGGTCGTCCAATTGTGATCTATCTGAATAGATAACAAGGTCAGTATTCGCATTTCTTTCCTGTAGCCATTGCTTAAAGAGCTCTGTTTCTTTGTCTTTGTCTTTACGGACTGGGGGCTTCTTTCATAATGGCTTGGTGAGTATTGGTCTCTGGAAGTCAGGGACTAGTTGGAAGCTCCTTTGTAGCCTTGTTGGTTCTTTGCGAGCTTGTATTTGGAGCCTGCCAACAAGAGGGTGTCTCTGATCTATTCGTCTTAGTCAGAGACCGTGACGTCTTCTTATTGACTCTGCAAGAATTCCTGCTGGAGGAATCTGTGATTCAAAGTGTAGGATATGTCCAGGGTGTGTTTTCCAGACTGGCAAGATAGCTCTGATTGCCGTTCGTAATACAGCATCTATCGTTCTAAGAAGCCCTTTAATGCGACATGCTAATGTCCCACCTAAGCTCCTAATTTTTTCCATTCCTGGGTACCAGGCCTCCAGGCCATGTGTAAGAATAGGAATAACACAAGTTTTCACAGCCTTCTTGGTTAACTTTACTGGAAGTCCTTTGACTGTGTTGCATAGTCCTCAAAGGTGGTTTGCTACCCTACTAGCTTTCTTGGCCCAGTAGGAAACGTGATCTTTGAAGTTTAGTTTTCTATCCAGGAAGACACCCAGCCATCGCATGGAGTTTTTTGCTGTTCTGTTTATTGTCCCGTGGCAGACCGGAGGATTGTCTGAGTTCTTTTTCCGTAAGAAGTGCATGATCTCGGTTTTGTCGGGGTCAAACTCAATAGCATTATTGTGTCCCTATTGGTTGAGTAAATGAAGGTTTTCAGAAGCCTCTGTAGCTGTTTCATTAAGGTTCTTTCCAATATAGAGAGTCGCTAGGTCGTCTGCATATCCAAAGCGTCTCCTTTTCATACCAAGTCGGGCACAGATTGGCTCTGTATACAGCATATAAAGGATTGGAGAAGCTGGTGAGCCTTGTGGTAGCCCACAAGTGAGAGCTTTTATGTCGGTCACAATACCTTCAAACCGAACTCTTGCGGACCATTCAGACATGAATAACTGGACCCATCTTATGAGAAAGTCTGGCCAGCCCTGTTCTCTCATGCGAACCACCAGCCGTCCCATTATGGCAGCGTCGAAGGCCCCTGTCACATCTGCTGTGACTACCGTTGCAACAAGGCCTTGGTCAAGGGCCTGCTCAATATCGTGTATGAGTGCAGCTACCAAGTCGGCGGCAGAGCGCTTTGGCAGAGCTCCAAAATGTTGTGGAGCTAGAATTCCGAGTTTGATGATAAACCAGGCAATTCTTTTTGTAATGAGTCGTTCTAGGCCTTTGCCAAGACATGATAATAGCGATATTGGTCTGTAGGCCCTGGGGTTAGAGTAGTCTTTCTTGCCTGGCTTTGGGATCATCACCACCTCAGCTACTTTGAATGGTTTAGGGTGGTGTCCAATCTGTAGACAGGTCTGGAAAAGGGCTCTGATATGTTCCCTAATGAATGGCCAGCAAGCTTTCAGAATCCGTACTGTGAGGGTATCTATTCCCGGGGAATTGCTCTTGGTCCCTAAAGTACACCCTTCAGCCTCTTTTAGTCCGACATAGTATTTAAGGAGAATGTGTGGCTTGGGTTGCGTGATCTGAGCGGACCAGGGGTCGATGATATCGTTGTCTGAGGTACTTCGTTCAAGCGTGGCTGAGCGTAATGCATTTACCTTGCTCTCTTATGACTCAAATATTTGGTCTCTTATGATGATTAGAAGGGAACGCAATCCTGCTGACAGCTTGTGCCACAAAATGATTCTGTACAGATCCTTTGGCTCAGTCGCTGAATTAATTAGAGTCTGCCAGTACTCTTTCCTAGGTTTCCGAATCACACGGCAAAAGTCTCGTCGGGCCAAATTCCGCCTTTCTTGGCTTGCGGTCTGTTTGGACGAGGCCCTATATGTCTGAACAACTGCTTTGTATTCATCGTTCCACCAAGCAGTGGGCCTAGATTATCGGGGCTTTTTGCCCACTGTTCTGGCACAGCCTTGGATTATGTTGATCAAGCTCTGTGTAAAGGCATCTACCTGGCCAGGGGATGCACCCAGCCAGGGGAGCTCATAAATCCTGTTTTGGACATTATTTATTAGCTCTTGTAGTTTATTGTCCGGGACTATCTACCGATCAGCCTTGCGGACCCGGTCTAGGTCTCCCTGAATTAGGACAACTATTTGTAATGTCTCATGATCTGAAGTGCACTAGAGTGCATCATTCATTGAGACTTTGGCCATGGGGACATCTGAGAAAACCAGATCTAGTACATTTCCGTTATCATATGTCGGGACATCTGGTTTAGAAATCAGATCCAGTCCGTGGTCTGCCATAGTCTGTGTAAGTATAACACCAGCATGATATCCTAGATTGCTTGAATCCCAGGATGTATCGCCAGCATTGAAATCTCCGGCTATGACACAGCCAACGGGTGGAGTCTATACTTCCAGAATGTCATCCACTTCTTGTGGGTTATAGCATGGTCGGTAGACGCTGGCAAATGTAATGCCTTGTACCTTAACCCAGGTGATGTCTCGTGTAGCATAGGGCCGAAATTGATCCGCTTGAAGGTGTTTTCTCACATAGATGAGAGATCTGGGCCGTGTACTGTCGCTGTCCCAGGAATCCACTGGGGAGTATATATCGTAATTAGGGTGTGTCTTTACTCCCATTCTCTTGCCTGGTGGTATACCAACCCAGGGCTCTTGCATCAGAATAATGTCTGCTTGTTCTCCTTTGTAGTCAGCCAGGTTGATGGCTAACTCTGTAGGGCCTGCACTCTTTTGTCCCCCTGCTGTATTCACAGAATGGATGACTAGATGCCCGTGTCGATGTGTTTTGTTTGATGTACCTAACATTGACTGACAACAATGGTATCGGCATCTCTGGGATGAGTTGTATCTGTTGTGTCGATTTGTATTGTGATGTCTTTGTTATTATTACTGGGTGTTGACCCAGCTTGGTTTCTGCCTGTTTCATTAAAGGCCTTGGATCTGGCTCCTTCTCCCGCCAGCCTTATTTCCTGGATTTGCTCCTATGTGTGCTTGTGGATAATGCCTTTCACAACCTTGGGGCGTGCAGGGCATTTGTCGAAGTTGGCAGCATGAGGTCCTTTGCAGTTGACACACTTTGAGATTGGTTTTTCACACTCCCTCTGGTGTACTGTACTGACACAACGTGCACATACTTGCTTTTCACATCGGTAGTTCCTACCATGGTATCTGAAGCGGCTCGCACACTGGTGAACCTTGGGGGAGTATTGAATGTGCCTTGAGGTCATTGAGTGAGCAAAAAGCGTGAATGGTGTCACGGCGAGCGTACTGAGGAGCTGGGACATGGCCGGCAGCAAGCAGCTATTACTCTATTGACGAGAATATCAAGACTAGAGAGGAAAGGAAGAGAGAGAGAGAGATAGGTACAGTGGGAGGTTGCCCCTTTAAGGGGATCCTCTGGTCAGATCCTTCCCCTATTAGGAGGTATCCACTTGTCATGTGGGAAGGTCTGTGCAGGCCGCCACAGCCGTCACAAATGGTTTCTTTGCTGCACGGGGCAGAGAGATCACTCATGTGGTCTCCGGATCAGAATCAACTGTGTTCCTTGAGAGTATACACCTTAAAGGTCTGTCACCTATTTGGGCTTTAACTTCATTAGTAACAGCAATGTCGGTAATATCGATTGTCAATCCTTCTGCACTGATGACCTTTCTTGGGCATCCATCGACCTTATAGTGATGCCAGACCGTATGGGTCTCGATCTTTTCTGCCTTGAGAATATCGGTGATTTTTTCTTAAAAGGCCAGGAACTTAGCCTGAGTTGGCTTGTCCCTTGGGTATAAGGTAAATCCGGAGGGGCACCGGGTCACTTCTCTAAGCTCTTGAGGGTAGAGCTTAAGTCTTTTGTTCAGTATAGACTTTATTCCGTAAGGCTCTAGGTGGCTATTATCTATGCAGATAAAGACCCGGAGATCATTCTGCTTCTTCTTTAGTTGGTTAGTAGTGATGCGGGCGCCAGGCTGTATTTTCTTTGTGGTAATGTTGACTGTCCGTGGATGCTGTCGTTGGCTAGAGGAGACAGCTTGGGCAAAGGTCATGGTGGGCTTTACCATCCCTATCCCCCCAGGGATGGTCTTTCTTTTGGGCAGATCTCGGGTTTCCAGCCACTCGTTTAGACATTTAGAGAAGAAAGCGCTGAACTCCTTGGCATAAGAGTATAGTTCAGTTCCAGCTTTCTTAAGTGTCTTATCAACCACTGCAGCATACTCTCGAAACATTGTCATCCTGGCTTCATAAAGGTGCTTGTCTTTAGCCAGTATTCTGGCAACTTGGTCTTGGTACTCTGAGGAGGAGGTTTTATTCCTTATATCGCGTGTAATGGCTTGGTCTGTTGAGATTTCGTTTAATTAAGGTCGTTTTATTCCAGTGGTGCTGTTATCATTGATATTTCGGGATTTTCCTTTCAGAGGGGAAATAACGGTAAAGTCAGCCTCAGAGACCTGTGACGGGCTGCTGCTGATGTCATCAAGCAGCGCCTGGCGGAGCCTGCTCGGAGTTGCCGGGCTGTATGTCTTTCTAGGGGCCGGGGATTTGAGCATGCCGCCGGTGGTCGTCTTTGGGACGGCCACGGGCGTGTTTGGGGGCCCGTCGTGAAAGGGTGCCATCCGGCTTGTGAAAAAAATTCTCTTGTGCCTTGACAGAGATAGTCAATTACTGAGAGAAGTGCCTGTTTTAGTGCAAATATCAAGGTTGCGCCCTAACAGCGGAGCGCCAAGAAAAATAGTTGTTTTTGGCAAGAGTGTGTTCAGAACAACCTGGGTATTGATATCAGCCAGCTTAATGCGTTGAAGAAAACCCTTAGAGGGTTCAAGGCTGACCCCATCCGCGACCCGTGGATTGTGGGCAGTCTTCTCCTCACATGCCTAACAGGGCTTGCGATTATCACAGCTCTTGGAGATCTGTTCATGGATTCCATCTGGTTAAGATTCACCATACCCATCCTACTGGGGTTGGCTTCATGTGTTCTTTACGCAATTCCCGTCATAGTTGTCCGGAAGTTTGTGTCGAGCGCCGGAGACGTTGCAAACTGGATTCACTCCGTCCAGGGTGAAAGCGTGGGGTATTTGATTGGCAGCCTATGTTTTGCCATTATTACGACTATCTTGTGCTTAATAGTCGTAGCCGCGCTATAAGCGTAATCTATGCCCCTTCAATACCATATGCTGCGAGACACACGACTTGTCTTCGTTTGAGCCAACACTTGGACCAGACAGGGTACACTCAGGTCGTTTCTATCATAAAAGAAGATTTTAAAAATGGCGTTTAAATCAATTTTATGTACTGAGTGAGTCTCAATGACGTGTGTATATCCCGTCGAGTATGACGCAGCTTCGGGTCATCTTCCTTCTGCCCTGGCGGTAAAGACGGAGTGGCAATGATGTAGACCTGGTACTGACGACGTTCGTGCTCAACGTTGCTGACATGACGACAATCCACAGTAAGAAGGGACAAAGGGATTGATAAGGACGAAAGGTCGGATATTATCGTTGTTTACTTTCATAGCCGCCTGGGGTCTTCATTATTGATCCATTTCCACATACGGAAAAGTGCAGAGTAGCGGGGTAGATGCCAAGCCGCCACTAAGCCTCGCTTAATAGCTACTTTAGTGATATATAGCGGCGGACCCCTGTGACGCGGCCTACACTGGCGGAGAAACGTTGCTGATACTTGTTTGATGGGAGCCGGAAATAGATACCGGAAGATCTCCAGTGGGGCAGAGACGCACAGGGCATAAACCCACCCAGAAGACAGACCATCTCGCTGCTGTGGTTGTCACAGCACCCTGACTGTCGTGATGGGTAGGTACGGACAGGTCCGAGCTGATCCATTCTTGGGGAGCTACATGGTTGACGCGTGATGTGAAGAAGCTTGGACCGATCCATTTTCTCATGTGAGTCAGACTACAGGTACCATCGCAGGAAGTATTGGCGGGCACGTACGTGGAGGTTGCAGAGAATAACTGCTGATGATATGGTGCAGAACGCGAGGTTCCTGGCGAAGTCTGAAGAAGCGTTATCTCAAACAGACTGTTTCCCGGTTCCCAAGTTGGTTCGACATATTCTGTCCACTTTACCAAGACCTTTCATTTGTTCCCAAATTTATCAGCCTTAAGAATCCTCTCAACTGACCATAAGGGGTCTGGGCGTCGAGAAGTGGTGGTGGTTGTGTGTCATCGACCTTTTGAGATGGGAAGGGATCCTCTGTAGCACGTCGTAATAGGTCCACAAAAAAGCGTTTCCTAATATTGCTTGGGACGTTCAGCTCGTACACATCAGGGGAAATCATCTTGGTAATCTCGTATTTGGCGTGTGTCCAAGCAAGTTTCTTCTTCAACTGTGGAGTCGAGACATTTTTGAGGTTGAGCCACACCTTGTCGCCAGTCTGGAATCTCTCTGCTGGGCGGCGGCTTCGATTCGCCTGGTGCTCCATTATCTGCTGTGCTGTGGCCATGGCGGCCTGAGCTATCTCCTGGGCTTCGTGGAGGCGCGTGACGAACTCCTCTGTCCTTGCTTTGGGGTCTTTTGATGTGTTGGGGCGGCGCGAAGGTCGTTGTTGGATGGGGTCGGCGTGGTAACCATACAGCACAAAAAAGGGGCTGAGGCCTGTCTTCGAATTCGGTCTGTTGTTGATGGCTAGCTGGGCTGTGGGTAAGAGTTTGGCCCAGTCATCCTGTGCATAGGCCACAAAAGCGCGTAAGTAGGCAATGACTTCCTGATTCATGCGTTCTGTTTGGCCGTCTGTCTGAGGGTGATAGGCTGTCGATAGGCGCTGCTTGACTCGAACTAGCTGGCATAATCTAGTCCAGAACTTCCCCACCCAGTTGTTCCCTCGGTCAGACGTGATGAAGTTTGGAAGCCATGAAAGCGAAAGTGGCTCCAAACAAACTTTTCGGTACAGGCTTCAGCTTCCATAGAATCTTGTGGCTCGAGCGTAAATGTTCCCAACACTCTGGCAACCGTAACCATCATGTTTCGTGGGGCGTCCCCGTCTCCGGGAAGCTCGGTCATAAAGTCAATAGAAAGCTCGCTAAAAAAACGGTCTGGTATAGGCAGCGGGCGTAAAAGTCCCTGCTTTGCTTGACACCAGACCTTGGACCTGCCACAAATACTGCAATTTCTACAGAAGCGGTGTACTGTCTTGTATTGCTAGGGCCAGAAGTAGTTTTGTTGTAAGATCCATCCTGTGATATTCCTTCCCGGGTGTCCTGTGATGTGGGAGTCGTGCGTCTGTTGTACCAATGCCGTCCTAAGGGGCTCGTAGTCAGGCACCCAGATTGATCCTCTATACAAGAGGACTCCTCTGCCTTCAATTTCGTAGTCGATAGCCTGTACGTCAATCCCTAGGCTAGGAGGTAAGGCTCTGTCTCCTTTTCCAACACTAGCATAGATATTGCAATACGTCTTGTCAGCGCTGATAGCCTTGTTCCAAAGATGTTGGAGCTCAGGGCTAGTGAAAACGTGTCGTCCGGGTGGTTGTACCAACGCCGTGCGATCCATTGACCGTAGCTTCTGGCATCGATCGGAGGTCCTTCTTCGTAGTTCTCCATCATCGAGTCATACGGGGTCAGCACCCGCAGGGCTATTGTGCCAAGGCCATAGGCGGGAGCCGGGTGGGTGTAACGGTACGGAGGCTTAAGCCTCTCCGGAGCGGTGTAGATAGTCCGGTTGATGATGCGGTCTTCCAAGTAGTGCCGTCCTCCATCTAGCCCGTCTGACCACCGCTGAAGACCTCCCAATGTGGGATAAACGTTCCTTCGTCACGGCAAAATCGGCATTTCCACACACGAACATCTGGAGAATCGTGGATGTTATCCTAGCCAAACAAGAGAAGGAAAGCAGCAATATTACTACACATGATAACGAAATAGCCCCTCAAGACTCAAATATCGAGTGCTCCTACTTCCCCTTTTACGAGCAAATGTCTGGGATTTTACCCTGTACAAGCTCGAGGAGCTTGGGAAATTCAGTGTCGTCTTTTTGTGCGAGAGATAACGCTGCTCGAGTTTCCGTGTACTTATCGCGAATAGAAACATCCAAGCTATCGCAAAGTGCTGCTCGAATGGCACATATGTCTGTCGTTTTCAAACTGTGCTCGATAAATCGTCGCAGGTTTCCCCAGTCGACGGGCTTCTTCGCTTCTTTGATCTGTTTAGTCAACTCCCTGTAGCTGAACTTGTCGTCTATCAACAGCCGTATTATCGATTCCTGTTGATGCCTGTTTTGACCAATCTGTTTTGCAAGGCTTATGCTTCCTTGGTCTGTAATAAGAATCCATTTCTCAACAGACTCGTCGATGGCCGATTTATTGCGTGGGCGTTTCCCACCCCAGTAGAGGCGTGTCTGATGGCTGTTACAGAACTCCTCCAACTTCTCAGAACGCTGGCTGACTTCCAAGCCAAGGATATAACGGTCGTAGCGATGGGCAAACATTGGAACCAAAGGTAGGTCTAGAACGTGCCTATTGAGCTCTATTGTGTGTTATCCATAGCCCAAGCCTGGATTGATGCGATAGACCAAATATCGACATGGGTCTTGGCAGCTGCTTTGGCAGCGCGTAGTACCGGCTTCATAGCGTCGAGTTGTCCTGGAGGGAAAAGGCATTTATATTGGGGTAAAAACAAATCATGCTCCAGACGTTCAATTGTGCCGATGGCGTGTCCTTGTTCGGCCTGATACTGCCTTAAACGTAGAAGGACGCCAACCATCACTTCGCATTCGTGAGGGTCTGGCTTTTCTTCTTGCAATCGGCTCAACGGGTACGGAACCGGAAATGAACCCGGCTTGAATAGACTTCCAAACTGTCAACAGTACACTTCATGAACGATTATAGACAGACACTGACCTTTTGATATACTCCATATCTTCAACGCTCACACGATGCAGAGCACTGAAGCGGTCAGAATACCCCTTGTCTGCGAACCAATTCTCGAAGCAGAGCTTGGCAGCATGTATGCTTGCAGAGAGTTCTCGACACATGATGCTAGACACTACCAAGCGGTTAGTAATCCGAGAAGGTTTACTGCCAAGATGGAACTAGCCTAGAAATGCACCAGTCATAGAGAGGCTGCCCTCTGTGTAGTCTTGCCAGGTGCTTACTATCCCCCCAATTGCAGCCTCGATGTGTTAGATGAAGAACGAGTAATCTTCGTCGTCAAGACTCGGTTCATCAAGCTCCGCCTTTTGAGCAGCTCTTGTATGTCGAATGTCATCGCCAGGTGACAGAGTGTCGTGAACGACGAGAGCGCTGTAGCGATTATTAGAATCAGATTGGGATACCGAGTCCGGAACTGGGGGTTTGTTGGTGGTTTGCATGGATTGGAGTTTATTAATGACTGTCGTAAGAGTCGATATAAAGTGAGCATGTCCAAGTGAGCTGTCGGGCTCATAATACGCTGCAATCTGGTTTCGATAGTCGACAGCAGAACTAAGGTGCTTTAGTATGTCGGATCTTTGTTCGTTCCTGAGGGCGCTCGCGGCCGCCAGGGATCTCTCCTGGAAGATCCTTAATGACCAACGTCGACAATCATGATTTGGATGGAGGGTCTGGAAAGCCTTATTCTCTTGATCCTTGTAGAGTCTCCAGAGTATCGCAGTTTTAGACATAGTGGCGTGACCAAGACCAACTTGAATCTGAGGAATAGGTGGACAGGAGGCGAGCGGGGGGTTTAAATAATTACAGGGCGTCAGCCGGCCGCGCCCCGGATCAGTCTACCGTGCCAGAGTCTTCCGGCGGTGGATGAAGTGCGTCGGAGTCTTGCTCCGGCCGCACGAGCAGTTGAGGACGGCGTCCTGATGTTTGAACTTGACATGATACCAAGAGAAGTCGCCGTGCCCTGAGCGGACAGCGAGGAAGCGGTGTAGTGAAGGCCTTTTAAGTACCTGCAGCACTTCGTGACAGCGCAGTTTGTACTTCAGGTCCCAGTACTTGTAGCGGGCCGACAGCTTGGTCTGGGCCTTGGTCTACCACATGTCGCGCGAGACTTTGAGCTTGAGTCCCGCCTCTGCTTTGATGCCGTACGCCGTCGGCGTGCAGTCGGAGTCGACGTTGGAGAGCTTAGAGCCGGCCTTAGCCAGCTTCTCTCCCAGTTCATTGCCCTCAAAGGCGCAGTGCCCCGGGCACGCCCAATGTTTCATAGTTGCTCGACGGCATCGAACACGCGCCATCCGACGAGGCATATGTACATCTCTAAACTTCCACCGTTCATCCAATCCGACAACCACTCCTGGGATCCGTTTCGCATGTCTAAAGCTTTGAAGCAACTAGAATCATACGCTCTGATTGAAAGGAGTAGTATCAATGGGTATCACGCAACGGCCATGCACTCGCTTACCCACAGCTGGATGAATCTCCGTCAGGATAGGACCAAAGAGATCACTCATTACAAATGAGTCAATGCGTTATAGCGTTCTCTATATACCGTCAGCATGAGTGGCGCTCATATCGCGATCGTCTGGTTCGTCACACCAGAGCGTTACTGGAAGCTAGCACGAGATCAGCCACAGAGGTGATACCGCATCATCTACTGCAGGTGCAAGTTCAGATTGGATGGCTTTTGCATCATATCAGAGAGGGTCAAGCACTTGGAGAGCATCTCCGGTATATCTTTAACCAGATACAGAACGACTCAGACGAACCAACAGAGAGCCTTGCATTTCTTTACGATATGTGGTCCGCAAACCAATATAATCTTGGGATGACAAAAGATGCAGCGCGGTTACAAGAGAAGATAGTCCAGATCAAAAACACCAAGCTCGACGAGGGCCATCCGTCAAATACAGACATGAAGTAAGAGTTGCGGGCTTCACGTTGAACACCCACGCATGGACATGAAAGATCCAAAGCTGACGCGTCCCTAGATACACCAAAATCTATAAAGCGAGCAGTCAACTTCCGTTTGCTTGCTGCTGACGCTGCACATTTGCCCCTTGAACAAATGCTATGGTTCGGGGTCCACGCGATTCTCATACTCGTTGTCCCTCAGCTCTCTTGCCTCTCTTCCAACCTGCTGGCTTTACTTATTACCAAAGCTGATCCCGGTCACCCCACCATAGATCTGTCCAGCTTGGAAGCCCGAGTTTTGACTGCCAAACGTGACTGTACCAACAGAACCCTGGCTTTGTGCAGTAGCCTTCGCCACCGTCTCTGCCTGTAACTTGGCCAGCAGTTCCTGCAACAGTTCGAGCGAAGCGGCAAAGGTTTCATGTTCTTGTCCCAGCGTTTGCTGATCTCGCTCGCGGGAACCAAGGTCCAGCGTTGTTATGCTGTCTTCGACAGCTTGAAGACGATCCTTTGTCGTCCTAATGGCGTCTGTGATTTCTGTCTGTCGCGAAGATACCACAGTCCTGATCTCTTCAGCAACGTGGCCGTTTCGAAGAGAGGCGTACCTGTAAACTACAGTCAGCCGTGTTTGTACTTGTGTCTTCGTGAGACAAACAGCTTACAAGACGGCCACATTTACAACAGAGGCAATGGACAATTTACAGCTTTGAAGCTGCTCTGTCAATGACTTGATCCGGTCTCGCTTGAAAAAGCCTACACTCGCTCGGTCCCGCAAGCTCAGCTTTCCCGCGGTAGAATTTCGAGTCCAATGCTGGATGTCGGCTCGGAAGAATGTACATGCCGTCTGGCATGTGCCAACCGTCGTCTTGGTGTTTTCAGCCACGTCTTGGCCTAAAACTGCCCATTTCGTGTCGTCGATTTCTTGAAGGGATTTGATGGCGGCGTCGAGAGCACGCAGGTCTTCCTGCAAATGCCGCACGGTACTAGGAGCATCCTTGAGCTCTTGCAAATCAGTAAGAAGGAGTCTCGTAGCGTGCAGGGCTGGAACCGTAATGCCAACCACGCTGGCCGCGACACTAAGCGGGTCTGCCATGGTGTTCTCGTGTCGTAGAGAAGGACATCTAAGGCAACGAAGCCCCGGCCGACGATGTGCGGGGAAGCCCGGCCGACGATGTGCGGGGTTTTAGCCGCCGAGCTGACGGGGGTCGTATCGTATGGTAACGATGCCGGTGGGTCGTATGGTGCTCGAGTCCTATCTCGACTCCTATGTCCCACCTCCCACCAAATAGCCTGCTCTTCCCTAGATCATAGATGGCCCTGTAATCACCCGTCAATAGTCAACCTCAATTGTTGCAACTGAATCCTATCATGCCATGGCTTCCGCGGTACATTTCGGGCCAGGCAACTCTGGCTTTCAGGCCGGAGTAATCAACGGTTCGGCCAATACCGAATTTCATCACCATGTCCCGCCAGGTAAGTAGGATAATACTACTAGGATCAGTTCCCTTGGATCAGTTCCATTGGATCAGTTCACTTGGATCCACGCCGACCGTCAACGCGCTAACGAGGCCCCGACTCAGAACGGCCAGAAACTCCACCAAATCCATCGTCCATCATTCCCTTTGGCCAGGACAACGACTTCATCCAGCGAGGCAACACACTCGATCGTATCCACCAAGCATCTGCCACCCCCGGTACACGTATCGCGCTCGTAGGCCTGGGCGGCGTTGGGTATGCGCGACCTACACCTACACAAGCCATAGGCATAACTAGCATAGGCATAGGGCGAGAAGCTAACTCGTGGAAGAAAATCGCAGCTAGCCATCGAATACGCGTACCAAGTCCGACAGCGATCACCGGATACCTGGGTTTTCTGGGTCCACGCAAGTAACGCAACGCGATACAAACAAAGTTTCCGGGAGATCGCCGATCATGTCAAGATACCCGGGCGAGACGAACCGCAGAGCAATATCTTCCAGCTTGTGTGCGGCTGGCTACGTGGTGGGAGGGACAGAAGGTGGAGACTCATTCTCGATAATGTCGATGATGCCGGCTTCCTTCTCGAGCCTCCAAGCCGTAACGAGGATGGCCAAACTGGACATGCGGATGGACGGCTTGTCGATTATCTCCCGAATTGCGAGAACGGATCCGTACTGGTCACGAGCCGAAGCATGAGCGCGGCCGAAGATCTTGTGGAGCCATATAGTATCATTCAGGTCGAACCTATGAGCGAGGCCGAAGCGATAGCACTTGTCGAGAAAAAGCTCAGACCGGAGCAGGACAGCAAGAACACCACGGCGCTCGCCGCCGCACTCGAACGTATGCCGCTAGCTATTGTCCAAGCGACAGCCTACATCTCCAAGAAAGCTCCTCGTTACTCTGTGCGACAATACCTCGAAAAGTTTGAGCAGAGTGATCGGAAAAAAGCGAATCTCCTCGATTATGACGCCGGTAAGTTACGGCGAGATAGAGAGGCCAGAAACTCGATCATCATCACGTGGCAAATCTCATTCGACCACATCCGTCGAACCAGACCATCTGCAGCCGACCTGCTTTCGCTCATGAGCTTTTATGATCGCCAAGGTATTCCTGAGAGCCTCCTACAGAGTCCGGACGAGAAGGAACGCCCCATGAGTACACCAAACCGATACCAACGGAGCCCTGCTTTGCACGGTTCGGCCAGCGACCAAGAATCAAGCGAAGAAGACGTCGAATCGGATTCTAGCATGGATAATCAGTTCGAAATGGATGTCTCGACATTGCGCGACTACTCGTTCATCTCTACAGTTGAGGACGGAAGGACATTTGAAATGCACAGCTTGGTCCAGCTGGCTACGAGACAATGGCTTGAAGCCGCGGGACGGCAGGAGCAGTGGAAGTCTCAGTTTATCCGTCGCCTCGACGCCCAGCTCCCGACCGGAGCATATGAGAACTGGGCAATATGCCGGGCGCTTCTGCCGCACGCCGTATCGGCGGGAGCGCAGCGGCCGAAAGACAGAGTCTCATTGGAGGCATGGACTTCGATCCTTTATAAAGCTTCGTGGTATTTTCAGCAAATGGGCCAGGGGCCTGAGGCGCAAAGCATGGCGGAGGATGCGATGAAGTACAGAACAAAGATACTTGGGAGGACGCACGAGGAAAGTCTTGCTGCCATCGAGATGGTTGGCCAAGTGTGTAACCTAAGAGGTCAATGGAGCCCAGCGGAGAAGCTGTTTGTGGAAGTGATGGAGACTCGCAAGCAGAAACTCGGGCCGGATCATCCAGACACGCTGACCAGCATGGCCAACCTGGCGTTGACGTACTGGAATCAAGGCCGATGGGAGGAGGCGGAGAAGCTGTTTATGGAAGTGATGGAGACGAGCAAACAGAAACTCGGGCCGGATCATCCAGACACGCTGACCAGCATGGCCAACCTGGCGTCGACGTACAGGAATCAAGGCCGATGGGAGGAGGCGGAGAAGCTGGACGTAGAAGTGATGGAGACTCGCAAGCAGAAACTCGGGCCGGATCATCCAGACACGCTAACCAGCATGAGCAACCTGGCGTCGACGTACAGGAATCAAGGCCGATGGGAAGAGGCGGAGAAGCTAGACGTGAAAATGATGGAGACTCGCAAGCAGAAACTCGGGCCGGATCATCCTTCCACGCTGACCGGCATGGCCAACCTGGCGTCGACGTACAGGAATCAAGGCCGATGGGAGGAGGCGGAGAAGCTGGACGTGGAAGTGATGGAGACTCGCAAGCAGAAACTCGGGCCGGATCATCCTTCCATGCTGACCAGCATGGCCAACCTGGCGTCGACGTACAGGAATCAAGGCCGATGGGAGGAGGCGGAGAAGCTGGAGGTGGAAGTGATGGAGATGAGCAAGCAGAAACTCGGGCCGGATCATCCTTCCACGCTGACCAGTATGGGCAACCTGGCGTCGACGTACAGGAATCAAGGCCGATGGGAGGAGGCGGAGAAGCTGGAGGTGGAAGTGATGGAGACTCGCAAGCAGAAACTCGGGCCGGATCATCCTTCCACGCTGACCAGCATGGGCAACCTGGCGTCGACGTACTGGAATCAAGGCCGATGGGAGGAGGCGGAGAAGCTGGAGGTAGAAGTGATGGAGACTCGCAAGCAGAAACTCGGGCCGGATCATCCTTCCACGCTGACCAGCATGGCCAACCTGGCGTCGACGTACTGGAATCAAGGCCGATGGGAGGAGGCAGAGAAGCTGGAGGTAGAAGTGATGGAGACTCGTAAGCAGAAACTCGGGCCGGATCATCTTTCCACGCTGACCAGCATGGGCAACCTGGCGTCGACGTACAGGAATCAAGGCCGATGGGAGGAGGCGGAGAAGCTGGAGGTAGAAGTGATGGAGACTCGTAAGCAGAAACTCGGGCCGGATCATCCAGACATGCTGACCAGCATGAGCAACCTGGCATCGACGTACAGGAATCAAGGTCGATGGGAGGAGGCGGAGAAGCTAGACGTGGAAGTGATGGAGACTCGCAAGCAAAAACTCGGGCCGGATCATCCTTCCACGCTGACCAGCATGGCCAACCTGGCGTCGACGTACTGGAATCAAGGCCGATGGGAGGAGGCGGAGAAGCTGGAGGTGGAAACGATGGAGATGAGCAAGCAGAAACTCGGGCCGGATCATCCTTCCACGCTGACCAGCATGGGCAACCTGGCGTCGACGTACTGGAATCAAGGCCGATGGGAGGAGGCAGAGAAACTGGAGGTAGAAGTGATGGAGACTCGTAAGCAGAAACTCGGGCCGGATCATCCAGACATGCTGACCAGCATGAGCAACCTGGCGTCGACGTACAGGAATCAAGGCCGACTACCAGAAGCTCTCGGTTTGATACGGGAATGTGTACGGGTTGGGCGAACTGTCTTGGGCGCTCAACATCCATATTATCTAGCTCTCTTAGAAACCTTGCATACTTGGGAGCTAGCGCATACTGGCGTCAGTGCCAGTTAATAGCTAGATAAGTGTGTTTAAATTACAGGATATTTGCAAAGGACTTAGCCATCTAGTAATTGGCTTTCTCATTAATCTACTTGATTATTCGAGTTCTGAGGTGACAACATGTCTCAACTTATCGTTTAAGATGCTGAGGTCCGGTAAAAGAGGACAACACAATGGTTAAACAAAGTCGGTGGACAGAACTTGAAGAACGCCAAATACGGGGCTGGATAACAGCAGAGAAGGGATGGCCATGGATTGCGCACAGGTTGAGCCGAAGCAAGCGGGCTGTCTCATAGCATTGGGCCATTATGCTAAAGGAAGGCTGGGCGACTTTATTTAAAAGAACTATGTGTAGGTTAGTAAGGCTCTAACTATCCCTGTTGCCGGTACAAATGGACGACTAATTATCGTCATTGAGACCCTGCTTGTACTGCCCTTCTTATATACAAGATCCTTAACCGCTGGAATGGTAGCCGCCAACCGCAAAGATATCTTCAGGGCGCACGATTCTTTCAAGAAACAACATAAGCAAGCCCCGGAAGAGAACCCTGGATTATCACGATATGATCTTAAACATCTCCTATTTATGGATGTCCTAACTCCGCCGGACATCGTTTGTTCGAATCCTAGCCCTATTTGGGGCATTCATCCAACCCAGACACCTGTCGTAATTTGGGGAGGGGTTTTGGATCCGAGCGAGTAGCAGTACGATGTTTGCAAGATCGCAAAGAAGAGCAATCACCCATGAGCCGTAAAATCGATACCATATGACATTGGAAGCGCCTGTGAGGACATCAAGCTCCATGCCGAAAACCAGGATGCATGAGAGCAAGCTGACAATGGCATCCTCTGAAGGCCAGTGATGCCATATGATCACCTCGGCGACTTCGAGTGCCCCATCGACCAGCAGAAACAGGCAAGATGGCATGGAGATGAGGATCTGATCCCGGGCTACCGCTCAAAGCCTGGCCGATGACGACGACTACTGGTGGCCATTGGTCGCTGCAAATATCGCGGAAAAACGGAGGCGCAGTGAGTACATCTCAACTGCAGATAGATACATGGCCTTGCTAGCACCTTCCCGCACACAGATGCCACATTCTTACCGCCGCTCATCCACCCCGAGAGCGGGCGT